CTGGACAGCTATCGCCATCTATGAGTGACGGCGGCAACCAGTCGCTGTGCGTGACGTTATCGACGGATCTTTCGGCTGCCCCAAGGCGGGGCTTCAGCCCTATTTTCAAACTGCTCTTATGGCTCCCCGGCGCGTCGCATTGGAACATAATTGTGATATCTGTCATTCTAACGCCCAAGCGAACACAATTCAGGTGTTTTTTCCTCAAAGGCAGAACCCCCCCCCCCCCCAATCTTCCCTTTATATGATCTATCTATCTATCTCTATATCTCAATCTATCTATCTATCTATCTATCTATATCTATCTCTCTATGCCCAGCAAATTTGATTGAGACCAGCACCTTTAGATTTATAAAGTAAAAAAAGTTAATTACTCGAAAGCAATTAATAAACTAATTGTACCGAACGTTACTCATTTCCCCAAATGTGCCCATTCGGAGACCCATCCTTCTTGCAGAAAGGCAACGCCAGGCCGAGCCCTAGGAAGGCGGTAAGGGAGAAGAATGCAATGGAGGGCGAGGGGAGAAAGGAAAAGCACTAGGAACGTTAGAGACTAGGTTTCTCACCCCCAGCCTTCCTAGTGCTTGTCCTTTCTCCCCTCGCCTGTACTGGCCGGTACCGCAAACAACAGTTCTGGAGTACAGGCCGTCGTCCGCTGCCGTCGCGTAGTCTGCTTCCTTCAGCCGTCCAGCCCGCGACACGACGCCATGTTGCGAATTAGGCATAAAATGCACAGAGTGCTCTGGTTCTCTGTTTTTTTTTTCTTCCAATCAACGTGTTTGCAGTTCTTTAGAAGCCACAAGAATGGGCATCATATACATATATTGAGTGTGTGCCTTCGATGACCCACGACTTTGATTATATTTGGTGTGTGACTCTAAACCATAAAAGACGGCACATGACCACGGAGAAGAGTGGTGAGCGGGACTCAAACCGGTTAGTTTTCGATCGACGGTTTTAGGGCACTCATATGCCATGTCCAAATAATAATAATAATAATAAAAATAATAATAAAAAAATTGGCGAGCGCAAATATTTCGTCAGTGCTGCTTTAAAAGGGCGTTTATAACCCTGATTCCCTGACGTTTATAACCTAGGAAAAGGGTGTTTCATGAAAGGTGGACAAATTCGATATTGCAAAAACTACGCATCGCACAAAAAAAAAAAAAAAACAACGCTTGTGTCGTTTTGGTTTTAGGCCAGGGGCCTATTTAGGAAAATAATTGAAGTTCGTAATAATTAAGTTAATTATTTTTTGCGTAAATATTTTTTATGTTGAGTTTAAGGCCATGGTTTGATTTGGAAACTTGCTGAGCATCATCGGAAAACACTAGATAAAAAAAAATTGGAGTGCGATAGAAGGCACGCGTTGCATTTTGCAGCTTTCTGAAAAACCGCACAACTTCGACGGGTTTTTAAGTTTCGATTGGCAATCGGAGCGCTTCTCGGCATCGATAATACCGCGCCCCGTGGAGAAACTGACCTCGCGCAACGCAGCAGAGGCAAGTTGCACTGTTTCTCCACGGAACGCGGTGCCGTCGATGCCAAAAAACGCTCCAATTGCAAAAAAAAAAAAAAAAAAAAAAAAAAAAAAAAAACACACGTTCAAGTCGTGCTGTTTTTCAGAAAGCTGTAACATGCAACGCGTCCCTTCTATCGCGCAATTTCTTTTTTTTTTTTTTTTTTTGCGTTTTTCGATGATATTTAGCAAGTTTTCAAATGAAACCATGCTCTTAAACTCACTTTTTAAACAAATTAATTACGCGAAAATAATTAACAACTTAATCATCCCGAACTTTAATAATTTTCCCAAAATAGGCCCCTAGCCTAAGACCAAAAGCGACACAATCCTTTTTTTGGTGCGATGCGTAGAATTTTCGCAATATCGAATTTGTCCACCTTTCGTGAAACACCCTGTAGATTTTTGTTTCCCCGCGCAGTGGTAGTTGTAGGGAAAAAAATAACGAAAAACGGCAGCGTTCCAGAACAAGCGGCCCACGTGATCTAAAGACGATTACATATGCCGCCAATGTTGATCATAGCCACGCGCTGGGGTTGGCAAAGCACAGGCCACGCGCCGAGTTCCAGACATTGTTACGGTTCGACTATTGTCGTCATTGCTGCGAATGAACACGGGCCACTTACCCAATTGCTTGCTGGTGCTTGTCGCGCTATTGATTATCACGAGCCCAAATCGAGTGCTCAAGCAATGCCCGGGTTCCATTAACGAGCCGAATTCAAATATCGTTACACCAAAACAAGGACGCTTCTTGGTCAGTGGCGTTCCGTGCTAGTATACTTGCTCGGAACTGCCAATAAACTCGTGTAAAGTAAAAAAAAAAAAATGTTGTACCGCTCTTTTATATGGACACAATCATTTATCTTTGTGCCACGTTTTAATGAAGCTGCGGACATAATTTTAAGTTGCGTTTTCTGTTATACACCGACTCAAGTCTCTGACGTCACGTGACTGCGATGGCGCTCAGCACTGCGCATGCGCAAACGCTTCATCTCACGCGAATTCGGTGTCTTCCAGTGTTCGGTACAGTACATCTAACGAGTACTTGAAGTAGAGTACAAAGTAAATGAGAGGTTATGTACCTCAAGTAGTAAGTGCACCGGGCAAAATGTACTTGAGGTAAAGTACTATAAATTCAAGGTACTTTCTAAGTACAAGGACTTTTTAACGCAACTTTTCATGATGTCCACCCAATCCCTTAATTATTATTATGTTTTTTTGTTTTTGGCTGATATGCATTGTTTTAGGGTTAGGGGGTGCATCAGTTATTTCAGGAAATGGCGGCGAATTTAAGAAAAGGTGGCCTTACTCTTACTTTACGAACTATTTAAAGCAATCAACTTTTAAGGCACTATTGTGTCGGTCTTATAGCCGCCATGATTAAACTCGGAAAAACTGATAGGATGACGTCTCGAAAGATGATAGTGCGTTTTCACACTACTATATACACCTTTCTTTTTCTTCTCTAAGGTAGGCGATTTTTTTTTTTACTCGAATTTAGGAGTTGTGTATAGTACTAGGAAAGCTAAGGACGCGAGCGCGTGGGGTCAGTAATCCGGAGGAGAGGCCCCACTTCAGTTTCCTTTGAAAACTAAACTACGGACAAAAGGAGATTGCCTTTTAGCACGTCGAGATTCCTTCAGGACAATAGGTCATGTAGAAGAACTTGTAGTTGGGCTAGTTGGTAAACGTTGGTATTCATGTTACAAGGCGCAAAAACACGGACACAAGAGAGAGAGACAAACAGGCGCCTGTTTGTCTCTTTCTCTCTTGTGTCCGTGTTTTTGCGCCTTGTAACATGAATACCAATAGGTCATGGTACGCATACTCTATTCATTCCGTTTTTCTTTTTAATTTTTAGAATATAACATTGTAAAATAAACTCCGAATTTTAAAGAATTAGGAATTTAACAAAAATAAACTCCGATAAACCCCGAATTTTCAGAGAAAAATAAACTCCGAAAAACACCTCCATTGCTCCTCCCCCCCCCCCCTTCCCTTCCCTTCCCCCCCCCCTCCCCTCCCCTCCCCCCCCCCCCTCCCCCTCCCCCCCCCCCCGCACTGCCGTCGCACACTGCCGTCTCCTGGCTGCGCCCATCGGGAGATGGCGCCACACGGTACAACCATCGCTAACTCGGTTGTCCGCGAACCCGTCCGCTGCTGATCCTGGCAAGTCTGCTTTCTAAGCGCGCCCAGAAGGTAGACGCGTTTTCACAGGAATCATTCACGATAAAACTGCGGGTTGACGTTATGCGAAAGCGCTACTCTTCTAGAACCGAAAGTACAAGCCCCCCTCGCTCGCACCGATCTAGGTCTTGTAGCTTAGGCAGGCAAAGGGAGGACAATGCTTGAGGGAAGTGAGAACAAAACATGCAAGAGCAGAAACGCAAAACACAAAAACACTCGAAAGAATGGTTGATCCTTGGCACTGAGAAAGGGCGACTGCGGCGTATGATACGACTGATACGTGATGCGAATGAACTGAACTCGTGCCCAAGGACGGTGTAGCTTTTCCTCTATGCGCTTAGAAAGAATTTGTGGCTGAGTAGTGTATGGCGACATACACTGCGCAAACACAACGCCTATGGCTTTTTCTTTTTTTACAGCATTTTTTTTAAAGGGTACCATTCAGGTTATCCCAGCGGAGCACTCTCCCTTAATACAGTAGTTATGATGAGAGTTCTTACATACTGAGAGAAATACAAAAAAGAACCGGCGATAGCTCGCTAGCGCCAATGAATCATCGCGAAACCATTGAACCACCGCCCGACAAGACGCACACCGTAATAAATCAATAAAACGGCGTGTGCCTAGAAAGCGCTGTCATACAATGATTGGAATCGCAAAGACCAGCAAATCAAGAAAAAAAAAAATGAAGACGCCACACACTGCCAGTTAACACTCTCCCGACATATCCATAGCTTGACACGCTTTGAATGACTAAAACTTGTGTTTACAACACACCACTGACGCGAAACCATGCCTAAACGAGTTGGAGATCTTACTTGGTCGTTGCGTCGCAATGTCGAACTCCGGGAACAATTCGGCACGCTGTAGAATGCGACGGCGGCGAAATTTTCTCGCGGTCTAGCAGACACCCGCGGAAGCAGACGACTTCGCGAGTCTCCCCCCGTTTATTTTCGCTTAACTTCCGCTTCCGGCAAAATAAGCCAATCGCGTTCGTCGCTGTCACGCTCTATCAGTGTTGCTCGACGAAATGCGCGGATTTTTTTTTTATTTATTTGTTTCAGTGCGTCTTTCATTGGTTTTTGTTTGTCGGCATCATAAGCACCTGACACAAATAAACTGTTACCAAGGCTACAAAAATGGTTACAAATCTTGAGTAGTCTATACAATGTGAACTAAAGAATGAGTTTCAACAAATACAGGATTTATTAAAAAAAACTGTGTAAAGTGCAATTTTTTTTTCTTCGTGCCAGGCTATTAATGCAAAAGTAGTGGCGTAGCCAGGAATTTTTTATTTCTTCTGGGAAGGTGGCTTGAAGTGGCTGGGATGTTCATGACTTGGGGTGCAGAGGGGAAGGGATTGAAACGCATGTGTATATTATAGGGTCGCCTAGATTTCGAGCAAAGGGGGAGAACTGAAGACCCATATACCTCCCCTCTGGCTACACCACTGCAAAGGTACAACCGAGCTGGCCGAGAAGAATAAAAGTAATATTCCCTAGAGAAGTAGAATAGGGGGACAAAGGACAAACGCAAATCAACAAACTCACACAAACAACCTGGCTGTGTTCGGAGATTTGTGTTTGTCCTTTGTTCCCCTTCTCTAGGGATTATCATCATTAAGCTATGCTGTTGGCATTTTTACGTCAATCCCATTTTTTGTGCCTTCAGTAAATTTAATTTTCACACCAACGTGAGACGTCCTGTAAAATCATACTTTTTTTCCCCCTCCAAAGCTTGCAAATACACTTTATCTCGAGGATGCTACATGTTTTATATTTATTCGCATGTCTATACCATCAAGCCTTTCTACTTTACTGAGCCAAATTTGTCACTATTTATGTGTTTGTTTTTATTTCAATCCACAGTTCTTTTTCATAAACACTGCACTACTCCAAATCCTATATTTAGGCATTCAGAACAAGACCCTTGCCGCACGTTCCCACTCAAAACTGTGACTGGTCCGCATGACGAGCTCGATCACAAAGAAACTCGAGCAAAACCCACGCGTTGCCTGACTTGCACCCCACAAAGCGTGCCTCCAACAGTCACGACACGACACTAACAATGTGGACACCCCACAATTACCAGGGTAACACGTCGAGGGATCCAGCCTGTACAAAGTAATCAGTAGTCGGCAACAGGTTAGCAACCAAGTTGACGCTCTGCCTCCAGCATTCACATTTTGCCTTCCATGGCCGCACAGGCAACGAAGTGCTTCCAAAGGCAGAAAGCTCAAGCTCTGGGCGGAACGTCTACTGGTTCTCAACCTGGCACCGACCACAGTCGTCAAAGCACACTGACAATGACGGCGCATCCACATTAGGAGTAAACGACGAGAAAATGACTCGAGCACAGCAAATGGCACACAAGTCCCTAGAGTCATGCTAACTCACAGCCAGTATTACTGTCGACCTGTAAAGCACACTTCGAGCTTGCCAACGTTGCACACGGCGAACTTGGAAAGCGTGTCGACGGTGCCACCCAACGCCCCTGGCAGTTCGAAAACTCGGAGCGACACCTCGGGTTCACGTCGGCTGCAACTGTCGCGGCGAGTTTTTTGGACTACTTCGAGGTTGCATTACTTCAAAGCACATTCTGATTGGTACGGCAAACCGCACACTTTGCCATACGCCAAATCCACACCGCACGCAAAGTGATCGGACACAATCGTCGTGCCAAGCGTTCATCGGTGCCATGTACCCCGTGGAAGTTTCCGTGGTGGAGATCGTCGGAAACTCGTCGCACCAAGCGCCGTTTCGGTTTGCAGATCCGACCGACGCGCAAAGTGCGCCGCCGATGTCTCCGACTTGGAATCGCGCACAATCAAGAGACGTTATGTCGGCCGTCGCACATACGTCACCATACTCCGTTCGCCCCCGAGCCGACGGTGCAGCATGTGCTTCTTGGACCGGTCGCGGATCGGTCTTTCGCCAAAGTGCCTGCAACGTTTCTCCGACCGGTATGGTTAGTGTCCCGCAGACCCAATCCGAAAATGTGAAACAACGCGTGGATTATGTGAAGCCGCCATTAGTTGGTCTCGTCGCTTTGGGCGCGAGGCCCGCGATTGGTTCCGAGTTTGTGCCGAACACCGATGCAGCACTCGCGTGGAACGTGTTTTGATCCAAGCATGCACTTGGAACGCCGACGAAGCGCTCGTGTCCACCGAGTGCTCGCGGTACACGACCAACTAATGACGGCCGCGTATAATCCGTGCATCATTGCTTAATTTCAAGAAGGGTCAATTAGCCACACCCTGCGTCTCTTTGACTGTCGGTGACTAGAGTGACCTTAGGTGGTCCCACTCTCGCTCCCACCCTTGTGCGGACGGCGGGGTGAGGCAACGGAAGCAGGGTGGCCGGCCAGTCCGGCGAGCGCGTGGCTCCCGCCGCGCCGCCGGATCAGGGGCCAACAGAGCGGAGAAGCGCGTCGCCATCGTCTCGCGATTTCCCGTCGTCGTCGCCACTGAGCGGGCAGCACCCGCGGCGTTTGAGGTCACTTGTCGCCCGAGTCGGAATGCTGCTGCTGTTCGGCGTCTTCTCCGCACTGGTCCTGGTGGCTGGCCCAGTCCTTGCGCTGGCAGAAGGCACTGCAGTAGCTGATGCGGTGGCAACCCGTGCACTCCGAGAACGCCTCCCGGTTGCAGTTGCCGCAGCGCTGGAGGGGAGAGGACTCCCGTTGTCGAGGGCGGAAACCCGGCACCCCTCTTCGGAGCGAATCCGAACGACCGAGCCGACTTTGAAGGCCCGTTCATGCACCCGCTTAGGACCGAGCTCTTGCAAACTCCTACGACAGAATGCGCTTCGCAAGAGCTAAGGCTTTGCGATATTTACGACATCAAATATACCTAATATCTACGAGAAATGATCATTTGTAACTAGGGCTCCGTGTTTCTGGATAAATCCGAAAAACACTCGCCGGTAAAATTTCTTGACAATTCGGATTTATCCGACAAACTCCGATTTTAGAGGCCATGGTGGCAAAAAGTGATGGTCGAAGTTCGGGACTATAAAATGTCCGATAGATAGGTGCGAATGGCCAGCGGTCCCGAGGAGGGGCTACTTTGCCCTCTTGCAAGACGAACACCATTGACAAAAGGAGGATTATCTCATTTGTTTTCGCTAGGGCCAAGGGGTCAATGTAGTTCCGGGTCAAAGACGGCAATCTAAGCACCCGTCAGTGCTAGTCATTGTTCCGGTTTCTGGTTTAGACCATACCATTTTTTTTTTTTCTGGAAAGAAAAATGGTATGATCTGATGTAAAATAAGTTCGCTGTTTTTTTTTTTTTTTTTTTTTTTTTTTTTTTTAAATGCAGTGAAATTAAACTCTGAATTTCGGAGAATTGGGGATTTACGAAAAATAAACTCCAACAAACACTGAATTTTTGCTAACAAATAAACTCCGAAAAACACCCTCAGAATTTCATTAAATATAAACTCTGAAGACACAGAGCCCTGTTTATAACATTGTCAAGAGTTTTTCAAATCCAAAAATAAAAAAAGCAACACACGAAAAAAAATAAAGAAGGAAATAGACGGAAACGAAACGGGTTCTGCGGCCACCCGAGAAGCGGCGCTGGCGTTCTCTCTCGTCTTAAAAGATCTTAAGGGGTTTTAAGAGACGCGGTTGTAAGCAGTCGCAAGTCTGTGAACCATCCTTGAAAAGGAAAGGTTTAATTTTTTTTTTCTCTTTTCTATTGTGTTTAGGAGCAGTGCACGTAGGTCTGCAAGGAATGCCAAAAGTTGATAGCAAGTCCATCGTGGTCCACACCCCACTCACGTCAAACCCAACTGCGGCCGACGCTACGAGGCCAATCGAGCGCCGCCGAAAGCGAATCGTTGCAGTGCTTGTCACCATTGTGCGTTTCCTATCGCCTCCTAGACCAACTGCACACAAAAGAAACAGCAACTTGCACTTGCAGGATTACGGTGCACTTGCTGCGAGCGATAGCTTCGGCAGACACGGCGGACGCACAAAAATGACAAGCGCCGTGACGATTCACTTTTGGCATTGCTCAGCTGGCTCCGGTCGAACTCAAATACGAAATGGAGTACCCTAGAAGAGGTTCGAGTTTGAGGATTGCGCAGGCCAAAGTTGTCCCACGTAGTGCATCGGTACCGCCGTAATCGATCTGGGCGTTTGTTTAGCTGGTGGGAAGTTAGGTAGCCCCAATGGGTGTCTCACCTTTCCGCTGTAAATAAGAAATTTGGACGGTGCAGAACCACCACTGGCCCGGGTACCTCAGCCACGATTGTTTGGGAAAGGTTCTCGCACACGGCCACCCATTTGCTTTTTAATCTGAGCTCACCTCAATCTATGTGGCATGGTTCACAGCAAACCAAACTTTCTTCCGCTTAGATCTATACGTATTTCACCAAAAAATGGCACCTAAGCCATACCTTGACTGTGCTCAGGAACCATCGTGCGGATACCAGCAGACTGGCTTGCTTCCCAAAATTTCACCGCTAGTTGCAATGAATAAAACGAGGGGCGTGGAAAAATTTGCATAAAACACGACGCTTCGTGCATGTCAGCGGCAACAATGTTCCCTGCTTCATAACTAGCACTTGCTTGCCGCTACTTTTCGCACGTTCGAAGTTGATATGGGGGATTCCTGCAGTTCCTAAAATTAATCTTCAAGATTTGGCGGGGGCAGGTTGTCGGACGCCGACACCTCCATCCTAGCCCGATCCGAGCCCAACACACCTCGAAATGAATGGGCCCAAACCCGACTCCGAATAGAGTCCTTGTACAGGGCATTCGATTTTATTTAAAATAGATTTATTGAAAAACAAAAAAAGCTGCGAAAGGCAGATTAATGAGGTCCATGTAGGTGAGGTGTATGGCGAGGGGGAGATAACATAGGGAGCTAATCCTCATGATACGTCGAATAGTTAACTAAAGATAGTTAATCAACTTTTTACTTATCGAAAATAAACATATCGTTACAATTAGAAACCTGCTGAGCATCATCTAAGACCACTAAATCAGTCAAGTTTAGAAAGATCTGAAGCATGGGGCAAGCACTGGGGAGCACTAAAGTTACTGCACGTGCGACAGGTGCCAGCCAGTAGGTGCGACAACGCGGATGAAAAGATTGACGTCCGCGCTTTCGTACCACCAGCATTGCACCATTCGCACGAGCCGAACCTTCGGTGCACCGGCGTGTTTGCCGTACGCTTCAAACCTTTCCAAGTAGGCTCGCGATAATTCAAACTGATATCTCATACTTCCGGTTAATTCAAACAATTTTTAAAAAGTTGGTCGTCCTGCTACTTTTTTTTTATGTATTGATGAGCCGCCTAAATTCGAGCAACGTTTTTTTGCAATTCATACTTTTTGTTGTCGCGGCCCTGCTGAGTGCGTTTCCTTCCAAGCACCGGTGCACTGCAAAGAAGCTACACCTGCAAAGCTCGCTTCCGCGAGTGTTGCTTCCCCACAGCGCACCGGTGCTCGGCAAGAAGCCCGCTCGACGGGGCTGATAGTCCACAATACTGTAAAATACCGCAAAAGCGCCCACTATTACCATTTCCCAAACCTGCGGAATTCTGCAAATTGTACGTTAAGGCTGCGGTCCCACGGCAGCCATCTTGAACAAGGCGTTAGTTCAACCAATAGATGGCGACACGCACCCGTGGGGTGGCCGAAACATTGGTTCACAGTGGGATGGCTCGAGCACCATCACGTTCCCCTCGTGGCCTTGCTCGCGCCGCTGCCAGCTGTGCTCAGCTAGCTCAAGTAGCGTGGCCCAGCAAACGGATGTATGCGAGAATGTCAGGCTGGGTATAAATTGTTCTCTGATATAGGGAGATGCGGTTCGGCGGGTGTAACGGGCTTTCGCAATAAATCTTACCAAGAAGGAATCAAATGTTGATTGACGTGTCAATATTCTATCAATAAAAGTTTCCTCTGCAGGAATGCACGCTCAGTAGACTCAATCTTCCAAGACGCCAGTGGAAGCGGACGTCAACTAAACTGCTTCGGGATTTACGGTACTTACCTCACCATTTTAATGACGACTAAAATAACGTCACGAACTATTGTGTTTCACGGGGTCCGGAAGATGTTGTAAAGGTTGTTACGATATAGTTCCCAGAAACTTTCTGGAAAGACTCGAAGTCTTCGTTGAGTCCAACGCCATCATGAACAGTAACTGAAAACGATCCACTATTCAGTCGGTGGGTGGCGAAACGTATCCGCATCTGCGGAGTCATGGTCGACGCATACTCTAAGTGGCTGGAAGTTTACACGATGCCTGCCACGACGTCCAAACACGTCATTGACGTTCTACGGTCTCTTTTACCCACTTTTGCCCTACCGAAAATACTTTTCTCTAATAACGCGCCAAATCTTGCTTCAAATAAAATAAACAAGTTTTTGAAGACAAAAAAAACAAAAAAAAACGGCACCAGTCATCACATTAGTGCACCATACCATCCTGCAATTAACGGGCAAGCAGAACAGATGGTGTGCGAAACGAAAAAAAGCTCTTTTGAAGCTTACGGAAGAAGCAGTTTAGTGAAGAATCGCCAGGTTCTTATTCCAGCAGCACGCGACGGTCTCATATTACACGGTAAAAACACCCACCGAAGCAATATTCGGCGGACGAAGAGCCACACCCCTTGATCTGATGATCCTACGAACGAAGATAGAGAGATTCCCAGATCGGGAGTAATGGCAGTTTATTCGGTCGGACAACTCGTCTACGTGAGGAATTTCAGCGGAAGTCGGGCCTTCCATGTAAAACTTGAGTAGAAAAGGCTCTATAGTAGTTGACCAGAAGGTGTCATCCCTCTGAATACGTTGGATATCAGTGCCCTTGAGTGTAAATATAACTAAATCACAAAACTCTCTTTGTGTATTGTGTAACTGCCTTTGTATTTGGTAGTAGAAGCTATGGTGGTGATTTGGACCTTTCACACCAGGCTCCTTTTTTCTTATTTTTCGCCTCATACTCCTTTGCGGTTTAAGTATGCTTCAAGAATCTTTTGGAACGGGGACACTTTACGTCAACGAGGCCATTTGTTTCAAGCAGTCAATCAGGGAATACTGCTAGAAATCCGTCCCTCATATTAACGAATAAGCCGCGCTTCTGCACAGTGCAGTTTTCCTGTCCCACGTACAGTTGTAAAGCAGCATCCTCATTGATTCTACCATATTCTGTTACGAGTGAAGAAAGTCTTTGGGTACACGATACTTGAAACAAGTCAGGCACTGAACGTTGTGGTTCGACACCCACTAATGTCGTCGTCCTTATAGAGCCTCATCATTTAATCATTACCTCGTCACCTCATATTTCTCTTCATCAACAGTAAGTACAATAGGCTACCGCCATATTACAATCCAAGAATTGAAAGATTGAGTCGTTCAGTCCTTCAACAAACTTATTATTTATATAATGTTATTACGTTACATTACCTCGAGACGATCGACCTCCATCGTCGATCTTCAAATACTTATACCTGTATATAAATTAGATGCACAAGGGGGGGGGGTCGGTGGCCGAGTGCATGATCTAGCGCACACCAGCTCGGACCACTGCAGAACCCTCCCCGCCCCTGCCCGTTTCGATCTGGAAGAGCATCGTACCGGCGTGCGGTCGTGTATCCCTACTGCGTGGTGCACGTTAAAGACCCCAGGTTTGCGGTTGCACGGCACTGGCTAAATTGCTCATCTACAGCTGAGACACTAGACGCCCAATGAGGCGGACTAACTTCCGGCTGTATAAACATACACACAACAATTTGCAATTAGACGCATAAACACAAAGAACACAAAGTGCCGCCCCTTTTCTTTGGATGCCTTTTTTAAACCAGCGAAAGCTCGCGCGTTCTCTCTTTTGAGACGGTTAGAACGGTCGCACATAAAACCCGCGTTTCTCCTACCCAGCCGCTTCCTCCTCTCATTATGTGTAGTTGGTTATAACTAAATCAGCTATAATGATGGTGTACTGTTCATATTTATTTTCAGTTTCAGTCAGGGAAAAGGAGTTTCGCGGGAACTAGAGCCAATAAATGAGCTGCGTTTAGAGTATCAGCACTCTCTTCCCCGACAGTGTTGTGAAGGCCACCATTAGGGGTCTTGTGCAGAGCTAACGCAACTGCCGATCGTCATGATTCAAAAGTGCGACTTCCTCAGCATTAGATCCGGTGTCAGGAAGCTGATGCAATATTGCTTTGCTCTGTCGCGGACTGTTTAAACATTTGTGGAGGACGGAAAAGCGTTTCTGTGATTTTAGATCAAGCTTCAGATAACTGGCAACCATGATTTTAAGTCACAATATGCCCAAGTGTCGTTACTCTGAAACGTAGCTTATTTAATGACACTATTCATGCCCTTGTTCAAGGAGCTTGTAATACATGAAGGCGCCATGACGTAAGCCCCGTGGGTTCCCCAAACCACTACCTTTTGACACCTGCTTCTTCCTCATTGTTCCCGCTAGTGCCACTAAATTAGCTACGCTTCAGAGTAGCGACACTTGGCCATATTGTGACTTAAAATCACGGTGCCAGTTATCTGAAGCTTTATCTAAAATCACAGAAAACGCTTTTCCGTCCTCCACAAATATTTAAACACTCCGCGACAGAGCAAAGCAATATTGCATCAGCTTCCTGACACCGGATCTAATGCTTAGGAAGTCGCACTTTTGAATCATGACGATCGGCAGTTGCGTTTGCTCTGCACAAGACCCAAAATGGCGGCGCCCAAAACAATGTTGGGGAACGGAGTTCTGATACTCTAAGCGCAGCTGATTTAGTGACTCTAGGCATGAAGTGAACTCGGGTGTATTTTTTCCTCTTCGTCTTTATTGTTTATTGATCTCAATCATATCGAATAATGAACACATTATATCATGCTACGCTTGTCTAATTATTTGTTTTAGATTTATGAACCTGACCCAGTACGTAAACCATTCATTTATCGATAGTAAATCTTGCAATATATTTTTTAAATGTGAAGGTAAAAAGACACGGAGATTGATGATGATACAGACGCCAACGCCGCCCTCGGAAATTTTTTGAACATTAGAAATCAGCAGTTTGTCTGCCATCCGCCAGGTAGCGCAACAAAACACCCAAACAGTCTTTAATTGTTTTGAAAATTAGCTAAGCTCTACACCTATTAAAAAACCAAAGCAAGATCATTGTGAAAATTTAGTACATTGGAATGTGTATCTATTCCAAACAATAAATATTATTAGATGCCAGTAAATCTGTTTGATGTCTAAAAAAGATATGCGTCAAAAACAGGTAAGTTTGAAGGGCTCCTGGAGCGTTATGACTTTGAAAATGAAAAAAAGCCATCGTCCACCTCTTGGGCAACCATTGTAGCTCTAAATGTTATAAAAGATTTTATCATAGTTTAATTATTTCCTAAGTGGCATTTGAAGTACCATGACTCGAAGCACAAAAAAGTGCTACGTTTGATATAAAATATGTAAACAAAAAAATTTTACATAACATTAAATTTTTTTCTGCATATTACCAATTATAAGCACTACATCTGTAGCTAATTTCATTGTACTAACAGTTGTCATTAAAAACATATTTGTGCTGAAATATGTCAATTTTAGGACAATATTTGGAGGGATGAAAAAAACAAAGTACTGCAAACACCAAAAAAGTGTATCGTCACATTCTGCTCCGACATCATCTTAACAAAACTGCTATATTGGAACCGTGTTATCTTTATTGGATCGTTCGTAAAACATGAACTAGCGGAGCAAGTGAGGGTCCGCGCCATCATATTCGCAACGCTACAAATGCGCATGAGCAGTATAAACCAATACACACGTAATATCAAATGAAAGAGGATTGCATTGCCTTTCGAATGACATCAATCTCACAAAACAGGATTTAAAAGGAGATGAGTGATGACCTGCCAAAAAGTACCTAAATTGCCAGATTCAGTGGGACCGTGGCCTTAAGCACCGACATCGGCCAAAAATATTCACCTCATTGCAGCGGCGACGACGAGACCGCCAGCGGCGATGATGGGGATATCGTGTGAAAATAAAAGCGCTTTTTCCAATTCCGTTCACCCTGCCTTCAAAGCTTTTTATTGGCCGCCATCTTGGTTCCTAGCGACTGGACCGGAAGAGCGCCCATGTCTAGAATGACCCAGTTTTCAGTGAAAGCGGGGTCGGCACTTCCCGGGTATTTTACGATGGACATTTTTTTCCTGGACGAAGAAACTTAGTTTGGTTTTGAGGTCTCGTGTGCTGTCTAAACAGTCCACGTTAGACAATATTTTTGAGGGACGAATAAACTCCTAAATTTCATCGGTGTTTCATGTGTGGCATATTTACGCATTATTACCAGGCCTGTGTAAAAGAAATTGTCAAACACCTGTACTGCATGTGTAGCCATCGACATAACAACTCATAATTTTACCTTGCATCACATGTAAAAATATTTTTGTTGATAATTCAAACTTCTAGTAATTTAAACAAAATTTGTGGCTTCCAGCAGTTTGAATTGATGACAGTCTACTCTATTGATTGACCTAGCGGTTTCAGATGACGCTCAGAAAGTTCCTAAATGGAGCAATACGTTTAGTTCCACTAAGCAAAACGTTAATTAAGAAATATTTGGTTAATTCTTCGGCTTATTGTGAAGACAAGACCACAGATAGCTGTGCTCTTTTCAGTGATGCCCGGCCCGCACCCCACTGCTACCAACGCAAAAATAAATATGAGTAAAAAAACGGCGATGACACGTGCACTAAGAGCGCTCTCAGAGAGAACGAGAAAACCGCGTCGAAACACGGGTTCTCTCGCCATGTTATTTATTCTACATTGTCACCAGCAGAATCACTATTCGTAGTTGCCTGTTTCTGCATGACAATCTTAAAATTCTTTGCATACTGCGCTTAGTGTCCCGTGTCACAACTGTCGCACGTTGTCACCGTCAGGTCTACCATTCCCAATAGTATTCTTTTCCTGCGCAAATATTCCAAAGTTCCAACGCACTTTGATTTTGTGCCTGTGGACTTTTCTGTGTTGCAATCATTCTGTATTTTCATAATTAACAACATACTGAATTCAGAAAACAAGTATATGCAGTGATCCCCTTACTTTTTTTTTTCTTCATTACTCTAGTTTAAATTTTATTATTTAAATGATTATTTAGGTTCACTTATTCAGTATCTCCTAATTTATATTTACTCGTTTATTTTCCACTCCGCTCGCCCCGTGCCGTGGCGTGCCCTCACCTTGGCGGTGTCTTCCTTGTCGGCAGGCTCGGCCCGCGCTTCGACCTGGACCCGCTGGAAGGCCTGCTGGACCGCCAGCTCCTTCTCGGCGCGGGCCTCCATCATGCTCCGCGAGAGGCTCATCTGGGACTCCACCCAGGTGCTGTTCAAGGCCTAAAAAAACACAAAAAACAATTTTTATTTTTTTTTATTTTAGTTGAGTATTTTGATTTGGGGAGAGTTAAAAAGACGGAGAAATGATAGTTCTCCGGTTCGCCCTCCGCGCGAGCGTTTTGGACCAATCGCAGCTGCGACCCCGGAATGCGCCGCACGTTCCCGCAAGCGTAATGCGAGGGTCTCGTCACTGGCGTCGTACCCTGGGACCGCACTTCACCAAAGCGAAGGTTTTACGGCATTTGCGAGGCCAAACGTACGCACTATCTTTGAAAAATGGTCGTTCATAACTACCGCAAAATACCGGGCAAGCGCCCACTCGAAACTTATAGATAATCGCGAAAAAATGGGGGATTGTCAGGTCATCAGTTTTACATATAAATGTACTGCGCATATTTTTCATACCTTAGAAACTTGGATACGGGCGCTTAATGTGGAATGGGCGGATGCGCGGTATTCTACGGTATGTTAAAAAAGTTTTTCAATCCTAAAAATAGAAAATGTGCAAAAAAAAAACAATGTAGGAAAACTACGGAAATAAAAAGTGCTCCACTGCTAGCTGACGGGTGGCGCCAACAATCGTCGCAGGAGATTTTAAGAGGTTTTAAGGCACATGATCGTAAGCAGTTGCAAGTGTGCGAGCCAGCCTTTAACCTCCCGTTTAGGGAAGGAGCCCGGCGAATAATGTGGAATAGGCAATGTTTGGGCGGCGGGGGGGGGGGCACAATAAAGAGGCAGCGAAATGGACAGTTTCGTGTCAACGACAACATCGAGTGACGTAAAAACGTGAGCTTACACTTTAGTGTAAGCTCACTGCACTAGTTCTCACAAGATCTGACAGTTGCACACAAAACTCGCGAGTTCCTACAAAACTGCGAGTTTCACGAGATTTGTGGGTTCTCACGAGTCTCGCGAGTCTCGCAAGACGCGTTGGTCTTTGCAACACTTCTCAGTTTCACAGAAAACTCGTGAACCTCTGCAGGACTTCAGCCTCCGAGTTTTCACGGGCAACAAGTCTGCCGAAATCGGAAAGCGCCTTCGGCGATGAGGCCTCACTGGGAAGAGCGTCGGCGCTGCGGAAGACGGAGACACAGGCCCGCCTACCCACCTCCTTCTTCTCGTTCTCCAGCTGAATCTTGAGCTGCTGAAGCGCAGCCTCCCTCGCAGCGACCCCCTGTGCCTTGACAATGTCCACCTGCTTCTGTAGCTCCTGCACCTGCTTCACAAGGTTCTTCACCATCTGCATTGCAAGGGCGAGTCTCGGGCACACTCACACCTCGACTAGTCGAAACCCACAAGCAATCAAAGTACTTGCACACTTGTACATTAAAGTCTTGACACAGAGTTAATACTTACATAGAATTAGTTTGGGAATGCATACAACAAACTTGTAGTTTAACCCCCCCCAAAAAAAGCAAAACTTAAAAAAAAAAAAAAAACATTCCACAGTACTTTTTAAAGGGGCCATGAAGCTAGTGGTGACGGTGAAAACCACGACATCAAAAATAAAGTCATAACAAAACAGAAAGAAGTCAAAGACCTCAAAAATAGCAAGATCTATTCAAGCACACAACTTAACCACCACAATCAGTCAATGTGATCCCTAAAGTATAGTGTATGAACAAAGTGCTATGATTTATTGCATAAACAAGTCAAAGTATGTTCTAGCAGTCACAACTATAGTCAAACCTCCTCTGCTAAAGTGGAAAGAGGTGGGAGGAGCTTCCCCTGAACTCTTAACCCGTCACTGACCGTGAAAGCAATCGGACTCGCCAACTCGTCGTGCCGTGACAACTCCGACACCCTGGTACCGTGACCAGAGCATCAAACGTAAACGACCGACACCAACAAGCCTCAAGCAATGTGCAGGAGGCACGTCAAAATATCTTCGGCAGGCTTGCAATCACTCGTGATAACACCACGAGCTCCGAGAGACTGCAAGCCTGTCAAAGGCATCTTCACGTGCACATTACATGTGCCTGAGGTTCGTTGGTGTCAGCTGTTTCCGTTCGCGGGCCTAGTGGGACCAGGACGTAACAAATCCATCTGCACACTTTCCATTAACTGCTATGAATCCTCGAACACACAACCAATGCATGCTGCATTATGTTTTTGCAGAGATCCTCTCGCAAAAAAGGGATCCTCCTGCGTCAACGATCGACGCCAGTGCTAAAATCGACAGCAAGCCCGTACAGAATTCTAATACCCATTCTTCCGTCCACCCGTTTGTGCAACCGTGGAATGAACGGATGGATCGATGAATGGATGGATGGCATCGGCTACACCCATTGTTATCGGGCGGAAGCTTGCACCGTCTAGCCTCGAATTTTGCTCTAAATTCCGTCTCTCAATAAATTGCCCACCCCACCAGTTTCATGCGTTGTCGTGCCTCTTTGCGATGCACTGCACAGTGTTGCTTACTTCTTCCAGTTGCCACCACATGCGCTGCTCCCCAAAATCGAGCGCCGTGGGCGCAAACCTCGGTGCCAGCGGCGTCGACACGGGTGTCGTGGTCTCGATCGTCGCATCTGCAAAAGCGGGAGAACCGTCGATGGAGGCCCGTCCTTTTCCCAGTACCATTTCATGGCATACGAATCTCAAAAACAACACCAAGCCGTTACGGCAGTCCTTCCGAGCCACAGACACAATTTTCTGGCCTCGTTTCCGACTACAGTTTCGTTGGCCGGGAAACGCTACCGTTTACAGGCAAAGAGCACGTCCTATCAGAAAGACCCGAGCTCACGAATTTGCCACAACAACTCGCTACGTGCAAACGTTTGTCGCAATAGAGTCCACCGTTGGCAAAGCTCGCCTAACAGCAGACGTAAAACCGGCTGAAACTGACAAACGCATCTGTTGGGTCCATGTGTCTGCAGCAATCAGACGTGCCTTCAACAAGCCGACCATACCGACACCACGGTCCCGGCTGCTGAAGCTTCCGTGGAAGCCAAAGGGCAACCTGCAGCAGAACAGGCGTCCACCAGATCCACCACCGCCGCCGCGATACCGCAAGGATCGTGGTCAGCGACGGTGCGATGCCTCTACAGCGTCGCCGGGCGTAAATCAAAAGGACCCCTTTTCTGGGTGCGGTAAGCACGCCGGTCGGAGACTCGTTGCAGGCACCGTACTAAGCAGAGCGATTTCACCTCGCCGATACGGGAGAGCGCTCGAATCGCCGCACAGAATGTACATTCTAGTCAGTTGCAGGTTTGTGAATAGCAGGGCAAGCCCCTTCCCCAAAGCTTTCTGCTAGTCAAGATTGGTGGCTTCCTCCTTGCCACTCGCCTACTCTCCAATATGCATTCTCTCTGTTCAAGGGGAGCGAGTGGAGAGCTCTGCGAAGGAGAGTGTCCCGCCTTTCTCCGTCCGAAATGGACCGTAGAATGTCGTCGTCTGCACCGGCAGAAGAGGCAGGTGGTACCTACCGGAAAGGATGCTGCCGCCGTCCACCAGGTTTCCGACGACCACCCGGCATGTGTCGGGCACCATGGCCGGAGCGAGGGTCACCGTCACTGTCCCGAAAGCGAGCGATCAAATTAAACTTCTCCGAAGCGCGGGTCGTCTGCACCGTTCGAGCTGGTGCGCTCCCGTGAGAAAACGGTTCAACTCGACCGACCTCGTGACGAACCAGAAATGGGGCAGCCGTGGGCAGTGCTGAACGAAACAAAATGGGCCAGTGGAATGCGTGGCCCCGTGTAGATACAGTGACTCTAGTGATTACTAGATTAACCGAATGGCGGAGCTGTTTGGTTACTCTAGGCTAGAGTAACTGCACGTGCTAGCTGTTTCCGTTAAAGTAACTGTATATGCTCCTCGAGCAAATCACGCGCAGTTACTCTAGTGACGCCATGCGCTGCATTGGTCCATTTCGTTTTGTTGAGCACTGTACCGTATGCCAAAGCTATGAAGTAACTACTAATCAACTGCCTAATTAAAAGTAAATGACTGAAATTTTTTGCATTTCTGATGACTAACTTATTGTAGTTTGAATCTGAGAGTAACTTGTAAGTTTGGTTTCATTTTTTTTTTTTTAATTTATGTCGACAATTGCATGCATTCAGATTGATTTAGTCTTCACATCGATGTTGTGCGTTGGCGTCACTTTATGCTATGCCCCGAATAGAGTCCTGAACCGACTGGGAACTGTGCAACTATGTTTTGCATGCTCCAAATCGAACCATTTATGATCAGCTATTTCAACACACCTTGATGTCGTGGGATATATTAAAACTACTAGAAGAGCAACCCTACTTTTTTGCGAGTAACTCTAACTAGAGACATGAATGGGGTGATCAACTCTAGAAAAAGGGGGACCGACTCGAAATCTTTTACCCTACCTTTGGGCGGTGCTGGCGCGATCGGAATCGGCTTCTCCGGCGGATCGTCCGGGGACTTCCCACCCAAGATCGGCTCGTCCCTCCGTCTCCGCTTGTATGGAGTGTACAGCCGTACCGGTCCACTCTGCAATGGCAGCAAACGCTGGGTTATCCTGCGACACTTCACAGAATCACCCCACACCCCATCGAGCTAGCGTACAACGGCGATCCACAAATCCGGACAACACACAACTCGTCGCTCGATTTCGTTAATATATCAGCGGGCTCATACTGCCACCGTACACCGAGTCGCCGCCAGTTTGCCTGCGGCCTGGTGGCGCCAACACCGCACGCTATATGTCTTCTTTGCGACGCAGAAGTTGGTTGAGGCTATACGGGGTGTTTCTATGATTTTTCCACGATTCTATCGAACCGAACCAGGGATGAGTTTGGGCAGTGGTGTCCTCCGCTCTGCTTTCGACGACTCGGACCAACTGGAGTGGCACTCACCACGACCATGTCATCACAGCAAGCAGCGCAGGTGCACGAAGTAGCGTGGGGCATGAGAATGCCATCCTCGATGAGGCACAACAGGGTTCGCCCGGCATAGCGGATGCTCCGTTTCCAGTCCTTGCTGCTCCCTCGACCGCAGAGCGCCTCGAACTCAGACGGGGTGTACCAGCGCACCCCGGATTTGATGCACCGCCCACGGCCGCCTGAGCGACATTGCAAAGAGAGTGATGATGCAATCATTTAAATTATACCCCCCAAGGGGGGGGGGGGGGGGGGGGGGGGGGGCATGTGTGAAGAAGTACTGTGAAATGATACACCAAAAGGAGCAATGACCCAATCCCATGAAACGACACCACAAAGGGGCAACGATCCAGTCATGTGGAATTACGCTCCAAAGAAAGTAGTCACTCAATCATTTGAAATGACACCCCGAAAGGAGTAACGGCTCGGTTTACACCTTAGTGAATTGGAGGTGTAAACGTTTACAGCTTCGTAAATTTGATCTCAACCGGCTGGCTGATTGAGAGGAACCTGAAACAGTAGGTGAGATATTTAATAAAATTAATCTTAGTATTAATGTTGCCGGCCTGTAATAAGCCAAAGCCTCCTCCGCAAGCGGGGCTTGGGAGCTCTCTAATTAGAGGGGCGCTGCGCCTAGGGAGCGGTGGCCTATGCTAAGCAGGAAACGGTCGCTTTGGCCGCCGACCGCTTGTGTACGCTTCAACAAGCTTTGGAGCAAACTCAAGCCTGAGATTATAATTTATTTTCTCCAAGCAGAGCAAAGTTAGAAGTTACAATGCATAGTGCGGTCTATTTAAAGGGGCGATGCAACAATTTTTGTGATTTGCGCAAATACCGCTTAAAACGGATACCTGACGTTAATGACATATGAAACATGCGTTCGTTTTTCACCCCATGCAATAGAAGTTCCAGAAAAAAACGAGCACCGTTCACCCCCTCAACTCGCAGCCAGAACAAGCGGCCACGTGATCTGGGGCCGATTATATGCCGCCAATGTTGATCATAGCCCTGCGCTGGGGTTGGCAAAGCACAGGACGCGCGCCGAGTTCCGGACATTGTTATGGCTCCGCTATTGTCGTCGTTGCAGCGATTGGACACGGGACACTACCTGAATGCATGTCGAGGCATTGATTGTCACGAGCCCAGATCAAATGCGCACGCAGTCTTCACGTCCACTGTGTGAGCAGCATTTGAATATCGTCACAGCTGGGATCGTACTGTTGCCATTGTCCCCACAGCACCGTCATCAAATTTCACGAAGGAGCAAAAGGCGGCTTTGGAAGGAGAGACTGAAAGAAAAGCTTTGCTTTCATCCTTTGAATTCCGCCGCGACGAAGACGCTTGTTGGTCAATGGTGTTGCGTTCGAGTATTCTTAGGTTCCACTAGTGCCAGGAAGCTGATGTAAACAAGAAATATTCCTATCAAATGTCGTTGCACAGCCCCTTTAAAAGCCTAGCTTGCTGATCGCTTTGACTTGCTAGGCCTCCAAATAGACCGTAGATTACCTCTCGCTTTGTTTCGCTCCGGAAAAATTAGTTATAATCTCAGACTCCAACTTGCACAAAGCCTTGTTAGAACAGCCAAGGGTTCAGCGGGCAACCATCTCCCCCTCTCAATGTCATGTGCTGCTCCCTCAGCACACAGCTGCTCCATCGAGAGAGCTCCCAAAATCCCGACCACGAAGGGGGCTACGCCATATTACAGGCCAGCGACATCAATACCTCAAACTCTTCCTGTGAGATATCTTAACAATGAAAATCCTCACTCCTGTTCAAACTTTTCATTCATTACTGGCAGTTTTGATGGCATTCTTCGTTGGCACTAATCGACCAACACAAGCATATGAGCTACTAAAAATTATGATGTAAAGTGCTTATTAGTCAGCTTTTTCTGCTCTTGGGACCCCCCCCCCCCCCCCCCTTCTTTTTTTTCAGACTGGAAGCAAACATTGGTGCAAGCACCCAAGCACCCAATAATTAAAAAAAAAAGGCATTAAAAGTTAACATTTTTACTTTTTCCCTAGAATGCAGATGAGCTGGCTGAACCACCTTGCCTGCATATTTCCTTCATTTGTTTATTAATTTTCCCCGTTAACAGGCGTACATACATGTTTGCATGTGTAAGCAGTACGACACACGATCTCCTCTACAATGCACAGTTCAATAGCGCGCACAAAATCAAGATAAAAAAAAAAAAAAAAAAAAGTAGAGAATCTTGTTTTTTCCCTAACTCCCTAGGAAAAGGAACTTTAGGGCGACTAGGGAACCCCTAGATTCGGGGAGGCTTGCAACACAAAAAGCTGCTAGAGTCAGCAAAACCCACCGCTCTCAGAGCGTGGGCGCAGCACTGGTGGGTGCAAAGAAACCAGCCAAAAAGAGACAGAATTGGATAATTAGTTCTTTTAATGGGATACACCTCAAACGCGTCACTCATGTATCATACGTAGAGCCAATTGTTTATCGATTTAATCGACAGCGCAGAGAGCCGAGCCGAACTCTTTTCGAACCAGACAAGAGGCTAGGCTATTACGCACAGACACACATTTCTCAACCTACGATATTTTCTTGTTGGTGCTTATAATCTACCTCTGCCGTGCGTTGTTCCCGAGATAAACTAGGTTCTAGCCTTGGAACATCACACAGTGCTGTTCCCAGAATGAATGAGAGCTTACCCGAACCGAACTTGTTCTTGTGCAGGAAACCGCTGACGTTTCGGCAGCGCACGAGCAGTTCGGCGTCGTGCACGGAAACGTCCCAGTTGTATTTGTACTTTTGGACTTCGCCGTTGCTCCCGTCGGCGTCCTCGGACGCCTGGGCGGCGAGCGATGCTTGCGCGGTCTTGAAGACATCGATAGCGCTCTGGTCGTGTATCACGATGTGCGTGGCCTTCAGACCGGCCTCCTCGAGTTGTTCCGAAGTTATTATGTCGTGCGAGGTGGCGACGAGAACGTTCGGCATCTCGTCGTCGTTGACGCTAACGCTGACCTCCTGAGGTTCGCTGACGGGGAACGCTGCCTCGTCGGCGTTCGGCAAGTCCTCGTTGAATTCCATGGCAGTTATCACGGGCGGTTCGACCGTATCGCCGTCTTCCATGACCATAGTTCGCGGGTTTCGGCTAAGAGGGAGGCCGGTGATGGGTGCATTCGACGACGTCGACGACCAGTTTCTTCACGGCAGAGAGCATCTCGACGATGCACAACGGCACAACCACAACAACACACGGGAGACATACAAGTTCGTTTCTTGCTTTTTCTGGTTTTCAAATTTCTGTGTAATCGGTGTAATCTGGTTCTGGAACAACAAGGTGGAGTAAATAATTGTATTCACTACATTTATGCTCGTCAAATTGTTAAACTTCCTTTAGAATCTTTCAAAATTTTGAAAATAATTTTATTATTAAATGCTTGCGTATTCACAACTTCGATTTTCTAACGGGATTTTGTTTTTAATAAAATAAATCTATGCAACGATTTAACGATTAACACTTAAGACATTAAAATTAAGACAGACAAGTAAGTTACTAATATTCACTTGTACAACATATTTTTAGATAAACCGATTAAACAAGCGCGACCACCATAGTTCCGTTATGCGCTTTTGCACGCGCGTCCGCGCGTTGGGCGCGTCGTCGGTTTCACGTTTTGAGCCTGCCTGATTCCTGTCTGATCTCAATGCTGTTTCGTGTTTGAACGCTTCCCAACGCTCTCCGCGTGACATTTTCACCGTTTTGCGCCGTTTTTTCGGCTGAAACCGGCGAGAAATTCACCGCATCGGAGTGCCGTGACGTGTTCTCGATGCACTGTGCACGTGCGCCGCCGTATCGTCTGCAAATGTGTCACCCTTGCTAGGCCTAACGTGCTAAGAAAACCCCATCTCATCACACAACTCTTCTGATATGCAACCTGCCCGAGTAAAGTCTACGAAATTCCCTCTCTCGCTGGTCGAAACATGTCAAAAACGCTGCTGGGACTCAAAAAAGATCCTCGAGTGAGTTGTGCCTCCGTCCTAACTTGCCTGTTATGCTCGTTTTCGTTTTGCAAGCCGTCGAACAAAAAGCGGAGCGCTTTGGGAAGTCGTACGATAGTCTGCGTAATTTTCCTGTAAGACCTCCAATATTGAACATAAACCGCCGATAATTTAAGATTAAATCAAAGCCATATGCTGTTCGAGGAATAAGAGGTGGTACTTATTTTTGAAACAACCACAAATTTACGTTTCATGGGGCAGCGCAATATTTCACTGCTAGCTCTGTCGAGCCACTTGCGAAGATTTGGCGTATCCAGCTCCATTTTCGTGTGCTTGTATGAGAACCGTCGCTAGCAAGCAGCACCAATGTATAAGCTTGTACACCTAAACTAAATCCAAGCTTATAAAAACGAGTACCTTCCAAAAGGTGGACGATATCTGAACTTCAGAACAAATTGTGGACTCGCAGTTGATCTCTGTGTAGAACATTGTTGTTCGCGCTTCAAGCTGTCAGCTTTAGTGGTTTAGGGAGACGTAAATTTGTGGTTCACAGCCTCTAAAACAGCTTAATAATTTTTTCTTTATATATATATATATATATTTTTTGGCATGAAGTGGGGTTGGTTATGTAATGTTTGGCACAGGTATGGGGGGATGTGTCCAAGTCGTTAAAACGACAACACTTCCGACCAAGAACCAATTTATTTTTCCGTTTTTCTTTTCTTTTTCTTACGTGTTTTGTTTTTTCACTCTCAAGGGTTTGTGTCCACTGAACAAGGAGGACGAGCTCCTCACGGCAGAAGTCGAAGAAGACGACTACGATGCACTCAACGACGAAACCTTCGGCGCTGGCCTTGGTTAGTGAACCCCTCTTGTCACGTTAAAAGCTTGACACAATCTTGATATGTGCGTGTTTTTTGTGTGCATGCGTTCACACTGTGCACTGTAGTGTGTGTAAACACGACTTTGCTGCTTTTACGTGTTCTGCCCTGGCAGAGTGTTCACATGACGTTAATCTGCCATTTCATTGTTCAGTGTCAGAACGGTGGGACTTGGAGCTTGTGTGTGCCACGCATGTGCGGGTGGCCTCTTAATCCTTGGAACGCTCGCCTTCTGCACGCGTCAGATAGCTTGTTGCGACAAAAGGGGGGGGGGGGGGGGGGGGGCAAAATTATGGTTGTGAATGTGTCAATTGAACTTTTGCCAAATTACCCAAAAACCAAGGAGAATGCTGGGAGCATAGGCACATATGGCATGCACTTGATATGTTTGTATGGAGGGTTTGAGATAAATAATCAAAATAAGGCACTAAAAAAAAAATAAGGCACTAAATAATCAAAATAAGGCAATAAGGCACACAAATAAGGTTTGTTTTAGATTTCTACTTTAGAAGAATTGCTGCTGCGGAGGCCAGCACATGCAGCGCAGTTAACTGTTGTAAAATACCAAGGGAGCACCCATCATACTTTCACTGAAAACTAGATTAGCCTAGACATGGGCACTTGTCCAGCCAAATCGGGTGCTTAGTATATAATTTGCAGAATTCCCAAGTTTGGAGCACTTTAATAGCGGATGCTTCAGGTGCATTTTACAATATACTCTATTTTATACTTAGTATAGACAGACACGCTGTTTACAAACAAGCCCGCGTTTGCCCACACCAGGTGTGGGCACTGCACATGCGCAGAAACCGAATTTGAGTGAACTGAAGCGTCTGCGCATTCGCAGTGCCGTCAACAGTGCCACCACAGCTGCGTGACGTCGGGGACGTGTGTATGTCTATTCAATGCTGTCAAAGCTACTGGTGCAAGCATGTGGCTTCATCTATGGTTTCGTTTGCGTGAGAATGCATGCAAATGATCTGGAAGATCAGATTCCATGCTTGCACCAACAGCTTTGGCAGCGTTGTACACTAAATGTGAAACAGAGCATGTGCTTGAAGCATGCTCCTTTCGTGGTTGAGTAATTTTGCAAAATGTCTCTTGTCGAGCATGGAGCATATCAAGTTACCTGCACAAGAACTTTCCATTATGTTAGTTGTTTCGATGACAGCCTTTTAACTCGTAAGAGAAAACTAATTTGCGCTATCTCTATTGTGCTGCGTTTCTTACGCAGCACAATCGAAGCATCAGGCTTTGGAGGGGAGGCAGATATTTTTTTTTGCTGTGTAGACAAGAAAAAAAGTCTAATTGTCATCATCGTACACTTTGTCAAACTTGTACGAACGCCTGTCGAAGCTCAAGACAGACTTGTCGTGGAAACATGATGGTGTCTACCTTTTTCTCGCTCGTTGTGCGGGCCATCTCGGTGCTTTAATGGTATAAGCATTATGTGGTAGGTGGCGCAAGTTACCGCTTAGTTCAAGGGGTATCGCTCTTTACCAACTTCTTGCCCTCTACTCTTCTTTTGCAGAGGAGGACTGGGAGGAGGCCCACGAGAAGTTTGCGGAGCTCGAGGACAAGGGGAAGACCATCCCTTGCGGTCCCCTGGTCCCCAAGACCCTCCACGAAGAGGACGACCCCTACATCCTACACGAGGTGGGTAGCAAGCCTAGACCCAGTGGCTTTCAAAGTTTTTGTTGCTGGGGCCCTGCGAAAACTAATTTAAACATTCTCGTTCAAACGTGATGAACTCCGTTGCAGCCGCTTGCGGCTGCTGACGACGGAATTAAAGACCCCCCGACGTGTTTGTATTTGTCTCGCAAATAGCATTGGATGCGCCAAAGCACGAGGTCTGCACCTCGTACAGCTCTCGGAAGCAAATAGCGGCGCAGCACTGAAGTGATTGTCCCTTGAAAGCAAATGGAAGGTTATCTAGCGACCGGGAATTATCAGGGAAATTTTAATTACCAGGAAAAATCAAGAAGCGAGCCCATTCAGGGACAATGAGCCTAAAACACCATCGAGTGCCCTGAGCAAAGGCTTGAGGACTTGGGGCCAGAAATATAGGCAATAAATTTTGCTTAGAGCGGAGCACGGGCTCTGCTCACCCGGTGTAGAGTGTACTACCCGATGCAAAGGAAACAGCCGACAAATCCAGTCCAAGCCTTAGATTGGATGGGATTGAGGGTGCGACACTAGGCTAGATCCAGTTAGAGCTACTAGATTTAGTAACAGATAGGAAAGCCGCTGACCACAATCCAATCCAAGCCTTAAGCTAAAAGTATCTGAAAGTGTGCATCTGGCGGCCATGCTGCCATTCGGTTATGAATGTGTGTGGTTGAGCGTCATGTTTTCATTTTGTTTCCGGAAGTGGCCTCATCACTAACGATGTCGGCGGCAAGAAAGTGCTTGTTTAATCCGGACTGGACGAACCCAAATATTTCGGAATATGCAAGTTGGATTAAGCCCGTGCAAAATGGTCCTCACAGTGCTCAATGCTCACTGCATTGTGTTACATGTAATGGTCTTACATATTTAACTGCCTCTAAAGTAGTCAGGGAATTTTCGCCTGAAATTGTCAGGGAAAACCTGGAAAAGTCAGGGACTTTCAAAATAATAATTTGCTAGACACCCTGAATGGCTGCAGAGCTCGTGTCACGACGTGCGTTTGCGCAACAGTGGTTGTCGGTACTTGCAAGAAATGTGAAGCTTGATTTTGTCAAGGGACTCCAGACAAGGTCAGAGCAATGTATAGAGGGAGAGAGACTGGTCAATGGGAGGAGAGCGGAAAAAGCAGCATCACCGCCAGCCACTACCAGATATTTCCCCCCGATATTGCGAAGAAAAAATAACTGAGATGACTTTGAAGGAGGCGTGTACCGCAGCACAGGTATTTTTTTGCTTGTGAACGTGGCTTAAAGTACAGGAATGGATAAATGTAAGAGATTGATGGAAATAGAAAGTTTGCAGGTGCTGAGTGTGTTTATTGAGCCAGAAAAGGTGACGTCTGCGAGAATAGTTTCCTGAAACATGAGGCGAAACTGCGAATATGGGGTGCGCGTTCAGGGTTAGGGTCACAATTCCCAAACGTGACAGGCGTTGCCCTTTCAGTTACGGAAAGTAGCAAATTTCCACTCTTCCGTGCTGAAATGAAATGCTTGAATACATCCTCACCTACAAATTGTGATTGGAGAATATAAGTTAAGCTCATTGCCTCCGCTAGGAGAGTATTCGTGGCTATACTCCATTTCACCTTACATCCGGACGCAGCGGGCGCTACAAGCTATCTTAGCCAATTCAACTCTGAGGGTTTTGCCCTCGACACACCTTCTGCCCTCGCTGTGCCCCCTCTCCAAGGTCACGTTACACTCGCACGGCCTCGGATTGGCCCCGATGGCTCGTAGCATCTTCTGTGCCGGGACGTAAGGTGAAACGGTGTATAGTGGTGGGTCAGAAATGCTGTCAGCCAATGCGCTCAAGCTCACTGAAACAATTTCTGACAATAACGTGCCCTTACTTTCGCCCTATTCTTACCAGTGAATAACTGAACTCTACATATACGGCTCTGGACACGAGGTAACGCACTGTTGCCATTTATCGAGTATCCCTACGGCATTTCTGTTCTGCTAATTTTTATTATTTTTTTTGCATCATTTACTGTTGGTTTAAAATAAGGCTCATAGCTAGTGCTTAGGTTTGATCTAGTGAAGCGCACAAAACCTTCTGTCTGCCAGAAGCGTGTTCATCGACTCTTGCGTTTAGAGAGGTTAGAAATAATCATGCGGAGTGCCAGGATGAGCTGGCGTCGGCTTTTACGATGGCACATTGCTGTTCATTTGTAACGGTTTCATAAATTTTTCTTAGATTAGTCTTGTTTTTATCAATGTAGGAAATTTGGGAACATGATTAATTGATACTTCCAATAGTCGTACGAGTACAAGTAAAAGCTGGTGCCAACTTTTTTTCTTTTTTTTTGTATTAGGGTGTGATTTTTTATTTCAGCCTGGGAAATGTGTCTGCAGGTTCACGGTTAGTACGACCTTTGTAGGTGCTGTAATCCTGTTAACCTGTAATCAATGAATTGGGTCCACTAGCCGCACACATGATCCCCGAAAATGCGGTGTGACCCTCGTTCTTGTTTTAATGTTCCGTTTCCTGTGGCCTTTAGTCAATCGATCAACAGTATGCATTGATAATGAGCCGTTTCAGTGTATGTAGTCCCTCCCCGGCTACTCCAGGAGGGAACTGGAGAGCCCTAGATAGGGAACAGGGATGGGGGAATGGGGAGTTGAAGACCAAACATTTTCCAGTGCACTTTCCTTCATGCCTGCCTCCCTTCTGAGCTGGTGCTACCAGGGGAATTCGTTGTTTACAAGTTTCATTTCTGATAATTTCTGATAAGCTGATGATTGTGATATGGTCCTGATAAGCTAAACTGCTTTTCTAAATAGTGCCTGGTAGCCTTCAACTTCGTATATTGTTCATTTACCTCCTTTTTTAGTTTTATTGCGTTCTCTCCCCACCCCTTTGTTATGTAAGGCCCTTGAATGCTTTTAGGTCGGTAAATATTGGTGCGTGTTCAGAAAAAAGAAAAGGCTAAGCTTGGTTTTCGGTGTCTGTATGCATTCCCTCAGGAGGTGGTAGAGCGGAGTATCTCCCACCTGGGGCTAGAGGACGACCATGACTATGACCCGGCCATCAGGGCGTACTCCAAGGCCGTGTCCTCGGTGAGTTCAAACCTCACTCCAGGATTTCCAGAATGCGTTATTTCGTGCAAACAGTGTTGTCCCATCAACCACTGTCTCGAGCGGAGTGGCTTTGGTGGTGAGAAAATTTGGTCTGACCCAGAGCCACTGAATGCCCTCAGAGTGCCGCTTTCCATGGCGTCCACCTGAACCGGAGAACCGAGCTTTCCGATTGGCTGGCATCAACCATTTTGATGCCGGCACGAAATAAAGCGAGACCCGTGTCTAGCATGTTTTCGCTGCGGCTCTTGAAGGGGGCACTAGACCGCTTTCTGTGATAGTATATTTATGGCCACAACTCGGTCTATGGGCTCTAAGGCCCACTTCAGACAGGGCAGTTTCTCCTGGCAACTTGGCGTCGCAGCACCAGCCACACGAACTGCCTGCGTTCACATGCAGCAGCCAAATTGCTACGATTTGCCATCATCGTAATTTGATTTTTCTTGCCCTATTTAGACACACAGTTACGTTCCATAAACAATAGGGAAAGCTAGAGAACAACTCACCAGCAACACCGAAATTGCTGGAAAAGTTGTACCATCTGAAGCGGGTCTAAGCATCCTAAAAAATTAAACATTTTATTCATGTTTGGCAGATTTTTCAATTAAAATCGGCATCAAAGGTTCGATTACCTCGGAACAGTTGCTGACACCAAACAGCTTAAAGGAGCTGTGCAACGATTTTAACGTTGAAGGATTTGGCATTTTCTGCTTTTGATATTGTTCACTGTGTCACAAATGGCAGAAAACACACCTCTTTTCATCGCAATGTTGCGATTCCGCCGCGTAATAGCGAGGCAAAACTTGGAATATTTCCCGACCTGCAGCCACGAGCGGCGGCCATGAGAAACAAGCGGCGTGACGTCACTTGGGTCGTTGTAAGAAAGATAGCAAGTTGTGCGAATACCTGCTCGATAAAAGGTAACTCTTTTTACAAATCTTGTCGTTCCAACATATATATAAATGCGTCAACACCCTGGTATCATCGACAAAACTTTTATTATACGGAGTTTTAGTGGCGCCATCTATCCTAGGTCCACAAAACCGCGAACAGCCGCCAGAAGCCGGAGGGGGAGGGGGACAGCGCCACACTGGCAAGGACGGGTGGTCACGCGGTCGGCAGCGGATGAGTTCTCGCTGCTCGCTGATGGCTCTAAAGAGAGAACTTTTCCGGAACTCCGCGCCTACTCTAGTGACGTCACTGTGCACGTGACCCGGAAGACGATGCACGAGTTGAGAGGCGGCAAAAACCTGGATCTTTTTCATTTTTTTAAGTAAAAACTAGGGTATCCAGGCAAAATCTGTTTTCTGTAGTTCACTGCAGAAGTGTCAGGCATCAACTTCCACAATTATTTAAGCAAAGCCCTGAAATTGTTGCACAGCTCCTTTAAGCTCTAGCCTAAGCTGTTTGACAAGAAACCTGTGCCATTCACCAAACTCCTGTCTTTTTTTTGCTTATCTGTATTATGTCGTGAGGATTTCCTCGTAGCAAGTTGCTCTGGAGTTTCTGAATGTGACATCAACGGGGCGTTTCGTCTTCCAATTGCAGCCACGGCCAATGGAGTGGTCTCGCCCTGTCTCGCCACCGCCTCCGGCAATTCTCCAGCAGGAATTTGGGGTGCGTTTTTGCCACTTTTCTTCTTACCCAAGTGTGTGCATGTGCGTGTGTTGCATTACCCTCTTTTCTTACTCTCGCATGAGCTTGAGGTGTGTTTTGCTTCGTTACTCCCCTTCCTAACTCCACGCAAGTTTGGGGTGTTTGAGACTGCTTTTCTCCTTACTTTTGCACAAATTCGAGGTGTGTCTGTTCTGCACTCTACCTCTGTCTTACTCTCTCGCGGTCTTGGGGCGTGTTTTTGCCGCATTACTCCTCCTCTTACTCCCGCAAAAGTTGGCGGTGCGTTGCACCTCGTTACCCCCCTTTCTTTTTTACTCCGGCACGAGACCCTGTCCCTCATTTACTTCCTCACTCATGCTACTCAAATAAATGCCTCGCTGTCCCATGCATAGGTATTCATCTCATTATTTGTCACGAAAAGCAATAAAAAAAAAAAAGAAAAAATTCAGTTGTTTTTGCGTGGCAGAAACCATGCAAACTTCTCGAAGCAGAAGACAGTGTATCATCATGCCATACTGTAATATCCGTACAAATTGCTCACCTCCGATAAAAGCGGGGTCTTCTCACCCTCGAAACGCCTGGGCACATATTTGGGGTTTGGTGGTTTTTTTCTTTCTCTATTCATGATTTTTTGGAATAGTATTATTTTAGTAAAATGTTGTCTTCGTCACAGCACATTCAAGCCAGGAATCGGAAGCGTGGTGGGTCGAAATAGTGTCACGGGTGGTGACCAATGAATAAGAAATAAACAGGGAGAAATAAACATTTAATGTGGCGAACTTGTGCCAAAACAAAAAGGGAATAGAAAATAATAACAGAGCGTCGCAGGCGTCGAAGTCGGCGTGACAGCAGAGTCGAACGCTGGGACGAGACTGACTCCAACTTGCCCGCGGAGCCGCTTTTGTACACACATTGGCTTCTGGAGCATTCGACGTAGAAGGTTCGACGCGTAGAACATTCTGACCTCGAATCAGCTAGACGGTTCTCGATTTCACCAGAACATCACATTACAGTTTCAACAAAAATGCATAGACGCGGCCAGGAATCGAACCCTGGCCCTTCGCGTGGGGGGCAAGCGCGATAACCGTTGGGCTATGGCCGCGCTGCCTACTTGGCGTGCGGCAATAGACAATGTTAGGCTTTTCATTTTGCTTGCGTGTTAAAGCTTGTCCGTCTCAGTTTTTCTTGGAGGGGGGGGGGGGGGTGGAATTGCCCTTTCTTTCTTGGTGGTCAGTTAACTCTGTCTGTCTGAGGGGAGCGTGATGGCTATACAGCTGTTTTACATCTGTCATGTTTAAGGGCTCGCCCAAGACGGAGACGATATGGACGCCGAAACCTGTGCACCCCCCTCCGCCTGAGGACAGGCTCACCTCCCTGCTGTGGAAGCTGCGCCAGCAGAGTTCACCAACTCAGGTGATCAATCGATCGATTCGAATTGTCTCTTTTTGGCGGGTTTTCCGCTCATGGATGTTTCTTGTGGCGAAACTCGTATTTATCTTAGTTTATTCTAATGGCTACAGTACCACGAGGCAGTACGGTATGGGGGCGGGGGAAGAAGACATTTGGAATTGAAGTGTAGATATAGGTGTAAGAAACCTAGAAATATAATAATTAAAACACCGTAAAACATTTTTAATTCCACAGCACCCATAATAACAATTGGCACGCTGTTCTAACTCAAGGTTACAGAATACGCTAGAAAATACTACGAGGGCAGTACGGAAGAAAACATATCGTTGGGCACAGTGCTAACCACAGAAACGGGCAGAGGATTGAACCAAAGTGTCTATTCTTATTATTATATTATTACTATTATTATTCAGTGTTTCAGTACCAAGACTGCAAGGTTGGTCCTGGGCACTGTAATAAACATCTAGATTGTTATTATTCAGAAAGTAATTTTCCCCAATGTCTTCACATTGCGACGGCAGTCTGTCGAAACTGTGCGATGCGCTGCGTTTTGTTATCAACCTTAAAAATGTAATCTTCTTGCACTGTGTGGACACAAACTCGTACAATTGGTCGTAACAAAGGTTCCGCGTTTTTGATACGTGCGGATCAACTTCGGGAAGGTAACCCCCCGCGGCGGTTTCCCCGGAATCGGGAAAACCCCCAAATTGGAGCTTTCCTTCAATAAGAAGAACCCCGGCTTCACGAAAGAAATTCTTGTCAGTCCACGTAGACCCATGACACGGCCTACACAGAACTGTTTGCGCGCCCATTGTTCTGCTATTTCCTCTTTCTCTTTATAAGGTTTTGTGTTTTCAAGGAAAGGTGTATGAAAATGTATTTCTCGTGAGAATGTGAATGCGGATTTTTTCCCAAAACAGATTCAGAAAGACACCGTGTTTGTTTGTGTCCTGTATTTGTCTTATTGTCCTTATTTTGCATGTTTTTATTCATTCTTACTGACGGATCCGAGAAAAAAATAAACCCAGTCCACAAATTTCGAGAAAAGCAATCCTTAAAAACACTGGCTCCTATCACTCGACACCGCGAGAAACACTTTGAATCCAATCCAGTTCTACGGCACAATTCAGGAGGAATCGTTGCGCCCACTCGGTGTGGACGAGGTCACACTACGAAGAGGTCGAGCTTCCGTAAAGTCCAACTGCGATGAGGTCAAAGTATGACAAAGTCAAACTTTACGACGAAAATGCGTGGTAGCGCCCGAGGACAAGGACAAAAGAGAGAGAACTGTGCACGACTTAGCGCACTGTGGCATCCAGTTCCCTTTGACTGCCCAGCGATTGGCACCGTTCGGTTCCCGACGAGGTCTAACCGTTTGTGCGGCTGCTCTTTCGTACCTTCCTGCAGGTGGCTCCGGGCCAGTCTTCGCTGCCAGCGACTGCGAGGACACTCGAAGACCTGGAGCGAGACATGCTTCGTCCGGCCGGGAGTAACCCCGTCCCCATCGGGGTGGGTGCCTTCCTTTATTTGTTCTCCGCGTCTATGAGTCGATGTGCCGTTATATCCCCAAAAATACCTCGCCCCCTATTTTGGCATGATTTGTTATCTTTTTGAAAATGCCGAAAGATAGCCCACTTCCAGTAATTGCAGGGCCCTGGCCAGTGGTGGCATCGGCGAGAACTGTGTCGCTTAACTCTTTCCTGACCGCGCCCATAGGCCATCGATCGCCGGTGATCAATAATTTCCAAGTGCCGTCGAGAAATTAAATTTAGTGCGGAGAATTATGTTCCACAATCTTGTAATTAGCCAAAGAACTCGAATTTTCGTTTCGACGTCAAAAATAGTCGTGGGAGCGGTGGTTGCACTTGTCTAACATGGCTAATGACTTGCATCAGTCTTCGTAACAAAGATGGCATTATTTACATAATTCATCTGTATTGTGGCAGATTTTCTAGAGCACAGGAGCTTTCGGGACACTTCAAATGATGTTATAGGCGTTGCTTAATGGATGTTGGTCGGTAAGCATCGCTATAATTTTAAAGGCCGCCCTGAGCCGGCATGCACGTTTTATGTTCCCAACAAGGCGCACGAAAATTCTAAACATGAGGGAACTGCAATCGAGGCTACGACACAACCAAGGTAGAACAAAGGAAAGCATTCTGCTGAGGATGTGAGGTTTACTATCTGTTTTACCACTACAGCGTTGACCGCATATAACGTATGTCGCGGGAGTCGCGAAAATCCGCACTATAAGCGGTACCGTTCTATAACCAAAACATCAGTTTTTCAGGCCAAAATACATGCCATGAGACAACTTACCTTTGTAAAAGAATTTATTTTATGTTAGATGAAAAATAAAGCTTAGTTTGAGGAAAGTCTTTATTTCACCAGACTAGTACACTTCTCTCTCAAGTGTGTCACACATTTTGAAAGGAATGAGTGACTTTTGCCTGGCGCAGCCTTTTAACGGCGTCGCGGGTTGCGGACGGACGTTGCAAGCTTTCAGGATTGCTAACCCTAATCACTTTTCTCCTGTGATGAAAACGCGTGAAAATTCGCATCCTTTATACGGTACGCGCCAGTAATACCTTCAACTTGAGCACAGGCATGAACTGCTCCAAATAAGAAACCCGGGCGATGTTCGAAAACACAAGCGCTTAGAAATCACCACTGTAGTCGAAGTAAACAAACACGACGACACGGGCATTTCTGTCGTCTTAAGAGTGCCGCCACGACGTCGCCGCACGAGTAGGTGGATCTTCCCTTCTAGTATATGCTGGGCTATAGTGACACACAACGAAAATTCACAGTCAAGGATAGCGCTTTTACACGGAACGACGAGCTTCCACCACGCCGTCTACGTCGATGATCACAATTGACGCCATGTTTGCGGATAGAAGCAGCCGGCCCGCGACCGGCATGCAACGCGCGCGAACACTTCTCTTCGACCTGCGATTGGTCTGTCGTTGCAGTTGTTTCCAATGCAGCGGAGGGACGCACGCACGTGAACGACACGTGCGTGCGTCCTTCCGTCGCTATGGCAACTGGAGCCTCTCTCTTCGCTTCTCCCCGCTTCTTCGAGCAACCTCCTTGCCCCGCGAGTGCTGCTTGCGGCTCGCGCCGTTATCTAGTGTCGCACAGGGAAGTGTGCTCGCTGCACCAATCGGTCGGCGCGGTCGCAGGGCTGTTCCAGAAACCGCACTATAACCGGTATTTCCCTTCGCGCGCCTGCATTTTAAGCGGTATGTAAAAACATGGAGTTCTGTGGGAGGCGAACCGGTGGTTTAAAAAAACCGCGTTATACCCGGTCCTGCACTATAAGCAATTACGTTGTAAGTGGTCTATACTGTATAAGCATTCCTTCGTTAAAAAGCACATGTGTTACGGGGGCTAACTCTCCGACGAACCGAAAATAGACACAGTCAGTTAGAGTGCACTAACGTTCAGAAGTGGTAGCCATGGGTGTGAGGCACATTTTTTGTATTGGAATTTTTTGTATTTGTCGCTTAATTTGACATGGCTGAAAAGTTTCGGCATTTGTACGCCTTCCGCACGTACCTGTATTTTCAAGAAATAAAATTGTAAAATATTTTTTCCACATTATATTAACCCCGGTTCCTTTCGAAAGAACAACTAATTGGCCACATTTTTATGTGTCACATTGCTCCATTTGCAGATTAGTTAGGAAAATGGAAACGTTCGCACAGATTCTTCAAATACTGCTAGTTTTCCCATGGTCAGGAAGGAGTTAACCACTGCAGGAGATGAGCTAACGTTGCCGACTGGGAAGGGCAGTCACAAAATCTAGAACTAATGTTTTTTACAACTTTTTTTTTATGGCGCATTGAAGGTTAGCTTTACCCCTTGTTTTTATCCGACTTGCTATCAATTCTAGGTGGGCTATCTCTCGGGAATATTACGGTAGGCGTGGCCTGCATTTCTGAGAAGGCGTTCGTCCGGAAATTCGGGGGAGAAAAGTGGGGCAGCGGGGTAACTTTGGTTTATGAGATAGCCGTCGGTTTAGTGGGTGGTCTCTAACATGAAGTTGTTTTTTTTTCTTAAGGCTCTTAAGCTCAGAAGAAATTTTGCAGTTTGCACATGCTTTCAATGAGAAAGGCTCTTAGGTTAATTGCACTTTTAAGGCTGGTCCAAACACTCGCGATCGCCGACGACCGGCCAGGTGAAAGACCGGTCTTAAGCCTCTTGCGACTGCTTACGACCAGCTTGCAGACGGTCGTAATCACTCGCGGGAGGCTTAAAAGCTGGTTTTTATCCTCTGCGGTCGCGGGTGCTCGGACCGGCCTCTCGACGTCCTCCGACGCGAGTGCCGGTCCGACCCGATCCCCGTCCGAGCGATCTCTCGGCGTCTGCGTCGCAGAGTCCGCAGAGGGTTCACCGGGGCTGGAGTCCAGGGATGCGGGCGGAGCAATTGGAGCGGGAACTCCTGGGGCACCCGCAGCAGCCCTTCTCCTCCGGGGCACCCCCTTGCACTTCCCCGAGGGGACGCTCCTTCTCCGACCTGGAGCCCGAAGCGGCGGCGCGGAGGCGCCAGCCACCCCCGCTTCCCGAAGGGTCGACGCACTTCCGCGGGACCGCCTTCTCCCCGGACGTCTTTGGAAGCCCGGTGAGTCTGGCGGCGCTTCAGTGCCCATAGGCACACATGCCGCAACAGTAACTCGATGGCTGGGACGCGTCTCCTTTCGCACGGCACGTTTGCAATGTCCTAATATTGACGACAAGTTTCTTGGCAATTTTGTTGCATACGTGAAAGTTCTGGCATCACAAACACTCAGCAATGATTTTCAGATGCCGGACGCCTACGTTCACGGCGCTCTTCGTCGGATAGTTTAATGCCTACAATGTATACACTCGATAGTTGTTCCTAGAATGAAGTGATACTACCGCTAATCGGGCCGATTAACCTACTGCCGGTCTTCCCGAGCCTTTCATACCCTCAGTGCCGGTCTTCCCTCAGTGCGCACGGGCGGCCGGGCTCCCCTAGCCTACCCCTCTAATCACATGGCCTACCCGTTGACCGATCGGCGTCGAGCACCTCGCTCCTCCCCTCCCACCCGTCGACCAATCGCCGTGGAGCCTTGCGGCCACGCTTTTATCCGGGCTTTGCGAAATGCCGAACACCCGGCCAAGGGAGACCTACGGCGGAAACGGCGTCCATTGTGGGCAACGGCATGACGCACTCGCGACGTCGTACGGCGAAAATCGAGAGATCCCTTTCGAGGACGCGCGCATTTGCCACATCTCCGACCTTACCAGGCACCGTGCCGTAACGCGTTCCGCGATTAAGGTCGTCCTTCGGATGACGGCGTCCACGTCTCCTCTTCAGCCGTCGGCGAGCCAGGGCTATCCCGGGGGCCGCGGCCTCCCTCTAGCCAGGTCCCGGCCCTGCATGTCGCCACCCGTGGCACCTGCCGCCGGGGCGCTGCCGCCACCGCACGGCCGTCTTTCGCCGGGCCTGCTGCCGCCCAACTTTGCAGGTGAGACACTCTGCTACAAGAGCAGTCTCCAAAGGGGGCCGGTCCCTTTGTACTGGGGCCGCGCAAATGCCGGTTCGAATCGAGCTGCGCTGCTTAGCTCGTGACCGCGGTTTCATGTTTTCGGAATTCCTTGCTCGTGAAATTCGGAGGGCGTTTTTCTGAATTTCTTTTTTCCGCCGAAAATCTGGGGTTTTTCGGAGTTTATTTCCCTTAGGTTCCCATCTCTTTGAAATTTTGAGTTTCTTTTACTGCATTCATAATTTTTAAAAGTTCAGAAGCAAAATAAGTGAAGTGTGGGTACCATGACCGATTGTCCTGAAGGAACCTTGGTGAGCTAGAAGGCTTACCCCTTTTGCCAGTATTTCGAGATTTCAAAGGAAGCTCATAAAGTATTTGTAAAACTCTGTCTTTTTTTGCTTTTTATTTTGTCGTTGCGACCTTGAAATTTCGACTTTTTCGGATAAAACCTAATTGACGAAAAAACTTACTGCCGTGTCATTTAAGGTTTCTTTCAACCAAAAGGACGAAACCCTGTTCATAACCTTCAGAGTGGAAGGAAAAGCCAGGCAACCGTTCTTTTTTAACAGTGTTTAAGCCAGGAATGATGCTGCACCGTTCGATTCGAACCGGTACTCTCGCACCTCTACTTCATGCTATCCGTTACAATACAGTCTTTATTTCTTTTGCCTTCGAATTTAATGCAATTTAAAGCTCACTGAAGCCAATAAAGCTCGCGTGTGGGACATACTTTCTTCTCCGTGGAATGTGCAACGACGACGCAGAAATATTTCAGACGTCGAGACGGAATCCGTCGTCTGGAGCACATCTTCGTTACCGAAAAGAATAGAATGCCCAAAGCTTCATTTTCGTGACTTCCGCGGCACTGAACACGCCTTGTAGGAACTTTGGATACATAATCTCGGGAAGCCTTGTCGGGCTTCTCGGCCTCTTACTCCTGCCTCTCTCCGAGATGTACCCTCAAAAAAGAATTCGATAAATTTCACATTAGAAAAAGAAGCAAAAAGAAAAAGCTACTACAGTGCAATCCACTTATAGCGGTACCATGTATAATAATGTGCTGCTTAAAATGATCAGTTTCTGGAGTTTCTAGACTAGAAACGCTCAGTTTCTGGTCCAGATGCAATGACAGTCGGGTATAACGATTTAATTTTTGGGGTTTTCCCACTATCGTTAGAGTGTTATAGCACTGCAGTGACTTTTAAAGCGTCTGATGTTGCGTTCCTTCGTACTGATTTCCGAGCCTAGGTTTCGACTTCATTTAGTTTTAGTAGACAGTCTCTGCTAGTTCTCGTTCGTTCGACGAATCTTGCGAATACAGCTTCGTCCGACCGTGGCAAAGGGCGGGAATTTCGGTAGCGTGTCGAGTCCCCTTTAGATTCGCTAATCCCATGGTGTCCTTCAGAAACAAAGAAAATTTTAAACTTCTCGCATTGCTGAAAGCAATTTTTCGCGGAGCCTTTATGTGGTTTCTTTCTGCATGTTTCTCGTGCATGAGACCAATACCTGTACCTTTCAGGTTCCAGGATGCCCCTCTCTGTACCACCACCGGTGCATCCGATGATGGGCAGGGGGCGCATGATGGGCCACTTCCCACCAGTCATTCTCAGTGAGTTGCGTCAATGAGATTGGCCTCTTTTCATTTCATTTTCTCGTTTTTGTCGGGGTTTACAGTCACCACTTAAAGGAGTGCATTAGTTATACAAGGAAATGCATAGACGGAACAGTACAATGGGCATTAGAATGCGCCATTGCTTCGGAACATTGTTTTGAAATTCAATGATCGCAATTTTAAGGGCTGCAGTTTCAAGTATTGAGACTGGGTGCGTGCGTCGTTTAAAAACTAGTAATCGCAATTTTAAGATTGGGAGTGTCAGTTATCAAGATGTGGGAGGCGATTCTGTTCGATGTAGGTCTGGGAAGGAGGCTATGATTGGGGCACGACGACCCGTGGGGTGCTTCTAAAGCTAACGTTTGACAAAGTGTCGTGTCAGAGTGATAAATGCAGGGATGTGCCTGCTACATCCTGCTACATTTTACTAAAATGTAAGGATTGTGCGCCAACATTGCGCCAAAACTTCATTTCGCAATAATGATACTGATAACAAATAGCTTGGGCCCTGCTACCATCCGAAGGATAACGTCATGCCTGTGCGGGTTTTCAGAACTTTCGATAATCTTCTCGAATAACGTACCACCCGATTTAATTTCGCAACAAACACGGAGAGTACTCTGAAGTTTTGCAATGATTCTCGTGCTCGTGGTCTGTTCCGGCATGTTAGTTAGTTTCGCCGAGTGTGCTCCTCGGTCATTGCACACCGATTTACTGCAGCGAAGTTACAGCCGCGAAGAAGTTGTAGCGATTTTCCGTGTCTTGCTTTGCTGCAGCGCACCCGCATGCTAAGGGGAAAGCTCTTCTCGAGAGCGAGACGTGGCACAATTTCTGAAAAAAACTTCTGCTTGTGTATACGAGGTATTCAGTGGGTAGCACATTTGAATGTGCTGTTTATAGCGCATGCTCAGAATGAGCTCGCATTAATAGGCTGCTACGACCGGAAATTTTATTGGTTTGAAATGCACGTTGCAAAAGAACTGTGGATGTTCGCTGTCAGCACATGCTCAGCAGCCTCGCACGCAGCTACGGCCGCCAAACAATACTTCCTATACGATAAACTGCAATATCCTAGAAATATATATATATATTTTTTTTTAGTTTGAGATTTTGCAAGGATATTGCGTGTTTGCAAGAAGTTTTATATGGATATTTCTGTAGGTTCATTTATTATGCTCTGTGTTTTCATCTGAATTAAGGCAGTTTTCTTGCAACTTCCTAGAACTTGAAAAAAACACATGAATTTCAGTGCTTCAAGTTATTGTGCAGTTGAATCTCTTTATAACAAACACTGATATAACAGATTATCGGATATAGCAAACTGATCACGAAGTTTGGTTGGTCACACTTTGTTTGGGTGGGAGCTCTGTTTAAACAACGAAACCGAAACTTTGAGATCCGACGTGCTATCTGTTATAGCGAAGCAGTTCCTTCTCTTCTTGCGTAACAAAACACTATAAAAGTTATTAAAAAGTAGAAAAAATTCAAAAAGTAATTTCAAAACTAAAAACTCTGAAAGTTTAGATTGCCCACTGTGCAAAATTGCACGTTCCAGGCGGTAGCACCACCTATGAACCCAGCGGATAACGCCGGGGCCGCCGCTGCTCTCCTCTTTGCGAGGCATCAAGAACCAGTGCAGACTAAAACCATCTGTCAACCCCGCTGCTCGTAGCGGAGCTGCAAATGGCGAGGAAGCAGAAAGTCGTTTCTGCGAAAATCCGAAAATGTGCTGTGTCCTGATTTAACGGATGGAGCGGGCAATTAGTAATGTTCCGCAAGGAAGCGGACTTTTTTTTACTACGGTTTTTGAGGTGAATACAGATATTGTGTTGCCGTGTTGTTTTGGTGTTTGACTTTATTATTTTATTTTTCCAGACAATGCAATGCATGGCCGAATGCCTTTGCCAGGAGGACCTCCCGGCTTTAGGCCCGGCATGTGAGTTGCTGCTTATTTTCATCTCGATCTAAGAAACTGAAAGTTCGAGCTTGCCCTGACAATGCTTCCAGTCGTCGTGTCTCATTGTTTTCCTAAAATTGCGTGCCGGGAACTCGAGAAACCTCGAGACTTTGGCGCTCAATTCGTCTTCGTCGAACCTCTCGTGCATTTCACTACGAAGGAGTGGAGCCGGAAATTGTGTATGACGGCGCAGCCTCTTGGTAACGGGCCGAGAGACGTCAGTGTTGGGAATTGTTACGTAATCGTATTGATTCCATAACAAAGTTCTTTTTTCTTCTTTTGTTGTAAACTTGAATGCACTTTTTAGATTATGCGACCTTCTAGATGTTAGTATAATCGCGACTACAGCCTTTCTATCTGCGTCCGAAGTATGGCGACCTTCTGAAACGCAGCACCCGGAGCATCGCCGTAGTCGCCGACAAGGCGGGAGCAGCAAGGAGGGGCTTGAGTTGTCGCGCCCCCAGCGGGAGCTTTCTACCGTTGACGACACGTACAGCCAAAGCACAATGGAAGGCACAGAGCGCATGCCGAAGTCCAGGCGCATGAAAGACGTTGTTCTGCCCTTCTCGTTTTGTCGGCGGCTATGGGGGTTAAGTTGAAAACCCGAGCGTTCCTATCACCTTGTCCTTCCTGCTTCTCCTGGTGCCTGGGTTTCTTACACTTGCTTCTTTCTTGTATTTCTCTTCTCTTCTTCCTCTTTTTCCTGTACTGCGCCGTAGCGGCTCCATGGACCTGCGACGACTGCTCTATCCTCGTCAGGTGCAGCACCCTCTTTTGAATAAGTATGTCTCTCTCCCTCTCTCTTTCTATCTGTCTATCTATCTATCTATCAACTTGCGTCTGCCTTTTGGTGTCTCAGTGTCTTTCACTCCCTGTGTCTTTGCGCCATCCCCTGTGCCGTTTCCAAACGCTCGGCTTCAGCGCTTGACTCGAAACCGTGCTTGATCTGGCATTGCATGGCTGTACAAGCGTCGGGGTACGTCTGTTGGCTGTTGCACCATTTGGATGCCTTTCGTTAGCGTATGGACGCTGGAGGGGAGATTTCGCGTTCTTGATTTTTATCTTTTTACTCTGTTAAGTTTGTTTGGTGAAATTTTAATACTCTAGGTTCGCCACTTTAGGTCACCTCCGTAAGCTCAATGCGTTAAGAAACTGTTTTACGCTTCCCTTCAAACGGCCAATGATCCCTCTGACTTCTACGGCCCAAGAAAAGCTAGCGGGAGTTGCGATGAAATCCTCTCTCCTTCCTGGCCAAGGAATTTTCACGGAGCAATTACATTTTTTTCGACGGGTGCCTGGCTTTAAACTCGTTGATTTGAAGGTGCTCCAGTTCACCACCTTTGCACCGCTTCTGCAGCTTTCGTCACTCCTAAAGTTGCTTCAGAATTCTGGGGCTCGCTGCTCGCATCCTGAACACTGTTAGCAGCCATCGCTCGCCACGTTTGTGCACTCGTACGTTCGGCTTTGTACCCGCTCACCGCAAAAAACAAAGAGATAACCTCCTGTGCACGTGCTGTGCTTGCACTCGTAACGAGTTCATGTGCTTGTTTATCAACAACGAGTCAAAAACGCAGACCCCCATTCTCCATTTCGCCGCGACTGGGCAAACTGCTAAGGCCATGATTCCGGCGAGCCAGTCGGCACATTGAAAGGAATTGTGTGACCACACTTTATGTCAATAGGTGTGCGCAGTGCTGTCAAAGCCACGGGCAGCAGAGAGGGGAACGCCGCTTTTGTAAGAATTTCAAGGGACGGGCTTATCTCCGAGGGGAACAAAAGCAACGTCTGGACGCGCAAAAGAGGGTCTGAGTAAGAGTCCTTCCCCTCTTCTCTAACTGCTTGGGTTTATGCTCTCAACCCCATACCTTTGGCGAAGGCCATCACGTGCTTTGCCTCCGTCGCTCCAACTGGCTCAAGGGGGGGCGTTCACTCTTCGTCAAGTTGCGGTGGTACGACGTGTAATGGTTGGTCGAGGGGGTTGGGCATTCCTAGAATGCGAACCGCGAAACGGATCGACAGACTTGGGGGACGAAGTCTGGACGAACTCGAGAGGAACCTGCGGCAAATTAATGCTGGGACGACGCTGCAGGAACCAGGTGCGGTTCCCTCCCCCGAACCACCTGCACCACATGTACCAGCCCCAGTATGGGGGCCACGGCAACAGTAGCAACGGGGGACAGTACCAGGACGGACCCTTCCAGCACCTGGGTGCCTTCCAGCAGCACCAGCAGCACCAGCAAAGGCTGCTCTATGGCAGGGATGGACCCTACCAGGTACACTGGTCTCGCAATAATTTAAACTAGGATGTTTCCTATTTTTGGTCAATTCAAACAAATTTAAAATTTTTAATTGTCCCGCCATGTTTTCGATGCATTTATGAGCTGCTTAATTCAAACAGAGTTTCCGCTCATCGTAACATCCCGAGATATAGCTGAACTAAAACTGATAGCAAATCGGATGGAAACAAGGGATAAGCTAACTTACAGCGTGCCGTAAAAAAAAAAATTGAGGAAATGCTAGTTTTGATTTTGTGATCCTCGAAATGTGATTGCAAGCAGCAAGGGCAATGAACCAGAGACAACTGTCCTTCCCAGTCAACAATGTTTGCTTATCTCCCGATCTGGTTAAGTAACACCGTTTTCACCCAGGTCACCGTTGGACGGCGCCCCGCAATTATACTAGAAGTGGTGTTTCAGGAAAAATAGCAAATCATGCTAAAAATAGGGGTGGGGCCACCTCAAGATGTAACTGTTGTTCATCATTGGGTTAGCCTCTTTGAGTGCGCTTCTGACCGAGCACCCATGCACTACGGGAAAGCAATACCCGCCAAGCTCACGGGCATTGCTTTTCTGCTGTATGCGGGTGCTTTGTGAGATGCGCATTTGATGGGACTAACCCATTACGATTACGCAAGCAGTACCGTCCTAACAATCTACTTTCATCGATTTTTTTTTTTTTTTTGAGGGTTAATGTTGAGATTTAAAAAAGAATATTCACATATCGCGAGCAGATTTATAAATTTCCTCGATTGGGATAGCTGAGCATCTCTTCAGGTTTAATTTTATGTCAAATCTGTATGCCACCCCAACGTAGGCATTGGACTTTCTGAGCCCACAGTTCATAAATTTAGTTGCATAAAAACTAACCGAGCTTGGGAATCGACAAGTGGAGGGTTGGGAACAAACTTCACGAGTTCAGCTGAATTTTTGTTTAAGCATGGAACGACGGTAGTAAAAGGCTCAAAGAAACTATTAGATTTTCAATTGAAACAATATTTGGCCAAAGCCACTATTCACTTTAATCTCCACCAATGTTTTATGTGTGTGCCTGCTTTTGTGTAGAGGAAAGTGTAAAAAATCCGCTTGGTATGTGTAGCTATTCCTATAATAAATCCCTATTTCGCCTCACATCATATTTATATGAATTTCTGATACTTCAAACTTCTGATCCTTTAAAAACTAAAGTCTGTGGCTTCCTGGAGTTTGAATTAATGAGAGTCGGCTGTAGGGACAGGGGGGAGGCCCCTTTTTTTTTCTCTCGAAAGTGTTTTAGTGCTGGTTTTTAAGTCTAGACCAGTGATTCTCAACTATAGATGTTCCGTGGACCCTTTGTGGATTGGCAAAGGTGATGGAGGACCTCGTTCGTGGTGAGGGGAAGGGAAAGCTATAGGTTAATTATGATAAGGATTTAATAAATGGGTATAATTAAGGGCTAGTGTGAAGCAGACTTCTCTCATTGATATATGACAAAACTTGCCCAAAGTATACAATGTTCCTTCTCAATCTAAAAGAGAACTTTTTTTGCCAGGCTTGACTGATGAGGCAGGGCTTCGTGGACCCTGAAGGGTCCGTGACCCCCATTTGAGAACCACTGGTCTATAGTTGGTGACAGGTCAAGAACGAAGTGGAAGCTCCTCCCACCCCTTCCCATATCAGCGGAGCGAACAGTGGAAAGAGAGGAGGTTGCCTCCTTACCAGCGTTCGCACTATTGAAGTGGAAAGAGATCGGAGGGGCTTCCACTTCGTTCTTGACCTGTCGCCGACTATAGAGCATGGGTTCCCAAACGTATTTATCTCATTGTCATGCCTGCCTCTCTTAAATGCTAGCTGAGGAACACCCCTTGGCGTTGGTGCAGTGAAGAAGCCCACAGATCTCGTAAAACAACTGTGTGCACATAAAGCATTGTGTGGATCGTAGTTATGCATTATTGTATGGCTCAGATCTGCAAAAGTGGGGCTGAAATTGGAAGAGTACTTTCCTTAGGGACGGTCAAAGAAACTTGGGAGCTTGAGGAACCCAAATAGGTACTCTGGGGATCCCCTGTGCTCCTAGGGACACGGGTATCCCCAGAGAACCTCTAAGGTTTCCCTACCTCCAGAACTTTCTTAAGCTCCCAAATTCCTTTGACCATCCCTGCCCTTAAGGAAAATGCTTTTTGAGTTTAAGGACAACCTTAGGAGATCTGAACCACTGTGCATAACTATGAACCAAACGCACCCTACTGCACGCATTGTTGTCTCGAAGCTCTGTTGGCTAGTTTGCGGCTGTAATGCATCAACGCCGGCACTGGGATGGAATCCTCGGCTGGCGGTCAAGAGAGACAGGGATCCGTCGAAGTCGAAAAGTTCGAGAACGCAGCGCCAAGTCTGAGCCCCACACCGTTGTCGTGACGCAGCAGCAGGCGCAGCAGGAGAGGTCCGGGAGCGAGGACCCGTACGCGGGGCTCATGACGCAGAAGGAGAAGGACTGGCTGGTCCGCATCCAGCTGCTCCAGGTGCAGCCGGAGAACCCCGAGGTGGAGGACTACTACTACCTGGTGAGGCGGCGGGACCTGTCGCATTCTCAAAGCTCCACGAGACCCCAGTTTTTGCGAAGTCGGATGAATTTTTTTTACCGCAGATTGTGTTATAGAACTTGGTTTTGAAAGAAAAGTGGCACTCTTCAGTGACATACTGTACTCTGTGTCACCGTACGTCCGGCTGCAGTGGATGCTACCAGCCGTCGGAGCCAGTTTTAAGTCCGCGCGCGTTTCTTGCAACTTTTGAGAGGAAGATGCTGTTAAGCGTGGTAAAGCTTAGTCGCGTGCTACGTTCGTAGAGCTGGATTGGGTGGGAGGGCTTGTGGCGTCCGCCGTGGTCAGGCATAACATAAAGTGAGACAGGGTGTAGTCACATGACCTCGTGATGTCGTCCCAGGACTTGTCGTATCTACCAAGTTTGTCTGCGTATCATCACGGCGAAGCAACAGGCAGTACATTCCGGCCACGTTCCAAAATTTACCGAACCTCGTTTTAGGGCGAAAGTTCTCGGCATTCAAGAATCTAACCACCTCCAGCGTTGCCCTGCCTCTGTTGTCACGTGAGGCGGCCCTTCAGAGTGACTCAGATTCAATCGAGCGAGATTAGTAACGTGGCCCCTGCATTGCCTGTGCCTCCGCCGCAATGGAGGAAAAGGGGAATTTTTCTTTAGTTCTAGCTTTTTGTTTTTTGGTTTTCCATTTTTCGGCATTGGTGCCACCTCGGGTGGGAGTTAAATCTTCTACGCAGCCATTGACGGCGGCGTTTGTTTCCTCGACTCGTTTGCGGCAGATGTACACGAAGAAGAAGAACGAGCTCAGGGATTCCGTGAGCGTTGACGGCGGAGACGGCGACAAGCTGCGGTTCCTCAGGCCAGAGAGAGTACGGACAGAGTCCAAGAACTACACCCCAAGTGAGTACTGGGCATACGCTCGAGGTTTCGGGCATACTTGCTCGAAACAAGCAGTCGCTTCGGTCGAAAGAAAACAAATGTGTGCCGTGGCTTGTCACCGCAGTCGACAAGAAGTGACACAGTGTCTGCGAGGGCTCGCATAGACGTGCAGTCGTCGTGGGTTGTTCCAGATCATTGGTTCTCAAACTGGGTTCCCCAGAGGACCACCTTCGAGGGTTCTTCGGATAAAACACCATCTTGGCAGATCTGAGCCAGTGACTGATGTACAACTATTGCAGGGACTGCGGGTTTCTGTACTGCTGTACTGCATCGATGTAGAGAAAACCAATTGATGTATAACAATTGTGAGGACTGCGGGTTTCTGTACTGCTGTACCACATCGATGCAGAGACCAGGGCCTGTTGCTTGGCTTCTCGAAATGGATAAGAGCCCCCTAGGAGATAGAAAAGTTTGAGAAGTTTCGCACTTTATACTTAACAGTACGAGTTTCTAATACCTCGTCTTCCGAAAGGTTGAGGTGAAATTTCTTGAAAGGTGGTGATCGTCGCCTCCCGCTGGGGTTTTCACTGTTCGGCAAAGTCTTATTGCACAGAAAGCTCGTGCCGGAGGTGGAGCGGCCGCTGAATCCCTAACCTATCACCGACTTTGGGAGTGCATCTTTTTTCTGGCGAACTGTTCATCTTGGTGCTTCTTTCTCTTGCCACACCCGCTGGTTTAGTAGCCCGGTCCACAACGTGACATCCCGCTTTTGCCCTCCCCCATCCCACGTCTGCAGTCCAGTTTGAGCGTTCCCTGGGCAAGCTGCAGGTGGTGAGCGTCAACTACCCCCGCAAGATCCTGGACATGGGGGTCCAGCGCCTGTCCGAGGAGGAGGACCGCACCGTGCCCCCGGACAGGGACCTCCTCTGGTTCCGCCAGCTCATGCTGGACATCGAGAAGGTAGGGGGACAAGTCTTGATTCCGGTTCGCGCGCTTCCGACCGCTTAGGATCGTGGGCCTCGAAACAGAAACCGAAGTAGAGGGGAAGGCAAGAGCGCACGGGTATGTCGAAACACCGAGCTCCGACGGATTATTCGTGAATAGACGCAAAGCTAGCTGCCTTTGTCTCTACTGGCCATTCAAGTGCCGATCGCCTGACGCAGGCGTTCGTTCGAACATGTTCGAAGAACGGGTAGATATGCAGAGCAGCTTGCCTCTACCCACTAACCGTTCCGGTCGGAGCTCGGTGTTCCGACGTCCATGCGTGCTCTCGCCTTCTCCTTCCCCTCGGTTTCTACCCATATAAACAACCATTTCTCTCGGGTAGTATGTGCACTTGATCTTGCAAGGTGGCGCAAAACCTTTGTTTTATTGAAATGCAGTTCCGAAGTTGCCTCGTAGAGGGCGCCAGCACGTTTTCTCATCTTAAGAGGTCGCAAGAACTTGGTCCCGAGCAATTGCAAGTGTGTGAATGGATTCTCACGGGCTTCACTGTGAGAGTCCAATCTTTCAGTTTTACAATACTTTGTTTGCCCAAAATCGAGGCAAAGAGTGCGTGCTAGGCCCCCCTCGAGCCAATTGAAGCGACGGAGCGAAGCGTGTGGCTCTCCATAGGAGGAGCGCGCTTTGACGACGCGTCATCACACGGCTCGCTCCGACACGCCGATTGGCTTGCCGGGGCTGTCGGTCTGCCGAGGAGGTTACGTCCGTCAACGTTTGTCGAGAAGACGAAGGGGCGGACCTCGTCAGGCGGTCGCCCGCATCTGGTCCTCGGCGTTTGCCTATTTTGTAGAGTTGCTTGCAAAGTGACCGTGCATCTGTATGAGCGAGTGAGTGAGCGTGGGGGAATCAGCCACAACACTTCACCTGTCAAGTTGGCTTCGGTGCTGGCAAAGTTCACGAGAGCACAGCTAAGTGGAATGCTTCGTGTGCACAAGTACCGTATTTTCTGGACTGTGGTCCGCGGCCCACATACATTTAGAAGTTGAAATTTTACCTGATGCGGGCTATACAAGGATTTGATTTTTCTAGATTGTTCAGTGTAGCGAGACGTGAAGGATTTGATGAGTAACGGAGTATATTAATGTTGATTTATGTATGACAAATGCCTACTGCTAATGCAGTAGGCATTTGTCAGGTTGTGTTATGTATGATCACTTTTTCGTTCGGGTTAGGCACTAAGTACGGACTATGCACCGGGTGCGGACTGTCTAAGCAAAAACTTTTATTTCTGATACCCAAATTTGCTTTTGCGGACTATGCACCAGGTACGGATTATAGTCTAGAAAATACGGTACTCTCGCTCGTAGAAAGCGCATTTCTTATCCAGGTGCCCGTACCCGCTCGTTTGCCAGCACTCAAATCAGCTTGTGAGACGGAGTATGGCATGGGTGTGTCTGTGTAAGTATGTAAGTGAGTGAGCGTGTGTAGGAGGGGGGAGGAAGCAAGCATATTATGGTAATGTCACGAATACGGTAATTTTTGCCCAAAAACCTGGAGACAGCAGTGGCCCAGGTGCATGCGAAACCCCTCCCTTAAATTGGGTACCTAGTCACGTTGGCATAGAGGGCAACGAGAAGGCCGACAGGCTTGCAGGGCCAGTGGGAAACCTTGTCCAATCGTCTTTCTGCAACCAAATCCTAGGTTGCACTTTGGTAAAACTCTCACCAAAGCATGCTGATTGTTACTATCGTTTGGCGCAGATGGCCTCGTAGCTCTTGCGCCATTAAACCCCCAAAATCAATCAATCAATCAACCCCTCCCTTAAACTGGCCACGAAGAACACGTGAACCGGAGGGCGGTACAGAAGTTTGATTGGATAACGTAGTTGGACCAAACTTGCAAGAGCAAAGGTGCCCCTAAGCGTCGCCGCGGACCCCAGAGTCGGGACGTGCTGACCGTACCGACCTTGCGTCCGGTCCCTCGCAGCTCTACACGCTTGTGCTGGCCCACGAGGACGGCAGCTGTCCACCGGAGCGCCGGGCGGAGCTGTCGGAGCGCCTGTTTGCGGAGGTGCAGCCATCCGAAGACAGGCTCCTGCAGCTGATGAGCATCCGCAAAGGGCGGGCCCTCGTGCTCAGGATCCTCCCCATCCTCGGCCGGGTGGGTCCCTGCCACTTGGCGCTGGCGCACCGAAAGTTTGGAGAAAGTCAATGCCAACATTGCGGCCGGTGCTTTGATATGCGCGGAGTAGGGAAATATCACGTGCAAGACCTTTGTCTAGTGTTTTTCTAGCTCTATTTTGTGCAAAAACGCAGGCGTCGTGCATTGTACGAGGAAAAATTAAGTCAAGCACTCAAACAACCTTAACTCGTCGCAGCAAAACGAACCTGTCTAATGTGTGGTTTGATTAATTTCTGCGCTCTTCTGTCGCTATCTTTGTTTCCCAATTACTGCGACGACTTCTAGAAGTTTGTGGAACTCGGTGCGTACCCCGTGCTTTGCCAGCCCTAGCACGTGGCTACGATGAATGTTGGCGGCATATAATTGGCACCGTGTCACGTGACCACGCTTGTTCTGACTGCAAGTTAAGGTTGGTAAACACTGCTAACTTTCCTTCTTTTTTTTTTTTTTTTTTGCGATTGTCGTTGCATGGAGAGAAAGAAACTGGCTGCGAGTTGAGGGGAGTGAACACTGCTAGTTTTCTTCGAATTCTTTTCATGACTGCCATTGCATGGAGAGAAAAAGACCGTGTGCTTCATAGGTTACGAATGTCGAGGAGTAATTCTTAAGCGCAGGGGTGGTCCAGTTGCGCCGTTTGCGTTATATTGATAAATTCTTGCTTGCCTGTGCTTCGCTGTTCCCAAAGCGAAAAATTGCGCCAGAGCGAACGAAGTGGTTTTTGGAAGAGTACCATTTGTTTTTGTCTGGCAACTATGGGAACCGGGGGGGGGGGTTTGGCCATTACAATCCGACATTCCTAATGCAACGCAGTTTTAGTTGCATTTCGAGGCACCCTACTAAAGATTGAAGGAGCTGTGCAACGATTTTAACGTTGAAAGAATTGGCATCTTCTGCTTTTGATACTGTTCACTGTGTCACAAATGACAGAAAACACAACTCCTTTCATTGAAATGTTGCGATTCCGCCGCGTAATAGCGAAGCAAAACTTGGAATATTTCCTGACCTGCGGCCACGAGCGGCGGCCATGAGAAACAAGCGGCGTGACGTCAGTGTGGAATCTTGTAGAAAGATGCCAAGTTATGTGAATACCTGCTTGATAAAAGGTAACTTTTCTGTAAATCTTGTCGTTCCAACATATATATAAATGCGTCAAAACCCTGGTATCATCGACGAAACTTTCATTATACAAAGTTTTAGTGGCGCCACCTATCCTAGGTCCACAAAACCGCGAACAGCCGCCAGTAGCCGGAGGGGGAGGGGGACAGTACCGGACGGGCAAGGACGGGTATGGCCGGACCCGGATGAGACTTTCCTCCTTTCACCGTATATTTCGCGGGGCGCCCGCCAGCACGTGGTCATGCGGTCGCGAGCGGACGAGTTCTCGCTGCTCGCTGATGACTCTAAAAAGAGGACTTTTCCGGAACCCCGCGCCTACTCAAGTGACGTCACTGCGCACGTGACCCAGAAGACGATGTACGAGTTGAGAGGCGGCAAAAACCTGGATCTTTTTCATTTTTTTAAATAAAAACTAGGGTATCCAGGCAAAATCAGTTTTCTGCAGTTCACTGCAGAAGTGTCAGGCATCAACTTCCACAAATATTTAAGCAAAGCCCTGAAATTGTTGCACAGCTCCTTTAACAGGAGCAAGTAATTCTTTTTTTCTGCATACCCATGTTCAGAAGCATGACACTGTATTATAGAAATGTGCTCACACATAATTTCCACTTCGTTGGCGTAAAAAAAAAAAAAAAAAAAAAAAAAAAAAAAAAAGAAAAGTGGCTGTGTGATGATGCGTTGTAAAAGCGCAAGTGAAGGTATTGAAAAGAATGAGACAAAATCTGCATCAAAACGTGGGTTTTCTTGCCATAATATCTGTTGTACATTGCGATGACCTGCATTACTATTCGTAATTTCCTTGTTTTACATCTGTGCATTTAAGATCTGTGTCATAACTTGCATATTATCATATGCGCTTTGGTTTATGCTTGGTGAGTTCTCCTAGTCACAGTTATTTTGTAATGTCATAATTAGCAACATTTTGCATTTAAGAATAAAGTACAGGGTGTCACAAAAAAAAAAATTTACAGGGTTTTTTCTATCGCAAAAATAAACTAGGCATCGCCGAACGCTCATTTTCTGCCCAAAGGTAACGCTAGAGGTCACAACCAGATGCCAAAGTTTCATTTCGATCCGATACCTTATTCAAAAGTTATCTGCGATTTTCTGAAAATTTCAATGGGAAAATGGAGCCAATTGTTTCCCCCTTTTTCGGTTTCTGGTGCCATAGAGCCCCATGTATTCGAAAACTCTGTCGGCCGCCATTTTCCCATTGAAATTTTCAGAAAATCACTTATAACGTTTGATTAAGTAATCGGATCGGCTGAAACTTTGGCATCTGGTTGTGACCTCTAGCGCTACCTTTGGGCGGAGAATGAGCATTTCGGCAATGCCTAGTTTATTTTTGCGCAAAAAAAAAACAATTTTTTTTTTGTGACACCCTGTATATGTATTTATACATTTTAAATTGTTGAACTCTAGTTTAAATTTGTGTGTTTAAATGCTTATTTAAGCTTACTCTTTAGTATTTATGTAATCTTGCCTATCTTCCAATCCTCCAAACTGCGCCCAGCCCCTAGCCAAAAATCATTCATACTTTCCACTCTCGTAAAGAAGGAAGACCAGCTGAGCTGTACTTGATACACTGTGTGCTTCTTCGTCGTCGTCTATTTTTCGCACTGTTTCCTACTATGAATTCCCACCAACGCGCCCAACTATCCATTCTCCTATGATAGCTGGAAAGGTTGCCGCCATCTACGAGCGGCGGCGGAAACCATACTGGTTGTGTGCTTGCCGCCGTCGCTTATAGATGGCGGTAGCTGTCCAGGTAGGTCTGTGTCGACATACACGGACACGATCCTGGAGAAGCTAGCCCTTAACCGCTCCGCTATAAAAAAACGTTTAAAGACCCCTGTTAGATTGGTACTGTACATTGACTTATCAATTGCGACAGTTAGCACGCTTGCACATCAATCCTGCTAACCTTTGTCCACTAGCACTAATGGAAACAAAACATTAATTTGGCCTGGTTTATAGCACAGCTTAACAGCTCTCAAAGGTCACTTTGACTAGCACAGTATGACCGCCAACTTTAGGTTTTTAATGGGCATCGCTCAAGTGGTTACAAAAATGTGGCATCACTCATAGGGAACTTCACCGAACTGCTCCAAACTAGTGTGTGTGCTGCTTCAAAGCTGCTTTAAAGTGCAAATTTTCTGATACAAAAGTGCTCCAAAGTTACTTTTTTTTTTTTGCTCCAAAAATTGTTTTAAACTGGCTGGACAACCCCTGTAAGTGGTATTTATTGAGAGTACAAAAATTGTTGCATCACTCCTTTAAACTGGCAGTTGGAGTGTGCCTCGGCCGAAGCCCTTTCCTGACTGCGTTTCTCTCTCCAGCATCACGGCGTGTCCACGCTGGCGACGGTGCTTCGCCACATTTCGCTGCTACAGCGCAAGGACAGGCTGGACGGCATCCTGCGGGGTGGGCTGCGCAGCGTGTCTCTGGTGGCGAGCCACGCCTCCCTTTCAGACTTGGTTCAGCTGGCAGCCAGCCTGATGATGAACCCAGTGCCCAGTTTGGCAAACCCCGTGAGTGACTGATTGATTAATTTGTTTCATTGATTTATAGACCAGATCGATCAATTGGGTTTACATATTCTGCTTATCTACTTTATTAATGAGCAATAGCAAACCCTCTAAGTGATTGGTTGATTTGAGGATTTGGCTCATTGATGCATATATCAAATCAATCAGGTGTATATATTCTACTGATAATATCAATTGTATCTGTGAGCCATGTACAGAGGCTGACTTGGCATTTTGCTGCCTTAGGTGCAGCCCTTAACAATGTGTGTGCCCCCTTCCCGAAACGGGGGTTGGAGGGGGGGGGGGGGGGGGGGGGGGATTAGTTAATGGGCTGAAGTAGCATTGAATTGGCCAGGTTTAACAAATCCTGTAAGTGTCAATATTTGGGTGGGGTGATTGATTGATGTGGCCTATTACGAAGTCTGTGCATTGTACAGCTTCACAAGTGCTGAATTGTGCAGCATTATTGGTTGACTAAGTTATTTAATTGGAATTAGAGAAAACTGGTGTTTTTTTTTGGTGTTTTACAGCGAAGCTGTTTATGGCTAGGGTTCCGTGGATTTTTCGTGTGCAGTGACTAAAAACTTCACACTCGCACCGCCGCACGCGCACGCCTTCCTTGTATAAAAGATTCAAAGTAAATAACCAAAATAAAACAATGACGAACAGGCGTGCAAGATGCCAGTTGTTTTGAGCTTTTGCTTTAGAACAGTTACTGCTGCAAGACGCCAGCACGTGCAATGCATGGAATACCATTCCCTGCATTCTCCTTGATGCTTGGGTAGGAATAGGTCTATTCAGTAGATTAGTTATCAATAGGCACCATTTTCAAGATCAGTAGACTCTCAGGTAAATAATAAAGGTTTCTCAAAGATTTGCTGCTGTGCGACCCGCGTCGGCCGTGTCTACGCTTGCACTGCCCTCTCTGTGTCGTCGTTACCAGTGCTTGCGTGCCTAGTTTCCTTTCCTTCTGCTCTCCCGGGGTGGTGGTCCCGTCGTGCGTGTCTAGTTTCCTCCATCTCCTCGAGGCGGGTCTTTGTCGTGTACTAAACAGCTTCGCTGATCATCTATTTTCACAGAGTAGAATGGCTCATGTTTTTTTTTTTATTTTACTTTTCTAGAAATAATAAGACAAAACAGGTGAGCCATCCCAGACTGTCCCAGTAAATTGATTAAGTATTTTTATGTGGCATTACCAATTTGATGTCACTATACCCTGAGTTTATTTTGATATTATTGTTTATTGATTTAGTTGACTACTTCATCAAAAATGTCACAGTTTTCAGGATGTTTATATACAGTGCAATCCACTTGTAACGATATATAGAAAACCCGAAAATTCAATCGTTATGAACGGTTATCGTTGTATCTTGACTAGATACTGGGCGTTTCTAGTCTAAAACCCCTAGAAACTGATCGTTATAAGCAGGACATTGTTGTGTGTGGTATCGTTATAAGTGGATTGCACCGTAGTGGCATCGTGAAACAAGCTTATTAATTAATATGCTTGGAAGTGTGAACTTGATGTCACGAGATCCCGAATAACTGCTTGGAAGGCAGTATTGATTCAGTCAGTTAATTTGTTCGAAATTTGATATCACAATGCAGAGATTTCTTTTTGTGTGTGTGTGTGGCCACCTTTGATTATTTTTATTCATCAATTTATGTAGCGTTGCCAGCTACACATCAGACCCAGGGACGCTTATTTGGCATTAATTTAATTGATGTATGTAGGGTGAACAATTTTCTTAAACGACACTAATAGTTTTGCTATTGCAAAGAACCAGTTTGCCCGTCTCGGTGGTTTATGGACGTCTCGGGTGTAGTTAGTTGACTCCCTCAGAGCTTATACAAACGACGTTGTAATGGATCGGTTCTGCTGCATTGACTAGCCAGGTTTTTTTTTTTACTGAACTGGTGGATGTCTGTTGCAGTTTGCTGTGCGCGTGACCTGCAGCCTCATAGAGCGCGCGGAACAAATTTTTCTCGAAGAGGGTGATTCCGCGAGCAACGAAGAACAACGGAAGTGGTGAGGAGTTGCCTTCGCGTACCGTGCTGTCACTTTCTGTGTGTCTGCATGTGTGAGTGCATGCGCATTCTTGCGTGAGTATTCGTATCAATAAGGTGCATGTATGTGTGCATGCCTGTGTGAGCGGTCACGTGTATAGCGGCCGTGCTTGCGTGTTGTGTGAGTATTATACGTGGGATGCATGTATGTGCATGCTTGTGTTAGGGTGAACACAGTATTCGTGTACATGCACATTCTTGTGTGAGTGTTCTTGTACGTAGGGTGCATATATGTTTGCATGCTTGCGTGAGTGTTCATGTGCATAGCGGACATGTGCATCTGCGCCGTTCTCGTTCGATTATTGCTATACGTAGGGTGCTGTGCAAGTGTTTGCATGTATAGTGTGTATGTGCCTATGATGCAGTCGTGGGCATGTTATTGCTAAAATGTAAGTGTTACAGTTTTTCAGGGAAAAGTAACCCTGCTATAGTTAAAGTTACAAAATTGAAAGAGTTACTTTGCTAAAGTAGTGCCATTACTTCGTTACTTTACAAAAATATTAGAAACCATTCAAAAGGAACCTACCTTAATAGTCCTTGAAATTAGCATCGATTTTTTATAAGGCACTGTGTGGTTCATGGTAGGGAATCTGATTTTTTAAGAAACTCTGATTTTCCTAAGAATCAATATAACATGTTTGGTTCTTCCTATTTTAATTTTTACCATGAATAGCTCCCTGAACAAGATCACAATTTAAGACAGTATTGGGGTAAATCCCCCATATGATAAAGCATTTATTATAGTTTCTTCTTCGGCAAAATTACAGGTGACTTTAGTTTGTCCAAATTTTAAGCTGGCTGATACCTGCTGATGATCCATGAGGAACTTTAAAATAAGCGCTATCATTATAAGATATACTCTAATACAACAGTGAAGTCAATAATAATAATATAAGTACTACCTTGCAATCAGCTTTGTAGATGTTCTCTCATGCCACTTCAGTTTTGTAGGTCGAATCGTTTTCTACTGCATGCGCACAATATTTCATGAAACACGAAGCTTCTCTTGAAAACTTTGAGAGCAATATTGCGGCAACATTCCTTTGTCAAACCCGCTGAACACGGCATCGACGCAAAAGAAGCATTGACCGAGGTACAAATGACCACTGCGTGTAGGATTCCTAACAGCTGTTGCAACCTTTTCTCCGCCACTTTCTAACGAGATCGGACACGTTTGCACTCCTCCGTCTCACCACCCCAACTAGAAGAGACCACGAGAAAAGCCCACGACGTGAATATTTATGAACCATGTGCTCCTGGTACCGGCTAAGGGCAGCCTTTCAATTTAAAGAAAACACACAAACAAGCAGAACGACTGACGTTTCAAGCGAATACTCATTCTCAAGTGGAGAGAAAGGGTACTGAGGGAAAGGTATATCCCTCCTCCTCACCTCCTCATCCTGTCTGCTACCCCTCCCTCTGAGCAGCGTCGCCGTCGCCTCAAGGGTCACGTGACGATGATGTCATCAGTGACGATGTCGATGCTGATGACGTCATCAATGACGATGCAGATGCCGATGACGTCATCAGTGACGATGCCGATAATGTCATCCGTAACGTCACTGATGACGTCATCAGTGACCATGATGTCACTGATGATGTCATCAGTGACCATGATGTCACTGATGACGTCATCAGTGACGTCGCGCGTCCCATAATGCACCCCGCAATTATGCCGACGGCGACGCCGCTCAAGCCGGAAACAGGCGCCTAAGAGCTGAGCTCTAAAAGGGGAAGAGAGAGCAAACGGGCCTAAAGTCGAGACCCCGCAAGGGTGCATCTGGGAGTTGGACGATTCAAATGGAAAGGGAAGGAAACGTACGCTTGGCGGCAGAAAATCAAGGTTCAGAAAATCGGCTTTGCATTAGTAAGCCCGCGGGCGATCTGGGCGACAATCGCCAAAAACTGTCCTCCCCCAAAAAGCACTCGCTCCCTCCTCGGAACGAAGAAAAAAGAAACGCTTTAGAGATGCCGCACTGTGATACATCTGCGTGCGCAGTGGAGAATGTGCCATACACTGTAACGACGTTATTCTTTACAGTTACTTTGAAAAAATGGTAACCCTATTACAGTTGCAAGTTATTTTCACTGAGTAGTAATGAGTTACAATTACAAGTTACTGAAAAAGTAAGTAGTTACCGGTAACACGTTACTGTAGTCGGTTACAAGTCAAGAAGGTAGGAGACGCTCCTCCCTCAAGCGTGATACACCTGTTTCAAATCCCTCCGCACTCTAAAGAAGAGTTCATTGGAAGAAGCGTTTCGCTTCAATGGATAGATATTAGCTACAGAGTGATGCCAACTTGTCTCCGATCCCACTTTTTAAGAAAGCGACCTCCGTATTGATTGGAGGGCGAACCGAGCCCCTGAAAGCAGCCTATGTATCCATCGGAGGGGGAACCTAATCCCCCCAAGTCGTATTTGTTTCCATCGGAGGCGGAAAGCTCTAATCTCCCTCTTGTGGCTTCCACAATGCTAAGTCAAAGTCAAAAGATGAAGCAACTATGTATCGGAAGGCAAGGCCCTCCTCGCGCGTTGGCTGCGACGTCACGGAAACGATCGGACGCTATTGGATGCTCAGGAGGCGGAGGGATATACAATTCCCTTTGAGGGGCATTTGCCGCTACCTTCTTGGCCGGTAACTTACTATAGTTAACTGCCCAAGACTGCTATAATGGTGTGTGCATGTGACAGTTTGTATGCATAGGGTGCATGTATGCATCTGATTGTATGTGAAACCCTTTTGTATGTTCATGTACATACAAAAAGTTTGATTTTAATTTGAACATTATTTTTTAAATAGTGGGTGAGAGTTATACGAGTTCAGTGTTCACCGTGTATTTGTCATGTTTGGTGGACATTAGGTGAGGAAATAATTGTCACTGTAAATTGGCTAATTAACTAAAACCCCTTAGTTAACCTTTTATTTGTTGGTTTTTGGGGTCATGTTGGAATTGCAGTATTGACACCAGTTACTATTAGAGGCCAGACCAATGGAAAGAATTTCCAAAAGGGAATGGTCTTTTAGATCTTAATTGATCCAGTTTAGGGTTTTAATTTAAATTTAAAATTGTTTAAATTTAATTTTAATTAAGCGCAATTTAAAAATTGTACTCAAAAAGAGTGTTGCAAGCTCTGCCTACAATGACCCTTCGAAGAGCGACGTCATTTTAATCAAGTCATCACTGTATCGGCCGCGTGTAGGTGCGCCGACGACACAAGTGATGACGTGACCTAAACGACTACGTTGCTCTTCCAAGCGTCATTATGGACAGGGCTTGCTGCGCTCTTTTTACACGCAATTTATAAATCGGGCGAAAAAACATTAAACTTTATCAGTTTATACTATTTAGAAAAGTGCTACCTTTTGGCAAGTCCTGTCTAGTCTCTAATAGTAATTGCCATCAATACTGCAATTCCAACATGACCTTTAAAGGGATACTGAAGCGAAACTTGAAATACACCTATTATGGTCAGAAATAGGTTCAATATGATCAATGATATTCATAAATCATAATCGCGCGTTTGTATTTTGTACGGATGGCTATATTTTTCACCCTGATGGGCCCGATTGGGCACGCGCTCAAAAATCGGCCATCGGAGAGCGCGATGCGTCTTGGGATATTGGGCGCATTCGTGACGTCACTTGTGCCGGTCGGGAAAGGCTACGGCGTGAATGTTGTGGTTACGAGCGTTGCCACTTGGTGGCGCGTCGACGATTTACGACCTGTGACAACGTGGCCGTTTGAGATGTGCAAGGGCTGCACGCACGCTGCACCACGGCAAGTCGGCAACCACGGCAGCACTGACAAAACCAGCTCTGAGGCCGGATTCTCAAAGCGAATTCACGACGAAAAAAGTGCGTACGACAAATTTGAGAGAAAACCCGTGCTCTCGAAACGAAATTGTCGTAACCTTTGCGCAGGTTACGACAGAATCCTACGACAGCTCCGAAGCTGTCTTACGCACTTTTTACGATCAAATCAACAAGGCCGACAGCGTTGCTCAGTTACTTGGTATCGGCCACCAACGGACATTTATTTTTCTTCGTGCTCTTCTCGTGCGTCCCTACTTCAACCAGCAAAAAAAAGGGAAGGAGTACTTAAAACAGACCACGATCAAGAACGCAGGATCCACAAACACACGAGAAGAGCTACAACAGCCACGATTCTGCCGACCGAGCGAGCTCGGCAAAATATAGTAGGCCTAGCAGCAACATCGACTCGGCGCACCGTTGCTCCGGCGGTCCTTGGCCAAGACAGTCTGTCCATGACCGGCTGGCCTGCTGAATGGAATATGCCCGCGCGACCCTTGTGGACCCTTACCGGATGAGTAGTTTGATCCCTGAACTAAATTTCAGAGGTCAATATTTTCCCCTTGTCATCTCGATCCCCTTGTTTTCCGAGACAGCGGTGACGAACGCTGTCGTCGAAAAGGGACTCTCATTGATTCTATCTCCTTGTTTTGTGTGATATAGAGCTCAAATAAACGCCATACGGATTACCTTGGCAACTCGGTATGTACACTCTGTTATTAGTATGCCATTTTTATTCTGACTCGACGCTACGTCAGTGTCGAGCTATAGCAGTTCGTGGGAGCTACGCGATGTCGGTCTAACCTTTCTTTGCCGAGTGTCATGTCAGTATCGAGTTGCAATCGTAAAAGATCGGTCCAGAAGCGCTTACCGAAACGCGGTCTAACAGAGCGAATCCAGCACTTCGATCAAACGCGCGTGTCCACTCCGAGTGTGAACAGGTATTTGGCATTTGCGTGGCTCTTGCTGACACCCTCGTAGTTCAAACATATCCTTTTTAACGTCGGCTTGCAGCTCGCGACTCGCAGCAACTAATACCGGCTGTGCCAGAAGCATGCTCGGGCCGTGTCGTGCAAAGAGCCGAAACGAGAACGAGCTCACTGTGGCCAACTACGCTTTGGCTTTCTCCGCCAAGGCTTTGCGAACGCGTTCAGGCCTAGGCGAATTCTGCCGGCACGCCGTATTGCCGCAGAACGGCGCTGCTATTTTGGCACAAGTGATGTCACGAGAACTTCCCCCCATCCACCAGATGAGAATTTGAAATCGTTTAATTATGTTTAAAATTAGTTCTCCTGTGTTTTACAGCGCAATATTTATATTTCCGAGGTGGTGCCTGTCCCTAGCCCATATTTATGCAACAAGATCGGCGCTAAAATTTCGTTTCACTACCCCTTTAAAACCAAAAATTGAAAAGTGAATTAACAAATGTTAGTTAATTAGTCAACTTAGCATTCTGATTATCCCTTCATATGTTATAATTAGAATGCAATTAAATGCAAAGGTGCAAGCGAGCTGGACAAGAATGAAGAAAATAATCCCTGGAGAAGGGGAACAAGAGGGACAAAGGACAAACACAAATCTCCAAACACAGCTAGGTGACTGGTGCGCGACCGAAAAAATCCGCCTGGTCCGGTCGCGCACCAGTCACCTAGCTGTGTTTGGAGATTTGTGTTTGTCCTTTGTCCCTCTTGTTCCCCTTCTCCAGGGATTATTTTCTTCATTCTTGTCCAGCTCGCTTGCACCTTTGCATTTAATTGCATTCTAATTATAACCTTAAATTGCAAGCTTCACCCTTGTTGGTGTTAGACTGGTGGCAGCTGATAAAACCCGTTTGCTCTACTGATGTCTAACCCCTGGTTAGCTCAATTGGTAGAGCGCTCCACCTGTAATGGAGAGGTCCCGGGTTCGATACCCGGACCAGGCGGATTTTTTCGGTCGCGCACCAGTCACCTAGCTGTGTTTGGAGATTTGTGTTTGTCCTTTGTCCCTCTTGTTCCCCTTCTCCAGGGATTATTTTCTTCATATGTTGTTCGCTGAGCCTGATAATGTACGGTGAAGAAGGCACTCGACTAACTCCCACCCCCTTTTTTTCTGAAATCTGTAGGAATTAAAATCAAACACCCCGTAGTATAAGCTGCATGGGTGTGATTTTGTATGCATTGTTGTGTGTTTGAATTAAAATCGAACAGCCCGTAGTATAAGCTGCATGGGTATGATTCTGTATGCATCCTTGTGCGAGTTCATATGCATTGAATCTGTGTGTCTGTGATTTTGTGTGCATTCTCACATATGTGCAGATTCACACAGATTCGATGCATGCACATACCGTAGAATACCGCGCATCCACCCATTTCAGATTAAGCGCCCATTACCAAATTTGTAAGATTTGAGAAAATACACACAGTACATTTATATGTGTAAAATTGATGACCAGACAAGCGCCCATCCCCCTTTGTTTTTTTCGATTATCTCCAAAGTTTGAGTGGGTGCTTGCCTGGTATTTTATGGTATGCACATGCACACAGAAGCGATGCATACACAGATTTTGTGCATGCCATATATATTTGAAAATAGGCTGACCTTTTATGAACAGACCCGTGTGCCTGCTTTCCTGCAGTACCCGCGGAGACCAACCGTTACGACCGGCGAAAAGAGCTGGTGAATGACAAAGCACAGATAACGTCTGGAATAATTAAAAAAAAAATAAAAGTGATCCACACAGAACTTGTTTTTGTGTTCCCATGTTGTCAGTGCCTTGTCATTTGCTGTTTGTCTTTCGTAAATCACAGTGATTGGCTCTTCTGGAGTGTTGCGGAGAAATGCATGCACATTTATTGTTCATAAAGGGGAGCATGCGACGTGTATACCTGACGAATTTTACGCATTAAATTTATTTATTTCCTTATCTATTGATGCCTCGAAGGCACTGCCATTGGCCATCGCTTGAGGAACGGACTGCTGGAAATTGGAATAATAAAAAAAAATGTTACAAATGCACACCAGAACGATGTAGTCAGACATAGAAACGAACAAGTTGTACGTGCGGAGGAATGCACCAGCACATTATTACTCCAGTATTGTTCAAAGCATGCAGGTTTGAAATATTCGCCCCTAAAAGTATCGATATGATCGGCAGTGACTGCGGTCGGGCAGAGGGTTTCGTTCCGCTATAGTTAAGGGCATCGAAGAGTTTGCACGAGAGGTGGCGAACGCGAAGACGGGGGCCATATTTTCCAAATGTTGTTTACTCTAGCGAAATATTTACGCTAGGTGGATTATGCTGACGAGACCAGGGAGTGTGGAGTTTGTGCCAGTTTTTTTTCACTTGAGAGGTCATGCAACGCCTCGCAGGACGAAGCTCCTGTCGGAGATGGCGGACCACCTTTGGCTCCTGGTGACCTCGCCCGAGGGTCAAGTAGACGAGGAGGCCCTGAACTCGCTCCCGCTGCTCACGAGAGAGCGCCACTGCCTGTCATCTCACCTGCGCCGCTTCGCCCTCATGCCGAACCTCGCGGAGGCGCTCTCGCGGTCCCCGCGAGAGCAACAGCACCATCAGCAGCAACTGCAGCAGCAGCAACACAACGGCTTTGGAGACATTGGTGTGGCGGCGCTGGGTTAGGCTCTCGGCCCCCCCCTTTGTGCGTGCGGCCATCCCTACGGACCGGTCATCCCTCCCAGGCTTGCGCGAGAGTTGGACTCTGTCGTTTGGGAAATGGGGGTGGGGGGAGGAGAAGTTTGCTTCGTGCAGTCACCACTGTGAACGGTCGCTTTCCGAATGGTTAGTTCTTGGCAGGAAACCTTGCGACGAGGGCGGAGTTCACCTCCAATTTTAAAGTGCCGCACTTTGATTTTTTTTTTTTTTTTTTTTCTTAGGGAAAGGGGTGGGGTTGCCTTGCGCAGTGCAGTCACTACTACTTTAAGCAGTCGCTTCCCGAAAGTTTACTTCTTGGGGGAGAGATAACCTCATGACGAGGGCCGTGTTTACCCACTAATTTTCAAGTGCTGCACTTTGATTTCAATTCTTCTTTTTGGGGGGAAGGGGGTGAGGGAGGGTAACTTCAGCTTGGCGGGATATGATGGGAACGTAAGGTTAGGATATGTGAAAGAAACTATTTGGGGCAGTCAATTCGGTGAAACCGACTTACGCGGACCTTGTGTGAGGTGTCCATCGCGGTTACTCCAGGGGAAGTGCGCTGTCGAGCGTCTCGGCGATTACATTGCTTGAACAACCGAAGGTGATGCAGACAGAGGTTGCATAGACAGTTGCGCTGGACGAAATATGTGCAGGAAGTGTGGTTATCAAGAGGGCATAAAATTTGTCTGTATTTCCAGGGAGTGAAGGAAAGTCTAGAAGAACTTCCCTTGGTTTTCACGTGTACAGGTGCATTTGAGGTTGCACACGAAATAACGAGCAAAGTTTTTTTTATGTACGGCTGAGCAAGTGATCATACGTTGTTTCATTTCTACGCTAGTTTCTTAAGATAAAGCTAGCGTTCCTTTCTGGTTTTATGTTCTCAGAAGTGTGACAGCTTGGACGTAAACTGGGACGTTCGGTCGGAAGCTTTTGTTGTTGTCTAAAGTTCTAAGCTATGTTTTTTTGTTTTTTGCACCTGTTCAGGCAAGGCCAGTGGTGCTGTCTCTTCACTTCCTCGAAGCTTTTGTTTCAATTAAAGTGCCATGAAATTTTCAAGAATACAAAGCGTGTAGGTACACAGAAAAAGTTCTCGAACTTGCTGTAAAAACGTAATTATTCTTTTGCTTCATTTTACTACGACAGCCAGTTGTTACGTAAACGAGAAATTGGTGTTTAAATAATGTTGACTTAGTGCAGGCCGAAGTTCAGCCAATAGAGCCATAGTTTCAAGCCTTCATTCCCGTAACGAACGGGGGAGGAGGAAGTTGGCCATTTATGTGACGATAAATCAGCGAATGTAGATCATCCGTGGGAATTTACCCTTTTTTTCGTGAAAACTAAAGGAAACGCTTACGCTGACAGTTTTGCTAGAGACGACTTCTATTTGTTTTACATTCAAAGACTAAAGTGACTGTCAACGTTACCTACATCCTCTCGTCGTAACCTTTCGTTGTCGCTACACTTGGTTTCTTTTTTCGTTATACTTTTGCGTGAATCACTGTTTTCGCTCAAAAGTCTCAGTAATCTCAGCGTCCGCATTTTTGGTTACGGACGAGTAAAACTTTCCCTAAACTCGCTACTTTTTTTTTTTTACATTTTATTTTCTGTTTCTTTAGGAAAGACGGTTCTTGTGGCTCTGCTCGTACCTTCAGAATGACTTTGTGCAACTTTTGAAAGTTGTTGCCTGTTGTTTTCTTTTGCTTTTCGTTGTTTCCGAAAGAACGATGCAAGGCAAGCATCTGGGAACAGGGCGCCGACATTTGCTACAGGCGTTGCCAATGTTCTCACTTTGCAGAATCTAGGAGGCACGTGCGTCGTGCGAGCAAATGAAATGGGTCCTTTCAAATGTCTCGCAAGTGCATGCCAGGCAGCCTTTTTTTTTTTTTTTAGCTCTTCTCGAACATTTTGTTGGGAAAAAAACATTTGCGTTGCCAAGCCCCATTTTTGCATTTGGGTTTTAACATCTGTACGTAGAGCACTGCATCGTTGTGTAAAGTGACTTCTGCAATGGTAGGTTGCTCCCCCTTGGTGGCCATGTTCGGAGACAGAAATGACACGCTTGAGTTGATCTGTCAACAACCTTCAATAATTTGCCCCCCCCCCCCCCCCTTGCCTTCTGCTGAAGTGTTGCAATAAGGTCTCAACTTTTGAGGGGGAACATTTCTTGTTTTTGTTTCTTTTTATAGAGGGGCGCTTTTTTCTATTTGTACATTTTGAGAGCAAGGATCGCTTTTGAGAGGGTCCGACACGTGTAGCATCCACGTTTTTTTTACTTGTGCATTTCTTTTCTTTGCCCTCGTTCAATTTGCGGCAGAGACAGGGTCGAGAGTTCTCTGCGGCGAGAAGTCATCGCTGTACAGTTTTCTTGTTTTGGTGTACAAGAGGTGGCATCTTCCTCATCTCGCCCCCTTCCTACTTTGAAGAAAAAAAAACTTAATTGTTGCTCATAAAACTTGATTGGAGTCACTTTTTATGCGAGGTTGCGTGTCTGTTTCGTGCTTGAGTGTACGTTTCTGCGGTGGAGATACACCGTGGAATTAACGGCAGATTGGCACGCAGTTACAGGTGTGGCATGCTTAAGAATGTAAAGAGAATCTGCATTACATAATTGTTTGCTTATCTGCCCCCAGTGGCTTGTTGAGGGCGACGTTGGAGTTGGATGAGATGCAGACAACGAGTAATGCCTGTACGGGACCGAGAGCGTCGTCTGCTGGCGTCGGGAGCACATTCACGATGCGACTGCGCACGTCTACCGTACTAGTGATGACGTCGTGCAGAGCGCAAGTTTGTCTGCTGCTTGCGCCGGGGGCAATGTTACTAGATTACATCAGTTGTGGACCTCCCCTCACTCACTTCGGTCCGCCTCCCGTCGTTCGAAGTGCCATCTAGATTTTCGTTTACAAACTCTGTTTCCTAGAGTACAATGGAACGCCATCTAGATGCTGCGCTTTGAAACGTACGTATCCCACAGGATACACTTCAGTTCCCAAAGCAGCCGACCGGCTCGTCAGAACGACGGGAGGCTAGTCGTGGCGAGTGAGGTGGAGTACTGCTCGTGCATGCAGCGTCTATGAGCAGTTCCGTGACTGGGCTAATCTAATAACGTTGGCCGGAAGTTGCGGTGTCGTCGAAACGCAGAGCTCTGTTTGGGTACGATTGGAAGGCTGGTGGGTGGACCTACCCGCCAGCCTTCCAATCGTGGAGGTCTACCCACTATCCTTCCAATCGGAGCCATTCAGAACTCGACGTCTGACGTCGCTGCAACCCATGTGCAAGAAGCAGACGAACTTGCGTTCCGCATAAGAAAGTTGACTGAGGTCAACGAGCCATGCCATCAACGGTGCTGAATAGACGTATCTTATTGTTTCTGCGCCATTCTCATGCTATATAGGTAGAAAACGGTTTTATTAGAGCACTATATAGCTCCTACGGAGCAGAGTAGCGCAATTCTTTGAACCCCGTGTTTTGCCGACAACATGGCCGACAGAGCGGCTCGGCGCGAGTCACGTGGTACTCAGGGTTCCAGGAGGCGGCCCGCCCTATGGGAGAATACATGGAGATTGATAAAACACGGCTGATTAAAAAATGAACGGCGTGTTCACACTTTTCAAAACTAGTCTGCCGTGAAGTTAGTAAAGCACTAAACACTCTATCAAAGTTTTAATAATATCGGATGCGTGTGCAAATTTTGAGAAGGTAATTTCCAAGGCAATGGCGTTTGAAGCAGACGATTTTTGCTCGCAGCGGAGATGGGCTTTTCGGGTTGGCCGGAGCGGGTCACGTGAATGGTGTGACGTCGCTGTGTCGTCTGCTGCATGATGCCGCTCAAGCAATTTTTAAAAAAAAGTCAGGTCCTTGCGGGGCACAAAACTTAGCGCAAATTATTCTAAAATGTTTCATTATTATGTCAAAAACAATTGCCACTCCGTACACCCCCACAATACTGAAGAAACAGCGATTGTCTCACGTTCTCCATGCATTTCTGACCGCAGTTGGAACCTCCGGGCGTTCGCCGCTAGTCGCCGAGAGGCGGCGTTCTAGATTGCGCTACTCTGTAGGGAGGCTGTAGTGAGGGTGGGCGCAACTCAAAACCTGGAGAGCGTTTGCAATTTAATGGCGGCGCCTGAGGGAGAGGATTCGAGAAAGGATATGCGCCAGTGTTGCCTGCACGAGAGCAGGCGCCCGCTCTGTTGCAACTCTGTTGCTCCATGCGCCTTTCCTCCTCTCGCCTCCCATTGCAAGCAACGAGCGCCTTGGCGCAGCCTCTCTCGCTTCCTTCTCGCTCCGAGAATTGCAAACGTCGAGCGGAGAAAGCAAAGTTGCCAGACAAGCAGCAACGTCCAAGATGGCGGAATTTACCATTTTTCGCGTTAAAAAAATACTTAACCTATCGCAACAAAACCGGTGGTTATGGAAAAGTAATCATTTATACTTTGTGTAAATTATTCAAGCACCTTATTGGGCTTTTATGACCCGAGTTAGGAAAGAAAACGACCCTTTGCCCCATAGACTCCCAGCAAAATTTAGCAATTAAATGGCGTCCATGTCCCGTGATCGCCGATCTAGCAGTTGCACCCACCCTCACTTGAGCCTCCCTACTACTCTGCTCCGAAGGAGCTATATAGTGCTCTAGGTTTTATGCCAAAACTTCTAACCTTCTGCAGATCAATGAAGCATATGTACAGGGTGTCGGAAAAAAAAATTTACTCGTTTTTTTTACCGCAAAAATAAACTAGGTATCCCCTAATGCTCATTCTTTGCCGAAAGTTACGCTAAAGGTCGCAACCAGATGCCAAAGTTTCGACCCGATCCAATACCTTATTAAAAAAAAAGTTAGTGATTTTCTGAGAATTTTAATGGTGGCCAACGAGGTTTTCGAATAGATGGGGCTCTATGGAACCAGAAACTGAAAACTGGCAAAAGTTGGCTCCATTTTTCTGTTGAAATTTTCAGAAAATCTCGTAGCTTTTGAATAAGGTGTTCGTTCGGGCTGAAACCTTGGCATCTGGTTGTGACCTCTAGCGCTACCTTTGGGCACATAATGAGCGCTCGGCAATGTCTAGTTTATTTTTGCAAAAAAAAAAAATTGTTTTGTTTTTTGTGACATTTTGTATAAATGAATGACGAGTTTAAAATGGGCAAGCGGTGGAAGCCACACCAACATCAACAATAAATAAATTTGCCTGTGTGTTTGGCTTATGATCACGTGGAGAAAGCTGCTGTTGGCACGAGGCCCCCTAAGAGACCCTTTGCAAGAAGCCCGCGCGCGACGAATAATGGGAGTACTCGGTACGCCCCTCCCATCGTCTTTCCTCCCTTTACCACGTGGCATATGCGAGCAGGCACAGGTTACCATAACAACAACGTTCGAGCAGCCCAGAGCCAAGTGGCCGAGTCGGATTGTCGGGCGAGCAACGAGTGCGCGGGAGAAAAAGTCTGCCCTTTTTTTTTTCATCCCTCTTGTACCCGTCTCTGTCGTCCGCTGTGCCAACGCTTTGTTGAACCTAGTCGAACCCTGTCGCCCTGCAAAATAAGTGGATTCTGTGACACTGCAAAACGTGAAGGTAAGTTACGACCAAATAAGGATTCAAATCGCCTTTTGCGACGCGTTTAAGCTGCCACAGATACGGTACGCCGCCAACGACGTTCCGGCGGATGGCTGCGACGGCTGCCGCGACGCGCACGCAGTCGCAACGAGAAGGCGCGCGATCTGTACTGAGGGTTCCCGAAATTCCCTGCCGTCGTGGCGCTGTACGTTTTGGAACAGGTCTAATGTATTTCTGTGGCTAAATTTTGTCTAGCTTTCAATTGCAGCGCGACTGGGTAATCAACGAAAAGCAGCTTGATGGATCATGCGGTACTGTGTGACCTCTGCAATGCCCCGTATGTTACATATAAAATGTCATCCACACCTCGCAATAGCTTCATACATATCTATGAACTATTATTTGTTTTATGCCGGACTCTAAGGAGTGGCCTGCAATGTGCCGTGTGATAATATTGCAGAAACTGGGAGATTTTAATGGCAAAACCATAAGTATAATCAAGGACGAGTATCCACTACTCAGAAGATCGTCTTCCACTGAAGGGCAGGCATTGATCCTATGCCGAACCTTGTTTCCCGGCAAATGTGCCACTTTGCCAAATATCATGGGTACTTCCTGGTGGAAGTTATGCGTAAAGCAGCGGAGCTCGGATTTGTGAGGAGTATGGGTCGCGTAGATGCTTCGGTAATTTTTTAAGCCCTCGCCCGTGGATGCGTCTGCACAACCGCTAGCTACATCACAATTTCACAGGTAAGCCAATCGTGCGTCTGCAGTGTGTTTTAGTGGCAGTGTTTTACAAAGAGGAAATAAACGGTATAATATAATAATAATTTTATTTGCACGTACTGGAATGGGCACATGTGGTGGTGTGCAAGGCTAGGCAGATAGGTGAAAAACCCTTGCTCAGAGCGCCTGCCAGCCCGCCACCACATGTGAAAAAACATAACATATATGTACAGAATATACACAATACAGAAAATACATACAAAGGAAAGAAAAGAAGGTGGGAAGCAAGTAAGGCATTATGACGAGGATGCCAGCTGCATCCCATACATCCGGGCCAGCTCTCGTGACTCTGCCCCGCTTGACGGCAGGGGGCTGCGCACACTAAGGGGAAGTTTCAAAAAGTCTTATAGCAGCTGGGAGCAGTGATGAGCTGTGGCGCAATGTCCTCCCCCTCAGCTCGTCAGGTTGTCCAGTTCTCTTGCCCATTCGAGCAACTGTCGAGAGGTAGGTGCTTGACAGGGAACAGTCCAACACCCGGCAGGCGAAACGCACACGGAACACTTGGCGCCTATGTTGGAGCGGGTGCCACCCAAGAGCCTTCAGCCGGTCACAGTAGCTGGTGCCCAGTCCAGAGACATGTCCAAGTGCTCTGCAGCATATTGTTCTGAATGCCCTCCGCTGGACGCTTTTGATCCGCTTAATCAGATGCGGCTGGGTTGGTGACCAGATGGAGCAACAGTACTCAAGAAATGGGAGTACCATCGCCGTGTACAAAGTACGCAGTGAAGCCGGCTCACAAGGCCTCGTCACCCGTGCAACGAAGCCCAGCATACGCCGAGCCTTGGCAACCACAAAGGCGACATGAGTACGCATGCGCAAAACCTTACTGGAAAAAGGTCCATTAATTTTTATTTTTACCTGCTAGGTAATTCCAGGGTACTTCATACTTTTTAATAGCTTTAGTGCACAAGGGACTCTTTTGTGCGTGTGCCATTGTTGCTTATCTAGGGTGGCTGAAGCTGATCCAATGATAAAATAGTAAGTGTGCAGGCGAGCTGGTGGATGTTGAATATACCTGAGACTGGGGTAGAAAGGAACATAAAAGTCGAAGAAACAAAAAGGGACAGGACGACGTCTGAGAGACGTCGTCCTGTCCCTTTCTGTTTCTTCGAATTTTATGTTGAGAGACGTCCTATCCCTTTCTGTTTCTTCGACTTTTATGTTCCTTTCTACCCCACTCTCAGGTATATTCACCATGGCTGATCCAATGCATGCACACAGCTCAAACTTTCACTGAATGTGTGTTAGCAGGTCAGTTTTACCTTGTCAAATTTTAAAGCGTGGTTCTCTTCCTGTAAAAAAAGGAGAGCAGCAAACTTGCCAAAGTCAATGTGGGGCGCGTTCGCAGATGACCAAGTTGGCGACGCTACTATAACTTATGGTGCCATCTTCCGACAGGTGCAGTGATCAGACGACACACTTTCTTGTCTGCTTGCTGCGCCTATTGGAAGGTGGCGCCACAAGTTAATAATGTCACTGGCTCGGTCATCTGCAAACGCGTCAAGGCCGGTCCAAACAGGATACTACAAAACTCATGACTCCAGCAAATCGTGCCGCGCTCCGCTTCCGGCCTTTGGGGGGAAATACCTCCCCGTCAAAGCTGCCGGGGAAACCTTCCTCCCGTCAAATCTCCCCCTCGCTTCCTCCACAGCGGCCTTGCTCTGCTCATCACGTTTGTTGCTCTTTTTTTTTTACACGGTTGGTGTTGCCTAAATTTGATTCATTGGGCTTAGCATGGTCTGAAGGATGGGAATTGTCTTTGTGCAATTAAATGCAAAGGTGCAAGCGAGCTGGACAAGAATGACGAAAGTAATCCCTGGAGAAGGGGAACAAGAGGGACAAAGGACAAACACATTGTGTTTGGAGATTTGTGTTTGTCCTTTGTTCCCCTTCTCCAGGGATTACTTTCGTCGGGAATTGTCTGTTTGTTGAGTTTCTGCCACTTTGGATCACATGCTCTCACGTTCCTCGTTTCTGGTATGCACTTCTGTTCACGAATGCTGAGTAGCTCGAACAGTGTGTTTACCGTTTCAGTAAGGCCTTATACTTGTTCGACGCCTTTGGAAATCATGAGTGAAAGCTTAGATGGTGGCCGCAGCTGTGTTTGATCGAAAAGTTCGCATCCTACTGCCTCACCATTACATTTTGCACTGCAGATTTGTGACTCGGGACTTTTGGCACTGTCCTGCTTTTGCATGACTGCCTGGAGCTGAAGCAGCACGAATGCTGAGTAGCTCGAACAGTGTGTTTACCGTTTCAGTAAGGCCTTATACTTGATCGACGCCTTTGGAAATCATGAGTGAAAGCTTAGATGGTGGCCGCAGCTGTGTTTGATCGAAAAGTTCGCATCCTACTGCCTCACCATTACATTTTGCACTGCAGATTTGTGACTCGGGACTTTTGGCACTGTCCTGCTTTTGCATGACTGCCTGGAGCAAAAGCAGCGCGCGCACTGCTTTTGCAGTGCGCGCGCTGCTGTTCACCGATTGTGTATTATCTTGCGATGTCAGACTTTGTATTCTTTTTCCTTCTATACTTTAACATTATATAATGAACAATAGGTTACTATGAAGACTGAAGGACATTTACCAGCACTATCTGACCCAAGATGTTACCGGACTCTTCGGTCGTTGCTAAAATGTCGCACGTTGCCACAGATCCTTAACCTTCTTAACCCTAACCACGTACCGCCGTCCTCCATTTTTCCCCTATTTTGTTTTGTCTTTGCGCCTAGATGGATCGTCAGTGACCCATTGTCATCGGTATAAGCGAGCCAATCCAAAGCCGAAATCCGAATTGAAATCCATCCAGTGTAGCCCGCCATCTTGGACGGCTTTCTGAGTATTTCGTGATTTCGCCATGTGGTTTGGCTTATCAAAATTTTCAAAGTTTAAGCGAAAAGGTTAGCAAGAAGCAGCAAAAATGCAAGTCTCAAGCACAAACGACGTCAAAATCTACAACCTCAGTGCCGGCAGGTCGCTGCCGGAATGGCTCTCGGATCGGAAGAAGCGCCTGCTCGCCAAGAAGCATTCGGAGATCCGGCATCGCATCGAACTCATCCAAGACTTCGAGATGCCCACGGTCAGCACGAACGTCCGAATGTCCAAAGACGGACAGTACGTGCTCGCCACGGGTATCTACAAACCCCGTGTCCGCTGCTTCGAGGTGTCCCAGCTCTCGATGAAGTTCGAGCGGTGCTTCGACTCTGAAGTCGTGTGCTTCGAGTGCCTGAGCGACGACTACGCCAAGATGGTGTTCCTCCAGTGCGACCGGTACGTCGAGTTTCACGCGGCCTACGGTCGCTACCACCGCATCCGAATCCCCAGGTTCGGTCGGGACATGGCTTACCTGTCGGCGGCCTGCGAACTGTTCTTCGCGTGCGACGGTCCCCAGGTCTACCGGCTCAACCTCGATCAGGGCCGCTTCCTGAACCCCGTCGTTACAGAAGCCACGGCCGTTAACGCTTGTAGGGTTAACGCGTACCACAACCTCGTCGTTTTGGGCACCGAAGAAGGCAAGGTCGAGGCGTACGATCCGCGTTCCCGCAACCGCGTCGGGGTCCTAGAGTGCGCCCTCAACAGTGTCACCGAGAACTCCGAGATCCACGGCATGCCGTCAGTGACCTCCTTGTGCTTCAGAGACGCGCTTATGTTAGGCGTCGGCACGGCCACGGGTCAGGTCTTGCTGTTCGACATCCGCTCGGACAAACCAGTCCTGGTCAAAGATCACTTCTACGGTCTGCCGGTGAAAAAGGTCGCGTTCCACGGTGGCGACGCGGACGTGGTCCTCAGCATGGATTGTAAGGTCGTCAAGATCTGGGAACGATTGTCCGGAAAGGCATTCACTTCGGTCACACCCGCCGTGGACCTCAACGACCTGTGCGTCGTCGGCAATTCTGGCCTCTTCTTTGTGGCAAACGAGGACAAGAAGATTCTCGCGTACTATGTTCCGAGCCTCGGCCCGGCTCCCAAGTGGTGCTCGTTCCTGGACAACCTGACAGAAGAACTGGAGGAGACGCAGCAGGACGCAGTGTATGACGATTACAAGTTTGTTACGAGGCGCGAGCTGGAGGAACTTGGACTGGGACACCTGATCGGCACGAACCTGCTGCGCGCATACATGCACGGCTACTTCCTGGACATCCGGCTGTTCCATAAAGCGAAGTCGCTGGTTCAGCCATTTGCGTACGAGGACTACAGACGCCGGAAGATCCGCGAGACCATCGATGCGACGAGGGTCAATCGCGTCACAAGCGGCATCAAGCTACCCGCTGTCAACCGGGAGCTTGCTCGTAAGTTGCAGGAGGCGGCCGAAGACGGCGAGCCGGACGGCAAGGCGAAGTCTAAGCCGGTGTCTGGGTCGGGTCTTCTTGAAGACACCCGGTTCAAGGCCATCTTCGAGAACCCCGACTTTGAAGTGGATCCGGCGAGTGATGAGTACCGTCTGCTCCAGCCGGTCGTGACAAGCCTGGAGAAGCGGACAAAGAAGAAGGCAGACAAGATGGCGGCCTCCGCGGCAGCCATTGACATGGACCTGTTTACGCCGGTGGACGACGGAGTGGCACGTGGTGCGTCCAGCGACGAGGACAGTTCGGATGATGACCGGACATGGACAAAGGAGGTTAAGAAGCAGCACAAGATCATCCGGCAGAAAGAGAGGACAGAAATTGTGGCTCCCAGCGCTGGTCCGAAGATGTACGAGTTGAAGAGTGGCGTGGAGTTGACGGGTCCGCGGAGCGAGTCTATTAAGAGGGAGAAAATGTCGCGGAAGTTAACCTTGGGTCAAAGGCTCGAGAGGGAACGGACTGGGGTTGGGTCGGCAGGGGCAGGAGGCAACAGGTCGATGACGTTCGAGTTGAAGAAGACGCCAATGGAAAGGAAGCGTGAGGAGGCAGAGAAGAGACACATGCAGGAGAGGAGGAAAGGTCGGAGGTCGGCCAAAGGGCTCAAAATGGCGGCTGTTGCGAAGCCGGCGCCATTTTGAGAGGTTGGTAGGCAAATAGGACCGAGCTGTAAATAAAATTTTATGGCTTTTTCTTTTGCCTCGCGGTTGCTTCAGGGTGCATCAGCTTTTCACGCGAGTGTCTGTAGACGGATCATGTGCTGTGCTACACATTTTGAAGTGGTCAAAGATGAATTTAACTGACTTTGTAGTTACATTTATTACAAAGCAGAAACGGCAAGTGGATGTGGCTCAAGATGGTGCAAAGAAAGGGAATTCATCACATGTCATAAATAATATTTAGATGAAAGTAGAATTTATCAGAGCACATGTTTAATCAGGCAAACATGTGCCTGCAATTAAAGCTGTATTTTGCCATCGAGAACATTTTGAACGAGAAAGAGCGATAAGTTCGGAGTTCAAACTCTGCGTTACAGCTGCAAGCACTGCCAACTTGCCCATAGCCGCGACACTGCCGTTGCTGCCATTAAAAAAGCAAATATCTAGTATAGCCTGTTTATGCAAGGGAAGATGGTCATCCAAGAGAAACTGACCCTTTTAGTTTGAATGGAGCGTGAATGCTCCAGAGCCAAAGTGATCTTGACAGTTGATTATTACATTGTGTCTAATGGATATTGCAAAGACACTTGGTCTCTGTGGTAACCATTACACTGCAAATGCTGGGGTGTAATGCATGGAGTGGAACTAAGAAGCTTTAGTTTTTGCCTGCAGCCATGTTGAAGTAAGTTTTGTTAGCCATAGAGTTGCTCTACGCACAACCTTGCTGTGCACAAATCGTTTCAAAATGAACAATGAAAGCCGTTATGTTTTACACTGAAACATTGTCCTTTGCAGCATAAAACTTTTCTGCTTCGCTGCCATCCTTGCCGACTTCACCGATGGCGCTCTAGAACATGTAGACTACAGCTAGCTTGAGCAACGTGCGGGTGACCTCGTGCTAAGGATCCCCTACACCGAGTTCGTTTCGACAAATGTTCATTGTTTTGCATTGCCTAGCGCATCTAGTCTTTTTCAATGTCCGGAGCCACTCGGCCAGATTGTTCAGACATTACCGTGCAAAAGTTGGGTGACGAAGCGTCATTCAGCTAGTTTGTACACGTCACCCCGTCACGACGACCTGCACACCAGTTCACCGACTTCGCCGAACGATGCAGGCAGTGGCAGCGATGCTGGGTCACCGAGTACGACGGCCAAGCGGTATGGTGACGACTACACCCTGAATGGCACCAAGGCTTTTATCAGCGGATTAAGGCCCCTTACGACAGATGGGGGAGCAGCGACCTCTACGTCACGATGGTCCGGACGGGCGGTCAGGGACCCAAGGGAATCTCGACGGTGGTCGTGGAGAAAGGGACACCGGGACCCAGCTTCGGCAAAAAGGAGAAGGTCTGTCATCAAAACTGCTATGGTGGTGGAAAGTGCTCAATTGGAGTATTAATTTAAGTTGTAAATTTGCCAGCACCCTTCCGAAGAAGTCCAGTTCGGCTCGATTACAAATGCTTGTATCGAAAAGAATCAATCTTTTTTTAAAGAGAAACTTACCTTGTTTGGACTTTGAACCCTCAATCTACAATAGACTCATCAATTCAAACTCCTGGAAGCCACGAATTTCGTTTGAATTATTAAAAAATCATCTAGATATATGATTCTAGGTAAAATTATGATTGCTATATGGATGGCTACACATACAAGGCAAATGTTTGATTTCCTCTACACAGGCCTACTAATCATAAGCAGGCATATGCCACACACGAAACATTGGTGAAATGTATAACTTCATCCCTCGAAAATGTTGCCTGTTGTGGACTGTTTAGACACCACATGACACCTCAAAAACAAAATTAAGTTTGTTCTTCCCACAGAAAAGTTGTCTACTGCGGGCTATCAGCCTAGTTAAGCGTGCTTCTTACTGAGCTCAGGTTCACTGCGAAGAAGCAACAACCGCGGAAGCGAGCTTCCGCGGGTGTTGCTTCTCCGCAGCGCACATATGCTCGGAAAGAAGTGCGCTCAACGGGGCCGTGACAGCAAAAAGTATAAATTGCACGAAAACATTGTTTGAATTAATCGGGGGAGGAAGTGGCTGAGTGGGCTAACGCATGTCAGCTCGGAGCATGGAGCGAAAGCTTGCACCTAGAACCTCCCGAGTTCGATCCCCACCGCCCCGGCCCGTTTCGATCTGGATCAGTTTCGTACCGGCACGCGTTCGTGTAATCACTACTGCGAGATGCACGTTAAAAACCCCAGGTTAGCGGTTTACTACACTGGCTAAATTGCTCACCTACAGCTAAGAGACCGATTACCCATTGGTGCATCTTCATCAAGGCTGTATAAACATACAGAGCAAACCATTTTTTTTTTTCGAATTATTTGGCTTATATTTATTTTATTTATTTATTTATTACTGCCAGTCATTGACTGGCCAGGGCAGGAGTGGGTACATTGTGGAAAAGAGCACATAATCAAAATATGCGGTACGACATTACATCAGAAAATACGAGGCAATGCTTCTTTCAAACACAGATGCGCTTGGACTATTTACAATAGTTTCAGGCAAACTATTCCAATCATCTATAGATCTCACAAAGAACGAAAATTTTAATACATCAGAAAAGTACAGATAGGGATCAATATGCCTGTTATGCTTATGTCTAACAAATCTCGGAGTCGAAAACTGTATGTATTTTTTTGTCTAACTTCTAAGAATCGCTAATTATTGAGAAGAATGTTTTAAGGTGATTTATTTTCATATGCGCTTCAATCTCGTGTGAAATCCAGCTTTATTTCGGAATTCTGTAGCTGATGTGGTTGATCTGTAATCATTGAAAATAAAGCGAAGCGCCTTATTTTGTACTCTTTGCAGTTTTTCTATGTTTTGACGCGTGTAGGGTTCCCAAACCGGGCTGGCATAATCCATGACTGGTAAGACCAGGCTTTTGAAGGCAGTTATTTTAACTTGGGGACAAGCGTCTCGTAGAGTTCTGCGAAAGTCCAGAGCCGTTGCATGATCTTTTTGCATATTTGATCAACATGAAGGTTCCACGAGAGATTCGGACAAAATAATGCGCCTAGATACTTATACTCTATCACTTTTGTGAGCGATTTCTCCCCAATACGGTAATCGAAAACTAGACGGGTTAGCTTCTTAGTCACTGTCATAAAAACGGTTTTATTTATGTTCAGTGACATCTCCCATTTGTCACACCATTTTTAAATTTTTTGCAGATGCAGATTTAATTTTAGCTGGTCGGATTTACTTGTAATTTTGGTAAATATTATCGTATCATCCGCGAAATGCTTAATACATACAGTTTCTTCGAATTCCTTACCCATGTCGCTGATAAAAAAAATAAAAAGTACAGGCCCGAGCACAGATCCCTGTGGTACCCCAGATACAACCCTACAAGGACGCGATTGTTTATCCCTTATATGGACGCTTTGTTCCCTCTCATGCAGGTATGCTTCCATCCATCTAATTATTGTTCTATTTTTCAAAATAGTGTTAAGTTTATAAAGCAGCTTTGGGTGCGACACTCTATCAAAGGCTTTAGCAAAATCTAAAAATATTACATCGATCTGACCACCCCTATCTATGCAATAGCTAAGTTCATGAGTGACTTCAATAAGCTGCGTAACTGTTGAGCGACCTCGACGAAAACCATGCTGGTTGTCACCTGGTATACCGTTACTTTAAAAAAAAAGTCTTTAAATGATTAGATATTATATGTTCGAGAAACTTATACGACATACTAATTAATGAGATGGGCCTATAATTGCCTACACATGGGATTTGCTACCTTGCTTGTGAACAGGAATTATTTTGGCGCACTTCCAATCCCCTGGGATCTGACTGCAGTGAAGTGATTTTTTATACAGAATTGTCAGGTAGTGGGACATCCATTCAGCAATATATCTTTTTAGAAATTCATTCGGAATCTCGTCGGGGGCAGGTGACTTTTTTGTGTTTAAATTTAGTATCAAGTTGAAAACACTGGGCTGACTTATTTCAATGTCCGGAGCAGCAGGAAAATCATATCCAAAGGATGGGAGCGCGGGAAGAACACCGTCATCACATGTAAAAACGGACTGGAAATATTCGTTGAAGCTTTTTGCCATACCTAGCCTATTGGTAATCGTTACTGAATCAACAGTGATAGTAGTAATGCTATCTTTTGCCAGTGAAACATACCTCCAGAATTTTTGCGGTGCTGATGTCATAAAATTCTGCAGCGTGATGTTCATAAAAGAAAATTTAGACTCGGTGACGAAGCAGACGAGATGCGTTCGCTATCTGGAAGCCTCTGAATGGTGAGCGGTTATCTCTTTTATATTCCTTTCGTAGCCTTTTCACCTTTCGCTTTAGTTGAATGATGTTCCTTGTGATCCACGGATTTTTCCTAGCAATCCTTTTAGTGCGAAATGGAACGAAGCGTAAACTAGCGTTGCTAATTATTCTTTTTAACTTTCCCCAGACCTCCTCGACAGTTGACGTAGGCAAAATAGAGTATTCCTTATATTCGTCAAAACTTCCATCTAGGTAACCTACAATCCCAACATCATTCGCTTTTCCAAAATTAAGGACCTTTTGAATGACACAAGAGGGAGGTTTATTCTTTAGCAAAGGGCATGTGAAAAGAGCTATGTCATGGTCGGGTATTCCATCTATCACCTGACATGAGTATTCCGCGTCTGGAAGGGGTCTGCTTAGAAAAAGCAGGTCGAGTAACGATTCGCAATGTCCCCATGTTCTCGTGCTAGTTTTGACAACTTGGGTTAGGTCATGGGAAAACGCCATATTTAAAAGCGAGCGAGAGCACTCACCTTTGTTGCCACCTTCGTGTAAATTGTTCCAATCGATATTGGGCAAATTAAAGTTCCCAGCAAGAATTAGCTTACATTTATCTTTAGCGTGCATACAAAGGTAATCATTTAATACTGAAAAATATTTAGGGTTTGGCTCGAGGGGTCTGTACAGAGCAACCACATTAATAGGACATTCGCTTATAAAAAGCTTAGCAGCTACTCATTCTATGCCATGAATCGCAGGCAATTGAACACAGGCATATTCATCATTAACAATAATGGCAACACCACCTCCCCTTCCCTCTCGGTCCTTCCGAAAAGCTGAATAACCTGGTGGAATAAACTCCGCATTTTCTATTTGAGCCTTTAACCATGTCTCAGTCATGACAACAACATTTGGTTCATGCTCTAAAAGTAGAGATTCAAAGTGGGTTACTTTATTCACAATGCTACGTGCATTTACATTCAACAAACAAAAGTTTTCAGGCAGGCTCTGGTCATTCTTGCTGGTTGGGAGAACTCCGCTCAGACATTTGGTTGACTAATTGACGCGTATTAGTTCTTTCGTTCCAGGAAAAAAGCTTTCCATTAAGCGATAACTTGTTGAACATTAGGCGAGCTTTCGCACCTTGGCCTCTTTCAGCAGCACAGGATGCCAGAGTTTTCCGCACACATTTCGCACTTTCTTTGAAAAATCTTCACTAACAGAAATATTGCTACCCTTCAGCTTGTTGGAATTTCTTAGTATCTTAAGGTTTTCCCTGAAATCCGCGACACGAAAGTTGACTGGTTGAGATCCGTCGCGTTTAAAACCAAGACAGTGCATGCACTCAACGGTTACAGGGTTAACTCTTGTCTTGTCAAACACGGTTGATTTAACAGTTTCAACAAGCTCATCAGCGCTCTCGTTTTCAGTCTCTTCCGGGCCAAATATAATCAGGTTATTCCGTCTCGACCTATTTTTCAAGTCATCAACTTTTTGTCTTAGGTCAGTGACGGTTCTCATAAGGTTATCAACTGTTTCCTGCACCGCAATAACACTATTTATATGTGACTCCAATTGGCTTAACCTTTCTTCGTTTCTTAAAGTGTTCGCAAGTTTCGCTGACACTTTTCTGGATCGACTGTTGATCGCGTTTAATATAATTTAGAACTTTCCCTTGATCTTTTTGAGCTTCCATGATCATATTTAGTTTATCGTCAGGACTTTGGTTTGGTGCCGGATTTTGCTCTACATCACCACTAAAAACTAACAACTGCCTCATGAACTCATGAACAGCCCAACCACAATATTTCATCAACAAAAACAACTTGTGGGGGCACGACACGGCAATAAGGCAACGTTTGTCACTACGGACAGAAGCCGTTTCATGGCTTACCTGCAGACAGGCAAAAGAAAACGGGTTTGAAGACATGTCACGATGCGTGCCGTGCCCACCACTGTATATATATACATTGAATACGTAGCGGGACGACCAACTTTTTAAAAAATGTTTGAATTAACCAGAAGTAAGAAATATCAGAGTTTGAATTGCCGCAAGCCTACTGCAGTGGAATAAGCCTGGCTATTCCACCAGAAAATATCTGCACCTTTGCCATTTGCATTGGGTTGCGAGGGCTGACGCTTTGGAGCTGAACTTTCCTGCTGGGCAGCTTTCATTTGAAAGCTTCTGGTACGACTTGAACTGTGCTTCTCTGTGGTGCACTTCTGCACCGCAGGCGAGTGCCCTTAAAGACTTGCATGCGGCTTGCGAACCCTACACAAAGGCTTCCGCAACTCCCCAACCATGCTTCTTTGGCTGCATCAGATGTCAAGTGCTGCTAGAATGTGCCCGCTTTTCCGACGTGTCTCGTTATCCAGCAGGCATTTGTCATTATAGTAGCTGAACGAATCACAAATCACGCTTCATAATATATTTGGCGTTCTCATCAGCCAATGCTGCTGTATCTGTCGCAAGACTCGTCACACCTTGCGTTTCCTCTCAGGAACTACATGTGTGCGCATTGTTTAGGGAAGGAGTCACCTTGGGCATTGGCAGTGCTACTGGCATTGTTGAAGAACCCTTAAATTGGGTTCCTTCTCCAGAGAGCCTGGTGTGGAATCGGAAGTTTGCTTTTAACGCATTTCGGAGCTCTAACTTAAAAGCGGTGAACGACCTAAAAAAAAAAAAAAAACAGAGTTGTGTACACAAAATTAATTTGAGCAACAAAACCAAGTGTTTCCCAATGTTTCAGCTTCGTAATACTTTCTTTTTGTTTTAACCCAGAACTGCCTTTATTGGTACCTAAAGCTAAAGATCTCTTTATATAGATTTACAAAATCTGATGTGTGCATACCTAAATTTTTTATTCAGTGAGGGATGCAACGTTAACGGAATGTTTCATATTTCTATTCGGAATGTCCATTCTTTAAAATGCTTGGACTTGGAAAGATCTCGTCTATTGGCCTTCAGCGTTTGGTTTGTACTTGGTCATGCTCTATCATAAGAAGCTAGATTAGACACTGGTTGTCTAACATTTTTCATGAAATTGTTTGTTGACTCTGTTTAGAGCCATTGTACCAAAAGACATCTTACCTTTCTCATTTTATTTTTTCCACGTTTGGGCCATTTTTTCTGGTTTCAGATGCAGAGAGAAACAAAGAACCACCTCGTCGTTGGAAACTGCAGTTTCAGAATGCACAATCCTTGCATACTCCGTGCTCTCTGGACACCTCATGCTCATAAGTTTGGAGAACTTCCCTTCTCTCTACTGGATGGTTCCCTGAGAGAGCCGTGCCATGTGCAGGTAGTGTCACGTATGAAATGGACCTTTCTGGAAAGTAGCGCGCGCCCCCTAGCGGCGCGCGAGGCATTACGGGAAGAGCGAGGGTTGCTGCTTCGTCGTCTGCCGCTACCGCCGTACCGCCCGCAAAAATTATGTTGGTATATGTTCGCGTGGGTTCCCCGTGTACGGCAAACGGCAATTTTTGCAGTGCCCTGTGCCGCCCTGCGCTCGATGACGTTCTAGTCAAACATATTCTCGTAGCTGCGAGTGTTTTTTATTCCAAACAATGGCAGGGCTTGTGTTTTTTTGTTGGTTTTTTTTTGCTACGGGAATCAGTTAAGCTAGTCGGTGCATTTTATTTTCCTTTGCTAAAAAAAACAAACAAACAAACTATGCAGCTCATTTGAACAATGTTGAAGACAGTTAGCTCGCCTAGGTGCATGAATAGATTAAGAATGGTGCCGCAGTTCGGACGGTAGCATGTGCCACCTAGCATGCAAAAACTAGACTAGGCTAGACTTGGCCTGGCTAAAAGGCACGACACCCTCGCAGTTCCCATGATGCCCTGGAGCTCTCGGTGGTGGAGCTGGCGTTTCCAGAAAGGTCCATTTTCTGCCTTCCAGAAAATGGTTACGAAAGTCGGCATTATTGCAGATCTCGAGAATAGGGTGCACCACCTTCCTGCTAGTGAAATGCGGGACATACAGGAGGGGGAAGGGGGGGGGGGGGGGGGGGGGAGAGAGGACATTTATGAACACAAACACAAAGAGCCGAGGCTCTGTTTACATCTTTAATATCATGTGCTGTTTATATACCTGCAGATCGTATTGCAGCAATTAGGCTAAATTAATTTGCGCTATCGGTGATATATTTATGTCAATAATGTTATTAAATGTGTCGAAGTTGAAAGCAAAAAAAAATATATCAACTGCAGCAGAACTCAATGCATATAATGAAATTAAGAAACAGTAAATCTTATCACGTTATTGTTTCCTGTCAACGCTTACTTTTATCAACATGGTCCTAGACAAATTTTTAACATTGTCTTTTTTCGACCGTTGTAAGTTGCATGCTTTTTGCCTTGTGTGACTGTCTTCCCTAAAGAAATATCGACGCCAACCCTTCTGCAATGACACAACGATTTGTAAATAATTACAATATTTTATATTTAAACGTTTAACGAGCAATCTTTCTTACAGTATGTTGCCACCAAGGGGAGAGGTACAAAGGAGCATGCGCGTCAGTTCTCCTGCAAGAACGACGGTCGCTTCCCGCAATATGATTGGATAGAAAATGGCGTACCACTTGGATTCACACGATTACCAGCGACCTCCGCGCGTCCTCTTGACCCGCTATATGGCAGCACCGTGATTTGCAAAGTGAGTTTTACGACAGTATAAAATGCGGGCCATTTTGAAGATTTTGGAATTTCTTGCGGGATGCGAAACACGAGCCCTCAATGCGGGACAGTCCCGAGAGACGCGGGACGGGTGGTCACCCTACTCGAGAAGCATCATTACTTGTCTTTATTTAAACTTTTGTACCCGATTAAAATTTTTCTGGAGCCACATACTATTTTTACTTTGCATTGTGTGCTGTACAGGGGGTTTCATGTTTATCGGTTTAAACCGATAAACCTATATGCCAAATTTATTGTTCAGAATTCAACAAGGTCGGTGTTTTAGTCGTATGGCACAGAAAATGGACATTCGGGGAGAGGTGTTACATATTCAACAATAAACAGATTTTGGGGGGTTAAATTTTCTGCTTTGTGATCAGATTTTGCATACTTAGTTTGCTATTTTTTGAAGGTGGAGTTTGGATTGTTTTTATTTGCGGAAACGTCCCAGTACTTCACAACATACGAAGGTATTCACAAAGTAACGCTGCAACCAGTTTTAATATCGGAGATGGATGCGATGTTGCGGACAAAGATAAATGCCATTTCATCAAAATTGACTTTTTCCTAAATAAAAAAAAAAAAAAAACTGGCGACGCTTTTTTGTTTATTAAAAAAATGCTGCCGTTTAGGGCTGTGGGGATGTCACCCCTTCTCTTAAAATCCATCCCCAACCCTAAGGCTGGGAGAGGATTATAAATGCTCGCACATCAGCAGATTAATGGCACCACATAGAAGCGTTGAATTGTAAATGGTTTGCGATTTGTTGTAGCGTCCGTTGTAGTAGTATCCCATGACGTTTTCAACTGCAGTCTAGTTGTATTTACCATGTTTTCTGTGCCGTAGTCAGCAGACTATACGCATTTAAAAGTCCAAACTCTATGCAATGCCAACTATACAAGGATTTATTTTTTTCTACAATGTTCGTTATGACGAGACTGGCCAAAGTTTGTGAATGACAAAGTATATGTTAGTGATGATTTACATACTATACAAGCTTTGTGATCGAATAAAGCAGGCATTTGTCAAGGTGTACTGTGTATAAACATTTCTTACAGGTGGACTTTGAGGTATACTGTCGGCCACCTTTTGGGGCCCAAGGCATAGAGTGGGAAACATGTCAACAAAAACGAAATTTTCCATAGAAACGACATGTGCACATACATAAAAGCAAAGATAACTTGTATATTTATATGTTCCCACAAATATTCAAGGTACACTTGTGAGAAAATCGTGCAGAACCGTAGGGAAAAAGTAAATATAACAAAAGAAATCGCACAATTTAAAAGTTATCAAGTGAACAGAGGGACCAAAAGACACCCCTTACCTCTATACCCAGTAGCTTGACCTGTGAGAAGCCCACAATGTTTCTCTTGCTTGGACTCTCAAGGCAAACTGTTTTTATGCCAGAAATTTTATCAAGACTTAAATTTTTTAAAAAAGCAAACCTCTGAGAGTGATTTTCTGCCGTGTTTAAAGGTACGCCAGACATATCCGGAAAACTTCCTAAAGGTGCTACTATGAACAGTGCGAGCGGGAATCAGAAGCACGTTGCCTTCGATATGCTACGCAGCGCTACCTTGAGGCTGATAAAACTGCGGGGTGGAGATAGGGGCTGCGAGAAAGTGCGCATATTCTGATGTGCACACTGTCGCAGTCCCCTTCTCCGCTCCGCAATTTCATCAGCCTCAGGGTGGTGCAGCATAGCATATTGAAGGCAACGTGCTCCTACATTCCCTCAAATACTGTTCATATTAGTCTGTCAGACACATGCAGCATAGTTTATATAATGAATCCAAAGAGAAAAGCGTGACATATTCACAAGCGTTTCGGATGCCTCGAAACGATGGGGCAGAGGCAGGTATAGGGGCTTTAATATCGGTAGCTGCTCAATTGAGCGGTCTTTTTGCGAGGAAACACAGTCTGGCGTTGTATAAAGGAAAAGTAAGGTCGACAAGTGATTGCAGAACTTGCTTGTTTATTCAACTCTGGCGAACTATAGGCAGCTGGGTTGAGGTGTTACGCCCATCCCGAGAGGAAGGCCCAAGAAGGAAGGCTGGTCAAGCAACCTTGTCGAGCTTGAGCAGCGGGCCTGCTATTCGACGATGCCGACTCGCAGACCTTGGCCACCTACTAATTAGCCTTTCATTGATTTAATGTTCACGCAAACACAAAGCTGCAAGCACAAGCGTGTTGCCCTAAAGGTTGCTTACATTGCACGAGCACATGTGCTTAGCAGAGATGATGAAAGCCCAGCGCTAAAAGAAAACAACAAAAGAACTAATGATATACTAAAACCAACAAGACTGGAGAGAATGAGGGATGACACGATGCAAGTCTCAAACACGGCCAATATTTCTTGACAAAAATCATGTTTGTATTTATGGCCTATGACGTTTCATGTTAAACCATCACCAGCTCGTTTGTGCCCCAACTTTCTTACAAAGATAATTCAACGTCATCTCATCGAAGGCCTAGCTCTCCCAGGGAAACCATTAAATGACACGGAGCGGTCACTGTGGCGTTTATTTTGGCCAAACGAAAGAAGTCAATCTTAATTTTGTTTCCCTTCCACCTGTTTTTGTGTCGTATAATTAAATGCCACAATGGCCCACGATGCCATCCGATAATTTCACGAAGAAAAGGCTTAGCCAGACGTCCGTCTCTGGGCAAGAAAAGAATAAAAACATTAAATACGTACACTACACAGATGACCACGGTTTCGATTAGCAAAGTTACTAATCGAAAGAGTGCGGTCGTCTGTGTACGTCTTTAATGTTTTTATTCTTTCGTTTTTAAGTATTCATAAAAACGCGGTCAAATTAACTAGCAAGAAAAGGTTCTCGTCATTGTTTCGATTTTGACGTAGTGCAGTACAGCCACAATTCTCAAATTTGAAAAACCCAACCAATTTTATGTTCAACCTGTCGCAATGCCGCAGTTTACTATATAAGCTAACTGTGTTTTTATTTTGCAAATTTTACTTCAAGGCAGTTGTTCCATCAGCTTTCACAAAGTGTCGTTTTTTTTTTTCTAAATACGCTTGTGCACAAAAGACCCGTCTTATGCAAAATGGTACAAATGTGCATTTCGCAGGTATTGCTCTTCCTCAGTGCACCAGTGTACGGTAACAAGTGCAATCAACGGAGCTATAAACTTGCTCAAAGACCACGAGCAATGAGAAATATCGCCAAACTTCCGAGTACTGAGTCATATTCGATACGAAGATGAAGTAAATAATTACGTTATTCTAATCGATAACCAAATACTTTCAAGGCTTGTACAAGCTTCTTACCGTAATGGTCTGGCAGTACACGCCCAAGCCGTTGGTTTCCGTTTTCACAGTGAAATGCAGTGTCGGTGCGAATTCCTAGCATTCTGGTAAAATGTGGCCGGACGTCTCGGCGTAAGCACCTTGGCGCAGTCTGATGCAAATGGCACAGCATTTACGACACCACACTGCGTTGCATTTTTGTAAGGGGAACAAGCTCGCTTTGCATGAACGATTTACCAAACCAATTTCTCATTAGCAAACATTTATAAAACAAAATTGCAATATACACCGTTCCAAGCTGGGCTTCCTAGCCGGCACCATTTTAACAAGTGTAGCGCCGCCTATCCTCATCTGGGCATTTGGGAGAATCCGTTACTGGACAGTTACCCTGCTCACCGAGTCGCACCGATCGCAGCTGCTTCTACCGGCACGGCTGTCGTATTCGGCGTCCTCGGCTCATCGTCTTTGTCCATGGAGGAAAGCACTATCCTAATTTGTATGTCGGGCATAGGGAAAAGTGCATCCTGCTTTCCTGGCATCTTTTTGTGGGTAATTTTTAGCGCGGTTCTGGGGCAGTCGTCGCTCCCAACCCGAACTCGGCGCTTCGATCGCTAGCGAAATTCGGGATCGCTAGTGGAATTGACGGTCGCTAGTGAAATTGAGGATTGAACGAAGCCAGGATGGCACGAATTACGGCATGTGAATTTGCGCTGAACTCGAGTTGTCGCAGCTTGGGGGCGCCGGGAACATTTGAACTAACTGCGGTTAGCGGCTCAGACCTGCGTTGCCACGTCTGCTTTGATAGAAATAGTAGAAGCCTCAAATTTAAATATGAATCAATATATAAATACCGAGTACAGATAGCAAGTGAGACGGATTCGTTTTTTTTTTTTTTTTTTTTTCTGATTTGGAATCTACTGTCAAAATATTGGCACATTGATGTGCCTCTCTGTAATCGCCTCGCGTGAGAATTATTTGTGCGCAAACGGTGTCGTGGCGTGTACTATTAAATCAGCAGACCAGGATTCACGCAACTGGTTTCTTTTTTCAATGTCTAAGCCGCCCTCCACTAACCTTTCGGTTGTAGCCCAGGCGAAGGAACGGCACGGGGTTCTCCGCAGTTCGCCAGCCGTCCAAAAAATGGTCGGAGCACACACGACTGCCCCTCGATGGCAAGAAGTCTTTCCTGTTTAAATTCGCCAGCCACCGGCGTCGTAGGTCTGGAGCAGTGTAGAACTGGTGCAGCAGAAACATGCCGCACCCACATTCATCCTGTTTGACAGCATGGGTCTCGCACAGTGAATCGGCGTTTATTTATTTATTTATTTTTTTGTTTTTATTTTTGCAAACAATTGCAGCACAGTGCAGCCCGGTCGATTCTTCTCTTGCATAGGCCATGTCACGCGCGAAAATACGCTATAATATGAAAGCGGCGCCTAACATTGTCGAAGTAACTTGCCTCTGCACACTGCGCACATGCTTTTTAACAGTCCACTCCGTGAAGCAGACGAGCTTTTGAGGGCAAGGGTAAGTGGAGCGTTGACGCAGCGCTCTGGTTCGAGAGTGTCTTTCCCTTTCTGTATCGACCTACTTGGAACGGTGTATACCATGTGCAAAATTGTTCGAACGTCTGGCAACACTCTGTGCGCTGCCATCTTTGTTGCGTCGACATTCCTCTGCTGTTTGTCAATTTGGTGGCGTTAATAGATTCTCACCTACACCTGTGGGCTAAGGCTGAGCAGAGTTTTACTCTCTTCTTGCGTGTGTACATGCTCGTTGCCCCGCCGGTTGCTGGTTTCTCACCACAACCAACATGGCGAACATACTCTTCAGCTCGAAAATCGGCTCCGAGTGCCGGCAAAGGCACGGGCGTTGGCGCCTGGTTTTCGAAAGCGCTTTCTCTGCGCGAGTGCTTGAGCGAGCAAAGGATTCTTCGGAACTACGCTTTTGCACCCTGGCCTTTGCCAGCGCCAAAGCCAACTGGTGAGATGGAGCATGTTCTTCGGCGCCCCACTAGATGGCGTCGTGCATTTTGCAAATAGTCTAGTGAGGAAAAAAAAAGGCTTGAAGGCTTGTGCATTAAACTAACAACGGGCATCTGCCATGCCCCAGCGGACGACTAAATATTGATTTCAAGCACCTCCTCAGGATTGTTTATTGTACATTAATGATGTTTTCTTCCAGCCCAATGGTTGTTTATAGCTATCCTTATAGCTTTTAAAACAATAATTTTTTAATGGAAACTTGTTCCTATGACAAAACATCAACATGCAATTACTTAATTTCAGCGCAATACTGTGTCACCGGTTGGCCACTACCTTGCGACACCGCAGGAGCAGCATCCACGCCTTGTCTTATCTAGGCGATGTTGGTCGATGGAGCAGCTAGGTGGTGCAAGCTACTGCCCAATTGAAAGGGTTAAGCCATACACCCATCCATCCTTTTTCTTAACTTCTTGACGAAGGTTTTGTGCTGCACGTCGTGAAAAAATATTAGTAGCCTAAAAATTGCAGAAAAATATGGGCAGCACATTTCACACCCCAAAAAGTAAAGAAACAACAAAACAACACCCTTATTTAAATTATTTTTTTTAATTAAAATTATTTTTTTAATTATCTCCAATACCTTTTTGAGTAAATGAGGATTATATGCTGCTCTATTTAGAAACCCAGAGCGAAGTTTCTCTTCCAAGTCAGCACAAATGCAGCCCAGAAAGTAAACTTTGTAAAATGTTTAATTTGGACCATAAATTGTTTTTTGAAACCTACAGTAATGCTGATGCCCATAACGCTGCTGTGACCAATAATGTTGTAACCATTATTTGTAAGTTTAACTTCTGACTTTCACTTGTGTCGCGACTCTCTGACAGAGCCGCCAAGGAGAGAGAAAGGAAGTTTTCCAGACTTGTGAGCACAGTGTCTCACAGCGATCACCAGACAGCACAAAGATTCTACATCCTGAAACAGCAGTTTCTAACAGCTAAGTGGTTCTCCGTCCTTTTCCATATCTGAAAACGGCACTGGACGAAACCTGAGGAAAAAACGGACGAAGAGAAAAGTAAGATGCTGTGGAAGGAACCTTGTACGATGGCTCTAAACAGAATCGATGGACAATTCCAGTAAGAAAAGTTACAGACAGCCAATGTAGCTACAATGTGATACAACACGACTACCATATAGTGTCCAGTGTAAAAATCGCGGTGTTTTTCCAGAAGTGTCGCTGCTGAGTTTTGTGCAATCATGCGACTTGAACGAGTTTGTTCTTCTTAATTAAGTAGGAACCTTAACTGTGCAAATTTGCCACGGAGGTCATATTTCTCGTTTGATTTTGTATGTGAGAATACTGAAAGTGGTTTAAGTGCAGTTTTGCAGTGCCAACTGTACAAAAAAAGCTTGATGTACACCTAAACACTTCTTATGAGTTCTGAATGCAAAAGCACGCAAGCCGCTCGTCCCTTTGTCGTCTGCTCGTCCGCTCCCTTTGTCGTATGCTGCGTACTAGCGCGCGCACGCTTAGGGATCTCGGAGGCCATGGCGCAGCGGCCAATGGGAGCCCCGTCGACGCGCGCCAGCCAATGGAAGGCGAATCGCTCCTATTAGGGCCGCAGAAACTAGGAGTCGTTTTTGCGCTTTAAACTGATGACGTCAGCTCGCTCCACGAGATAGCTAATGCTTTCGCATTAATATACATACCGTAAAATACTGCGGAAGCGCCACCCCACTTTCACTGAAAACTGGGTTCATCTAGACACGAGCGCTTGTCCAGTGAAATCGGTAAAAACAAGATGGCGGCCAATAAAGAGCTTTGAAGTTAGGGTGAATGGGATTGGAGAAGGCACCTTTATTCTCGCACAATATCCCCGTCATCGCCGCTGGTGTTCTTGTGGCCGCCGCGACGGGACGAATATTTTCAGCTGATGCCAGTGCTTTGGAGGGGGTCAGTGCTTAATACATGATTTGCAGAATTCATAAGTTTGGGAGATGTTAACAGTGGGCACTTGGTACAAACAAAGTGGGTACTTCCGCATTATTTTACAGTAAGTGTGACTTGTAGAAAGGCACGACTTATTTACCAACTATTTCACTAAAACAGCCATTTATACAATAATACGATATAAATACGGTAGTGTAAACCAAATGCTGCATGCCAATAGGTCGAATCCTTTAAAACGAGACCCCATTACGCTCTGAGGAGAGACCAGAAACACTAAAGTGACGCTGCATTCGTTGTCGAAATCAAAATTCAGGCTTGTGCAGTGTACATGCCAGATTTTGTAAGTTTAGCTAAACGACTATAGCTCGTCGCTAGATCTTTCACTCTAGGTACCAATAAAGGTAGTTCTATACATGGCGTCAACTGTTTAGGGCCATATTGTCAAGGTCAGCGTAGCTTCAGCAGTGATCTAACTCTGATGAAACTAGCCATGCGAGCAACTGCGACGCCAGACAAAGCCACATGCTGCCACGCGCTCTCGCGGCAGTGCAGGGCCGGAGCACTGTGGAAGCTACGCTCCAGAGTGGAAGCTACGCTCCGACTCCATACAAGGGCGTAGACGCCCGACTCACCATGAATGCTCCGAAACGACCTTCCCTCAGTCCCTAAGAATGTCTCTGGAGATCACCAGTTGCATCATTTCGTTTGTACCTGGGCAACAGATCAAGGCAGCTCCCAGTTACTTCATAAGATGCATTGGCATTTTCTACTCAAGAGGCATAGTACCTCAAAACCTGCTTTCATCAAACCTATAGTGACTCATTGCCCCCTCTCTTCACCTGGTAGATAGCCTCTCATCCATGCTTATTTTGTGAAACACATTACAACAATTTAAACGTAACAAAATCAACTCCTAACTAATTTAATGGCCCGAGCTGTACGTCCTCTTTCCTCGATCAGCGTTGCAAAGCCGCACACACAACACAAGCTCTTTTTATAGCTCTTATCCCCAAATCATACGAGTGCAACTGCTTTTTTCCATCTACTGCCACTATATCAGATATTAGGTTAGAGTCAATGCACTGTTAAGCGATTATATTTGGTTTTGGCTGCTGTTAACTTTTTTGATAATGTTTGTAACTCGCTCTCTTACAGCTGTAGTACTGCTTAAACCATGAGGTACAATTAATAAATAAATACAGAAATACTGCAAGCATGAACCTACCCTCTATGATGAGGTGAGCCCTCAAGTCCCGTAGATACTGCTGAATCGGATACTCCTTGATGAAACCATAGCCTCCCATCATCTGTAGCGCCTGGTTCGTAACCTAAAAAGTCAAGAAGACAAGAAACAAGATAAATATATTTGAGTACCTTGAATTCTCCACACTGTATGAACATCACTGCAGGGTTGTGCGAATATTCTAATTTTCAAAGAGTGGTTTCAAATAATATGCTATTCGATATTTGCTTCGAGACGAACTGCGATATTCATATTTTTCAAAGTGTTGATCACGACGGGGGAGCTTTGATGAGTGGGCTTCTCACCAAACACCTGTGCGCTGCGGGGAAGCAATACTCGCGGAGCTTGCGAGCTCTGGAGATACTGCTTCCCCGCAGTGCACAGGCGCTCGGTGAGATCAAAGGGGATAACCTGCCGCGATTCTGCAAGTGTATGCATTAGGCAGCAACGTCTGCCTAATGCATGCAAATTTGAAATGGAAGAAAATACTTGCATATAGCAAGCACAGTTATAAATCCCCTCGATTAGGATAGCTGCGACAAATTCGTCGTTTACATGCCACAGTTCATAAAGATAGCGGTATTAAAAGGAAGTGAGCACGTTTATTGCACCCTAAAACGCAAATATGCTGCGTCAGCGATCTGCGGTATCGGTTTCCGTGACACGCGTGTGCGCGGCGGGTTCCCGTGCGTCCTTCGGACCGTGAAAAGCGAATCTGCTGCGTTTGCAATCTGCGATATCTTTTCTTGTGACACAGCTAGGAATTCATAGAGGATTCCAGTGTGTTTATCGCATTGTGAAACGCAAATCTGCCCTGTTCGCGATCGGCGGCATCAGTTCCCATTTCATTTGGTTTGAAAGCGGATACCCCGGTGTTTTATCACCAATTTGTTTTTATAGAGCTTAGCTGTCGCATCTCCAAAGATAGTCCACCCCATGTTTTTCACCACTAATCTCTTCATTTTAGGTGGGTGTTCTTGTGAAATTTTGCGTTAAACAGCTGGTGAACAAAGGATGTTTGCAGGCGAGATTGGAGAATGAAGATGTTTGTCCGTTTATTGTCACTCTCTTCTGTTGTGCAGTTCCTGGCTTCTTACACTGCTGAAGGTTTGTCAGCTTGCCTGTCTCTTTTTCAAGGTTATTCAGTGATGCTACTGCAAAATTGTGATTGGGAGCTATTTTTGGAGCAACTGAAAACGAGTTTTGGAGCACCTAATTAAGAATGACTTTTGGAGCACATAAACATGAAATTCGGAGTCCTTTTGAACACCTATCACTTTCAAAGGTACTTTTGAGCATGCAGTTATGAAATCTTATGATGACCTAAATTTCATAAAAATAATTTTAAAGTTTATGAATCTCCTACCCAACTTTTTGGGGCTTTTTTTGCTGTAGACAGTACAACCCACTTTGTTCTTTCATAGAAATCCAATGTGATGGATTAGTAAACAGATCTTTCTCATATAAAAAGGATGACACATCTGTTGATACAACTTACTGTGCATTGTTTATTTTTAAAGGAAAGAATGTATCAAAGGCCAACCCTTAAAGCTTTTGCAGCTTTTCGTTTAGGCCTGCCAGCCTAGTCACATTTTCAGAAAGGCTTGCACTTCCCTCATTAAAAAATACAGCTTATGTCCTTCACTTTGCCATGGCTCAGGTTGCGTATGGCTAGGATAGCTGGCGGAAGTCGTTGTCGGATTCGGCCAGCTACGCAATTTGTCACAATATGGCAGATCTTTATCAGGATGGCGCGTTAAATTGCCTCAGGAGCAAAATGGCGCATTGGGCGCAGGAGTGGGATCACTGGGTTCTTTCTGCACCCATACTCTCTTCAAAGCAGCAGCACAAAAGAAACATGAATAGTTTGAACTGTGGCAGCCAGATAGTCGCAAACAAACAGGACATCGCAAAAATTAACCCGTATGCCCTAAAACAATTTACGAAAATTGCCACCTTGATAAAGTGGTAATTGACAATTTCTGTCGGGGCATTCTCTGTAGTCACATCTACCTGGTGAAATTTAAAAACTCGAGCTCTGTCTTCCTTGAGCAAGCTCGACCACAACTAGCTGTCTCAAAACAAATGATGTTAGTTCTTATTTCTGTAGGGATGGTGTAGCACTTCATTATTTTGACATACACTGTAGAACCCCTAATGTTTGCGAGCCCTCAATTTTCGCGAATTTCCCGAATTGAAGAATTCGCGAAATTTAAGGGCACACGAAAATTTCGGTTCTTAAGATTTTCAATGCAGGCGTCTGGAATTCGCGAAATTTAGTGGTCGCGATTATGTCATCTGTGACCCATTCGCGAAAAATAGGGGCCGCAAAAATAAGGGGTTTTACAGTATAGGCGAACGATGAGACATGTACCTTTTGAGGAAAATAACAGCTTGCCGCCGTCACATGCCAAGTTTTAAGGCCAATCTCACGGAGAAAGCAATGCCCTGTGTATATGGTCATTTGTTTACCCTGAAGTTTATCTTGGACAAGCCCTACAATATAGAACCTTCCCCAAAAAAGCCTTCAAGGCTCTTGAATCCAGACAAGATTTCTGGCTGAGTCAACATATTGGCATACATCAACTTTAAAAAGAAACAAAAAAAAGCATTCAATGAATAATGAGAATTGCACATTTCCAACTAGTAGAAATAGCATTTCAAGGTAAGGAAAAACGAAAAGCCTATTAGTGCAAGAGCCATACTACACAACCAATAGAATGTCTCAGTTTGCGCCAATACGACTGCATAAAACTAACCTGCGAGCTTTGCTTTCGTTTACAGAACTTGATATACCCCATTTCACCATAAGTATGATTAGAGCAGATGTTACAAGAAAAAATGTCATACTTTAAGCATGCCTAAAGGGCATGTGAGCACACGCAGAGAAAGCGCTGTTCAAGGCAATATGCTCGTGCTTGCAGCTTTCACTTCGCTAGCACTTGCGGTGAAATCGAGTTTGGTGAGTGCAGTACACACTCCGCAAACGTTGGTGACAGCAGGCGAGGCTACTTCACCTTAAATCCTGCCTCTGTGCCGTGCAGCTTTGCCATGGCACACAAAGCAGTCTTGTAAGGAGAGTCGAGGTCAATGGACTCTGCCGCCTTGCGCACGATCAGACGAGATGTCTGCAACGCTGTGGCCATCTTGGCCAGCAAGAACTGGTGGTGCTGTTCAAAGCAGTACAAACAATTTCATGTTGGAGCACGCATGAACTTGCCAAAGAGGGGGTGGGAATATGAAGGTAAACTTTACCCAAATGAGTAAAGATGGGTAAACTGTCCTTAAAAGTGGTATGTAGGGAAAATGTGTCAATCTGAACCAACAAGAGGTCAGAACAGGTGTGTTCTATGTCCCCATGGTTTAACTATCTTGACATACTTGACTTTCCTGACTTTAACAACATAAACAACAAAACAGGGCAGCACCAAACGCCACCAATGCTACCAACCAAAGGTCACCAAGGTTGCCAACCATAAACCACAGAACACAAACAACTTTCATAGCAGGCAGCAGATTGTCATATGTGTGTTCGTTCCTTGCAGAAGGGTTCGGTCCCAATTTTATGAAGGTTTAGTGAAGTTAACCCATGTGCGAGATGCACATACAGCTTGAGTGACCAAATAAATGTAAGGTACAGACTCCGAGACGTGCACAATGCTCACATGCTACATCTTTTGCTGAATTCTGCTCTTGTGAACAAGATTCGGTGAACAAAAAATACTTGAGGGACACTTAAGCTTCGCCTTTAAGAGTGGAATGTGATAGCGTTATCGCGCCCAGTTTGCAAAGCCTTATCATAAAAACCGCACTCATTCCTAAGGCATGCAAGCGTATGCGCGTCCTCCAAAAGTCGACGGCAGTTTGCTGACCTGAAATGCTGCCAGGGGCTTTCCAAACTGCTTCCGAACCTTCATGTGCTCGATGGCAACGTCAATGCTGGCGGCTGCGGCCCCCATTGAACACGACGCTGCAGGGAGAAGCACGCCTGTCTGAAATCTGTCGAAACACACGAAACAGGAGTGCTTGCCTCCTGCCGGCACACCTTGTTTGAGCGGAGTTCCACAATCAAACTTAAACCCGAAATAATCATCTCGCCGCGCCTCCGATCGAGGCCGTGGCAGTGAGAACACGGCCACTCAGTCATGTTGTGGCCTGGCCTACTGGTGCACCTAGAGGAAACTTCTCCAGATAACTAGATCGCCACGGTGACACAAGAAATAAAATAAACAAATCATGAAGATAGAAAGCAAAGAAGCAAGTTCATGTGGTGCTACACCAAGTCTTTGACACCAACTCAATTGAATCTCTGCTGCTATACATGCTGCTAGGCGCTTAGGCGAATTTAGCAATGTTTAGCAGCCACATGATTAATTCATCGGGCTACCTTTCTTATACCTTAACACGCGGCTGTGGCGTAGCGCATGAAAGCAGAAGAGAAAACGAAAACCGTGCGAGATATTTGCACCCATAGACGACAGCAGCTTCGTCTCTTCAACTCTTAGCAGAAAACTCAATTTCAAAAGTTCAAAATTTTAAAAAATTTCAGGAGTGACTGGGCAGTGTGCAATTGGAGAAACCTCAAAACCAAAAAAAGTGGCGAAATTCATGAAAAAAAACGAGTGAGATAGTCTTTTGCAAACCATCTCGTGACACGCCAGCTTACTTTAATAGTATACCGCAAGACGTCTCACCTCCTAAAGATAACGAGCCCTATTTTTGGCTTGATTTGCAATTTTGCCTTTAAAAACACAGAAAGAAACCCCACTTCTAGTAAATGCAGTGCCTGGGGCCAATGGTGATATTGGTGGAAATCTGGTTAGTTAGCTACGATAGAAGATAAGCTGGTACTGCTGACTGAAGAGGACAGTCATCTTTGCTTCATTGCCCCTTGTAGAGATAACAAGTTTAGCAGGTCACATGATCTAGAAACAGCACTTTTTGAACTTTTGTTGATCGCACACTGAAAGTTAGCCGACTCCTCATTTTCACCTGATTTGCTCTCTATTTTAGGTAGACTATCTCTTGAGATAAAATACGGTAGGTTTTTGCAGTTGAGCAACATAAATGGGGGGTTTTGAATTTGAAACAATCCATAATATACGAATAGAATACAATGCAGACTAACCAAACAGCCTGCACTAGTCTGCATTGCAAAGCACTCCGAATTATAAAAACTTCTGAATGATACCAAGGGGCCGTCATACCAATGTTGACGCGACCTCCGTCCAGCCCCTTCATGGCAAACTGGAATCCCTGGCCCTCTTCACCCAAACGATTGGCCACAGGAACTCGGCAGTCTTCCAGGATCACCATTCGCGTCGGCTGCGTGTTCCAGCCAAGCTGCGAGGCAGACGAGAGTCGACACCACCTTGAGACAGAGCCTCTAAGATACACTTCAGAGCACGGTGTAAGATACTCTTTAGGTGAGGACGCACACCATGGCAAATGCTGCGACGTGATCGAGCAGAAGTCCCATTGGCACGCGCCCAACTAGCCTATGCCGGCAGCGTCTCTGTCGGCCAGATGGCGCAACTGAGAGACAAACAAATGGGCAAAAACGAAAAGATGTTTTGTTCCTGTGGCATGGGGGTACACGTGCTTTCCACTCGGCACGTCTGCCCTGGTGAGGAGAGGACTTTATATGGACAGCTGCCACGGGAATGGTGTCCACACCTAAGTATACCTTACACTGTGCCGGCACTTCAGCCATTTTGATGCTCCAAATCGCTGTTGCCACTTACCCAAAACTTCGTCTGAACATCGAAGAAACGCTTTTTTGTCCTCCATGAATGTTAAAACAGTCCACGATGGAGAAAAACAACATCTACCAAGCCTTCCGACACTGTATCTAAAGATTCAGAAGATGTGTTTTCAAATCCTAATTGTCGCCAATTGTGGTCGCTCTCCACTAGGCACGAAAATGGCGGCGCGGCACCCACCATATAATCTGGGATAAGGGTGCCGATACCACAAGTGTGGCTCATATAGCGAGCCCGTTTTGAGAGCAAGATTCAGGTGAGTGCGTGGACAGGCCTTGATTGCATCCATTCACGAATTTTGTCTCCCCCTCTTTCGTCAGCTTATTCCCCATTTCCTCTCCTCTATTTCACTACCATCTCCCAACCGAGGTTCGTTAAAAAAGAGTTCCGGCACCCAGAGATAAATGCCATTGCAAGCTAGGCTTGCAGCCACCTCGACCCCTTACGTTTTCACTTTCGTACCTATACATTGACATACTTATTTGTGTTTGTTCAAAGTAGCTCAATTCTGTCCTTTTATTTTTAATGCAGAGCACATTTTAATAAAAGATACGTTGGGATTTGTGTTACTAATGCATCCACATACGTGCAGTCATCGGAAATATTTAGCAGGCAAATGTCCTGCTAAATTTATCAAGGCGCCGGTTACAGGCCGCATGGTCACGAGGCTGGTGCTTCTCTGGGTCCGGTGGTCAAGTGACATGCGTCAGGCCAGATCAGCTCACGTGACATCACAGTGACACATGTCAACACCAATTTTGGAACTTGAAATGTGGCTTACCAAGTCATGGTGCGATGTGGCGCAACACGTTACATTAAGTGACAGTCTCACATGACTTTAAGTGGCAGACTCATGTGACATCACGTGCATCTCACGTGACATCAAGAGACAGTGTCACGTGACATGAAGTGACAATCTCGCGTGACCTTAAGTGGCAGTCTCATGTGACATCACGTGCGTCTCACGTGACATCAAGTGACAGCCTCACATGACATTAAGTGTCAGTCTCATGTGACATCAAGCGAGTCTCACGTGATGTCAAGTGACATGAAGAGACAGTGTTATGTGACATTAAGTGTCAATGCCGCTTGACAGTATCACGTGACAACTGTCTGACACCCCGACGCCATGCGACATCACGCTGCCCAGATTTCTGTCTATACCGCCAAAGCACTCTGCATACGGGACATTCGAGCGGTAAACCAAAGCAGCAGCTTAATTTTCTGTCCGTTTGCAAGAGGATGGCACGACCGATGCAGAGACTCCATCCCCGCCGATAAAGGATTCTACGTGCCAACCAAAAAGAGAGTGCACCTTCTTCTCCTTTTTGCCGAAGCTGAGTCCGCGCGTTCCTTTCTCCACGACCACTGCCGAGATTCCCTTGGGGCCCGGACCGCCCGTCCGGACCATTATGACGTAGATGTCGCTGGCCCCTGAGCCGCTGATGAAAGCCTTGCTGCCGTTCAAGATGTAGTCGTCACCGTCCCGCTTGGCCGTCGTGCTCAGCGACGCAGCATCGCTGCCACTGCCTGCACGTGCAGCAAAGTCATTGTGGCCGGGTTATGTATCTGAACTAGCCGAATAACGCTTCATCATTCTCTAGCTTTTTCAGCGCATTGTCCACACAATTTGGTTTAGAGGCACCAGATACTAACAAAGCGCAGAACTCCTCATACTAGGCTCACTAGGCGGTGCATGAGTCAAAATTAGAGGTGCACGTTTGGAATTGTAGGGCATTTTCCAAAAACGTGATACTTAAAATATGTATTTTTGGTATCGAGACTCCAATGCACCTTTTTTCCCGGTCTGAGAGACTCAACAGATATCAAGAAAATAAATATAATTGAATTTATTACCCGGTTCGGTGAGGCAGTAGGACGCAAACTTTTCCATCGTACACAGCTGTGGAAGCCACTTAAGCTTTTGCTCGTGATTTCCAAAGGCGTCGATCAAGTAACAGGCCATACTGGAATGGTGAACACACAACACGAGTCACTCAGAATTTCATGAACAGAAAGCTCTGGGACACGCCGAAAACGAGAAGTGTGAGAGCGTCTAATCAAAAGTTGTAGAAACGGGACGGCGTTAAAAGTGACAATTCCCACCTCATTTCAGTCGGTTGTTTCCATGCAATAAGTACCGCGCAGTGCACCGAAGTAATTAAAAGCCAGCCTTTTCTTAGGAAAAGCACCAGTTAAAGGATAAAATTGTTCCATTTCACACAAGGTTAAGGATGATGACAAGTCATACCTGGGAGGACCACCATAATATCCCGAGAAATGCCCCACCCCCGAAAGATAGCCCACCACTATTTTTGGCACGATTTGATATTTTATCTGAAACACCGAAAGAAAGCCCACTTCCAGTAATTGCAGAGCCAATGGTGACCTCGGTGAAAACGGTGTTACTTAACCATGGCAGGAGATAAGCAAAAATTGCTGACTGGGAAGGGCAGTAGTCTTTGATTGATCGCCTTTTCCTGCAATCACAAGTTTCCCAAAGCGCCGCTGAATATTTAGTACACACCCTGGCTGTGCCCTTTTCTGTACCGGCCAAAGGTCATTATGAAAGTAACGTACAGCATGCACGAAAAATGGAATTCCCAGGAGCACTAAAACCAGGGTTGTCACCTGCCTGCATGGACGTTTTTTTGTTGTTTTTTTTGGCATGGCAAGTTGGTTTTTGGGCTGTACCTCGAACCGGCCATCTGTTGCCGGTTTTCTCAACCATCCAAGAACATTTCTTTTTTTTTTAGAAAGGGGGGTTTATAAACACATTCTACACCGTCAATGCAAAAACTAGCGCAAAAAGTGCTTGTCAATGGATACTTTTTTTTACAGAAAGTATGTGCGAAAATCTGTTGAGGACTCCCAAGTAGAGAAAGCGTGTGAGCGAGCTTGCTTGAGAGAGGAAGTCATCCTTTGAAATCTCTAAGCGGGTGCGGCGGCGAGCGGGAAAATGGGAGGGAAATGGGAGAAAGCAGAAAGCCGGCACCTGTAGGGGTGTGGGAAACACGCGACTAAACAGGACTACCCCCCCATATCGCCCGTCCACAGATGCGGGCGGCCGCGGCATTACCGGGCGGCGGAGAAAAGCTCACCGGAGGTAAGCTCACGAGGAGAAGCTCACCAGAGAAAAGCTCACCGGCCTTTGGACAGATGCAAAGTAAAGCTCACCTATGAATCTAAGAATCAAGCATTCACTCAAGTGGAATACGTTCACTGAACTGAAGTATGCTGGGCTGCCTTATGCGCTTAGCAGAATTTATTTTTAAAATATAAAAACGTCCAGTAACACGTCAGGCATTGCCCGACGAGGTAAAATAAATAATTTCGATAAAACGCTAGTTAAAAAATAACGGGGGGGGAATCACAACCAGAGTAGAGAGCTGCGGCTTGAGTAGTTTCTGAATATTTACTTATGAAATTGAATTTTATGTAGTATACTGACACTGCATTTCCCCATCTCCACATTCACCATTTGTTTAAAAAGCAGTGGTTCCAATTCTTACCTCATTCAAAGAAAAAAAAAATCATTTCCTCTATACTGTCTACACCAGAATTAAATACATGGTAACATTCACACGAAATGAGTTAACATAAAAAGCAGAATGAGGGCTACAGCCAGCGTGGAGAATAAAAATCAAGATGACTTAAATCGCGATTTAAGTCAGACCATTTACTGTAAGACCCTTAATGTTTGCGAGTTTTAGCGGGCACGAATATTTATATTACCTGCAGATGAAAATTCCAGCCTTTAGAATTCACGAAATTTAATGGCTGACACTGCTAGTGAAATTGTAGCCTGCATGCGTCCTAAAGTGACAGGAGCAGTGCACAATCCAAACGGCTTGTTGAGTGCTTACTCATCTGTGCTACGCAGGACCAGGAGAGATGAGAGACTTGTTTTTGGCAGTTTACTCTTGACTAAATGGTGTGTATCTATGCATGTTATGGAGTTTAATGCTGTGTATTTGTGCGCTTACATGTGCTATTGTATTATTATGTCTATGTTAGTAATTTCACGTTGGGAAACTCGTGCCAAAATACATTGGATTTGTGTAATAAAGAATGTCAACACTGCATGTCTTTTTACGAAATCAATCCCACATAATCACCCCCACCCCCCTTTTTTGGGGGGAAGGTAGCAACCCTAATTAAAGTGATTAGTAGGTATTAGTAGGTATGAATTGGTGGACAAAAATAATCAATTTTAAGTTACAAAAGAAAAAGAAAAAAACATACAAGACAATGGAACAGCCAGACCATCTCAATCGTTCCGCTGGAAACGGCATTTGTTTTCATGGTTGCTGATGTTCAACGTGACGCCAAGCTGTAGTCAATGAGCTTTTATTCTTTTTTTATCTAAATGTTGCCCAACGAAAGAGATGCGTCTGTCACCTGTTTTATCCTGTAAGTTCCTTCCCTTTCCGTAAGCCACTGCCGCTATGGTGCCTGTAACGCGTCTCCAAATGGCGTCCTTATCATCCTATTCCGCCCATGTATCGAAAATGGACCCCAAGTGGCAACAAATGACATTGCAAAAGCTGCAGTGTCATGCTGTCGGATGCTGCAATCCTGAAAATTGGGCGTCAAAGTTCTGAGGAAGAAGAAAAAAAAAAAGCACGAGAGAATGCAAATGTTGTCATGACGCGACATTCCAACTCCTTGCTGCCGAAACAAAGTTCCCGTGGACTGTCAAGTTGATGTGAAACAGGCGCGGTAAACACCAGTTGCAGATACGTTCCAGGCACCATACCTCCACCAACACACTTTGCGGTCTGCTTAGTTCAATTGACTTACTTGTGGATACTGATGTAGGCAGTCGTGCTGACACATCCACGAGAGAGGGCTTCAAAAATGACTGAAGCATCCAAGCGACCCAAGCCAGCACCTCCGTAGTCCTCCGAAATGTAGACGCCTCCGAATCCGAGCTCCGCTGCTTTGCGCATAGCCTCCACCGGAAAGTACTCCTGATGGCCGGCAAATGAGACGACACATTGCCCGTGAAACGAGAAATAATTTAGGACAGATGCCTGCCCTCACGCCTGTAGGCATTTCAGCAGTTTACACGTCCCACAGAGCTTTGAGATTTTTAGAGCTCTAGTAACTGCGGTAATCAATTTAGGAATGTTCATCATTTTTGTCTGGTGACCAAGCAACACTGCTGAAATTAGTCACACCATTGTTTTCATATTTTATTTTTGGCATGTCCTAACCCCCTTAAGCTTTTTCTTTGTTTAAACCTCAGTCATCATACAGCACACTGCATTTCACATGCCAGATTTGCTCACAACAGATCATATGAATATTGTTTGCTTTTTTGTAAAGGGTTCAGATTTCACGTCGTATAACTAGCAGGAAAAATTGGCGCCTACGCATAGAAAGCTCAAACTTTCATTGAATGTGCATTGAGGTAGTCAGTTCTACCTGATGAAATCTCAAGGCATACTTCTCTTCCTGTAAAAAATTAGACCAACAAACCTGCCAAAGTCAACAGCGGATATGTTCGCAGACGACAGAGTTGGTGATGAACGTAACTTGTGGCGCCGTCACCCGACAGGCGCAGCGAGCAGACGGCGGAGTGTCTGTCGTCTTCTCACTGCACCCATTGGAAAATGGCGCCACAATATACGTTCATTGCAAACTCGTTTGTCTGTAAACACACCTGCCACTGCCTTTAGCAAGTTTGTTGATCTAATTTTTTAAAGGAAGGGAATTGCGCCTCGAAATTTTACCAGATAAAGTGCACCGCATCCATGCATATTCAGTGAAAGCTCGAGCTTTCTATGCACAGGCGCCAATTTTTCCAGCTCGTTTTATAGCATAAGATTTTCTCTCTATATATTACGCAATTAATATTATGCACAGGGCATCCCACAACATTATGTGCTACTCCACGTCCCGTCCCCCCCGCCCCGCCCCGCCCCGCCCCGCCCCGCCCCGCCCCGCCCCGCCCCGCCCCGTCCCGTCCCGTCCCGTCCCGTCCCGTCCCGTCCCGTCCCGTCCCGTCCCGCCCCGCCCCGCCCCGCCCCGTCCCGTCCCGTCCCGTCCCGTCCCGTCCCGTCACGTCACGTCACGTCACGTCACGTCACGTCCCGTCCCGTCCCGTCCCGTCCCGTCCCGTCCCGTCCCGTCCCCCCCCAATTGTTTCTCACCTTTTCATCCCATTCGCACATGTTGGGCAGCATTTCTTTTACGGCAAAGTCGGTAGCCATCTGCTGCATCTGAATCTGATCTTCCGAGAGTCCGATCGTGGCTGAAAATTGAAAATTAAACAAAAATAAATAACTGCGTTACTGCAATTAAAATGGAACTGTTCACTCGCCAATAAACTGCATTCTTGTGAAAGCTCCAACACTAAAATTGTTACCATAGAATACCGTGTATGCGCCCATATCACACTAAGCGCCCATACACAAATTCGTAAGATCTGAGAAAATATGCACAGTACACTGATATGTAAAATTGATGACGAGACAAGTGCCCATCCCCCATTTTTTCGCGATTATCTTTAAATTTTGAGTGGGTGCTTGCCCGGTATTTTACGGTAGGTAAAGCTATGCGCAGCTGTGAATTCACAAGCAAAATCGCACCATGTGAATCGGGCTTTACATGGTGCGGTTTTGCTTGCGAATTGACAGCTCCAACGTCAGACCCCGCAGTTTCCACCAGGCATTTTTTTTTTTGCCACACAAGCGACCTCACAATTACGAAATCGCAACTAAAGTCACACCATATGTGACTCGGGCTTCCGTCAGTGTTGTAAACTTAACCGATTGTGAAATTTATTTTCATCCCGATGTGTGGTGTATAGTTCTACACACAGCTGTCAGGTACGGGTTGACAAATTCCGAGATACAGGTGTTAACAACAGGAAAAATATTGTGCACCTCAATTTTAACTCGTATATTTAAGAATTTGTCAGCCAGTATCTCACAGCTGTACGTAGAGCTATTGGCGACGCAAGCGACTGAAAGCGTTGCTGTGATCGGCTCAGCACCATTGGCCGAATGCTGACTATGACGTCAGCAAAGGATATCAAATCGACGCAAATAAGAGCAATGTAAGAACGTCAATTTTGACGGTGTGGACAGTGTTACTTTGAAAGCGCTATGATTTCAGGCTTTCACCATGCTCATTACAGACACCATTGAACTTGTTCTTCACAAGGTAATGACGTCACGAAAGGTAAACAAACGAGGGCGCCGCCGAAACATCTCGCCGCTAATATGCAATGAACATTGTGATTAAAATGAATTTTAAAATCGGTTAAGTTTAGAAACACCGACTTCAAGCTCGATTCACGTGGTGCAATTTTACTTGCGATGTTGCAAATCCGACATCGCTCGTGCAAAAAAAAAAAAAAAAAGGGTTTGGGGGAAGTTTCGGTGCCCAACGTGGCAGCTGTGACGTCCGGTGCATGAGCGCCCAGCTGCGACGCCTGGGGGTTGACTCCGATGTCCGACGTCGCAGCTGCAAATTCGCAAGCGAAATCGCACCATGTGAGAATCGGGCTTCAGGATTAGCAAGCGCACAGTACTGCGAGAAATGTGTGATGTCACCTTCTGAAGCTACTGTCCCTTGCTAAACACCGTTCTGGGGTGAATATCGATAAAAAAAAAAAAAAAATTATCGCACATAACTTCGGAAGAAGTATATAAACAACAACAACAAACAAAAACAAAACAAAACAAAAAAAGTCTGTGGTTACGGTTTGCACTCTTTGAGTTAAGGATTACTGCGACGTTCACCCTCATTTATAGATTTTATTATTATTATTATTATTATTCACGCGAATAGTCTTATTTTCAAAGGGTACGGAAACTTACATCTACTACATATCTGATCTCTGAAAGGGGTGGTGGTGATGGTGGGGGAAGGGGGGGGGGGGGGGGGGGGGGGGGGACATATTGCCACGAAATGACAGAGATGCTACAACGCGGGTTATACGGATGAAAATATGGTAAACAAAACATACCATCGAGAGCGGTGGATGCGAATCTGACGGATGCAAGTTTGCGGGAAACACACTGCGCCCGCAAAAAAGTGCTGATTCGACTGCAAGTCAGGAGTCGACCTAGAGAACCCATCCTGCGAGACAGCCGCACTGATTAACTTGACGACAAGCGGTAGCACAAATGATTATAAAGCGAAACGAGCCACCGAGCGTCGGTACATCACGCGGCGATATCGCGTTATGTTGCCATAGCGGCCATAGTGCGACAGGTACAACTTTGCGAGATGCATAACGGACGGCAGTTTTCCTCGTATTGGGCGGTGGCTTGCGCTACCTAGAGCACTATATAGCTCCTACGGAGCAGAGTAGCGCAATCCTTTGAACCCCGTGTTTTGCCGACAGCATGGCCGACAGAGCGGCTCGGCGCGAGTCACGTGGTACTCAAGGTTCCAGGAGGTGGCCCGCCCTATGGGAGAATACATGGAGATCGGCACAACACGGCTGATTCAAAAATGAACGGCGAGTTCACACTTTTCAAAACTAGTCTGTCGTGAAGTTAGTAAAGCACTAAACACTTTATCAAAGTTTTAATAATATCGGATGCGTGTGCAAATTTTGAGAAGGCAATTTCCAAGGCAATGGCGTTTGAAGCAGACGATTTTTGCTCGCAGCAGAGATGGGCTTTTCGGGTTGGCCGGGGCGGGTCACGTGAACGGTGTGACGTCCGTGTCGTCTGCTGCATGATGCCGCTCACGCAATTTTTAAGAAAAAAGTCAGGTCCTTGCGGGGCACAAAACTTAGCGCGAATTATTCTAAAGTGTTCCATTATTATGTCAAAAACGATTGCGATTCCGTACATTCCCACAATACTGAAGAAACAACGATTTTCTCACGTTCTCAAGTCTCAAGTGCTCAAGTCAGTCGAAGGCAATAAATCTTGTCATAGTCAAGATATGTAAGCAAGTGTTCAACGTGGGCTCTCTCACGCTGGTGCAGCTGTCAAGTTGAACTGAAGGTACGCGGGTCCAAACAAAAAAATACATAATAGCGATGGGCCGAACTTTTGCTGGATCGAAAATTCGGCGCCGAATCATAAAACCAAACTTTTCTATTCGGCAAAAATACTTTGTCGCCAGACCTAAAAGTTGACATATCGTTTTTTGGTGTGCCGTTGAAGTTTTTAGGCTTTTTAAAGTCCATATTGGCACAGTTATTACTTATTACGGTAATATTCTGGGAGATAATTATATCGGTGTCATTATTGTGTGTTCACTGGTAATTTTAAAGTGACTTCTTGCTGAAGTGGTGTGACAACGGGGTTGGGTAGAGCGAACGCAGTCGGGGCAATCACGTTACGCTAGTTTCGGTTTTGAAACGTCATCAGCGCGAGCCTGCAAGTCTGTATCGTTGAAATAAAGGCGATAACACTGTGTTCTTACTTTCTCTGCGAGTCACCGTTTCTTGTGCGAGAATGAATGCAACGGCTGCTGAGCTTTCACCAGAAGAGCTAATATTATTGTAAAAATGCATGTTTTTCGATTTGAGTCGCTTCAGTTTTGCATGAGAGTGTGCGTCGCATATTCGCAGCGTCTTTTAAAATGCCGGTTTCTGGTTTTTAGACACTCCTGACGTTTAGGAAGATGGGGAGAGTAAAGAATGTCGGATGTGCAACGTCGAGCATGATAGTTCTGTGTTTGGTGTTATGCGGATAGATGAAAACCGCGAAATAGCGCTAATTGAAAAGCAATATTAGTTTGTTTTGGCACAAACTACTTGTGAGCCGAAAACAGGATTGCTATAATGGCGAGGAGTGCTTTAAAGTACTTGTCAGTCAATGTTGCAACTACCTCGTTGCATTGCTGGAAAGATCAAATGAAAATCACGTTATACCAATTGTACCGCATCATACGTCACTTTCGCAGTGGACTGGGTCGTTTTTGAGTCAATTTGTGGTCGATCTTCCGTTCTTGCGGCAGAAAATATTGACGATAACCAGACTCACAAAGGCTGACAAACTCACAGTTACCATGTCGCCCACTCCGCACCTCGCTGTAACCGCGGGTAGAACTACACTGTACGATGGTAACCGCACCACCGCACGGCGTAGATTTGCAATCCATGGCCCTGTCGCGTTCTCGTGCGTGTGCAGACATTTGCCGAATTTTCGCCGAATCTTTGCCGAATTTTCCTCTAAAAGTTCGGCATGTGCCGAACTTTGCCGAATTTGAAGTTGGGCAGATTCGTTCCATCACTAGTGCGTATCAACAATGTTTGCGCGTTGAAACTATGATGCGTGCTTTATCTAAATCTAAACTTATCGGTCTGCGGCTACAAACATTTTTGTTGACATTGCTTGCATGAAGTAACCATTAAAGCCTTGCATTAAACGATGTTACGAACACACGGTTGGAACACACGAACAGACGGAGTATGACAGCTACAGCATACAAAGGACGATCGAGGTCTTTATCCTGCGTTCTATGTATCCAAACATCGGTATCATTGGTGTTATATTGCGATCAGCTGGTCGCCGATCGCCCTGTTTTTACGCATAATGTAAACAAGGCCCGGAAACGCCAATCTCATTTCGATGTGCTTGTGCTCCCCTGCAAGCCTCCTCTTGGCTCTCGTCAGAAGCTGTATTGTAATAGCAATAGTCTCATCGGCCGTTCGAGTTGTATATGCCACGGTGATATCTGCTGTGTGTGATCTGCTGACAAACAAGTCTGTATTAAATGCCAGAAGGAGAACAAAGGTGAAGGTTTTTTAACTGTTTTTCTTTTTACAAAACAGGGCAAAGCTTCTAAAACAAGAGCAACCTAAGCTGATATTTGAGCGTGCTCCAGAATGAATGGCAAAAGGTGCCTATGCTAAGTGGTAGATGTACAGAGTTGATTTTCTTTTTGCTTCTGCGTTGTAACACCGATTTTACGCTGCAGTGCAACAAATTTATGGTGTTCCACGTGCTGAACGACAAAAACGACCTCGTTTCGTCCTCCATTTTGCCTGATTTAGCGCGCCCCCTATATCTGCTGGAGTTGCGAATTAGCTCTGGGCAGGGTTTCAGAGAGCGCCACCGTCGGTTCACCATCAGCGCCACCGTGACCAAATGAGGCACCACTGGGACATAGACCCCTCATAACCCCTCAGAGAAAAAAGCGCCATCTGTCGTACGCAACGGCAACCAGAGCCAGCCGCCATGCTGCAGGGTACTGGGGCGTCGTTGCATACGCTGCATATGTCGTATAGCCGCTAGTCTGACTGCGTCAGTTCCACGGCCCTCGATGCCAACATACCGCGGCGTACCCCTCTGTAAGCAGAGTGGGTGCGTATTCGTAACTGTACTCGTTATCGGTTGACGGGCGTCTGTCGGGTGGGGATAATCAGCGGCTCCGCCGCGCAGACGTTTGCCTGCTCAAGTGCAAGAACGGAACACGAGCCGTTCCCACCCAACGCTCTTTGGGTATTTGAGTCCGGTGTTTTTAATCTCACTTTGTTTGGGGGTAGAGTTTTTAAGTTTTAGCTTATTTCAAGAAATCAAAGCGTCAAGATGTAATGTTGCTCGTGGTACCGCTTGTGGACATGACAGTTTCGCGAGGGCGTAGCTTCACGCATGCGCCAGAGTGCCTTCATACACACGCGCGCTATGCGCGAGCTCGCGGTGCATCCAACTTGCACGTGTAAACTATGTGTTAGGTACGCGCTAAGTCATACGACCTCACGCCTTAATGTTCCTACGCATAGTTGCGTTTGAGTGTGTTTGACTGCATTGCGGCTGCGAGAAACCAGGGCATTCTCGCTTCTTATGTCGCGTGTTAAGCTATTCCTTGCATTGGATTTCATACGAAGCAGAGATATGCCGGTGACTCGACTTTCGTTTTTCGACGCAACGCAGTCAAACACTCTCAAAAGCAGCTGTGCGTAGGCGTTGCCTGTAGTTTGTACATACCTGTGCAGCGCATGCTTTATGCAAAGCAACATGCACCCGCTTGCAGTTTCTGCTTCACTACAAACTTGCTGCTGTATGACCTCTATGACTGCAGGGTAAAAGCTTGGCCTGCTGGGCAAGTTGGTGATGGACAGTCATTATAAAAATAGCGCAAAAAGACGAAGAAGACAAGCGCTTGTTGTCCTGTGCGTTTCTTCGTCTTTTTGTCTTGTCTTTTTTGCGCTACTTTTAATAGAAATGTCGACAACAGGGTGTTCGAAATTATGTTTTAACTCTAAAATTGCTCACAGAAATCAGGAACTCGACGTATCAAGTAGAAACTTACATCGAATGCGGCTTTTAAAGGTCGAATTCGCGCATTAATATTTTAAGTTAATTCCACTTACAAAGAAAAAGTCTTAAAAGGGTCCGCTTTTTTGGGGTACTACTTGAAATAAAGACTTTACTTTTTATTATGTAAATGGGACAAGCAAAATACGCTCAGTTGCTGATTTTTGACGGGCCATTAATTGTAGCTTGTAACTTTATTTTGAGACGCTCAAGAATAAGCGGCTCAAGTTAAAACTTACCTCGAATACGCATTTTACTAGTCCCATTTTGGCCATATGAAGACATGGTCATATGAAAACAGCGAGCTTATAATTCTGTATCTCCTTTCAAATAACGGTACTTCAAGTTCAGCACTGCCACCCTAAATACTCGTGTCTCCTCCTCAGTTAAATGCCTTTACACTAAATTGACAGTCATTTCGAATGTGAATACACGAATAAGAATAAGTGAAGATCGACGACGGTGTCTTGCAACTGAAGGAAACTAAGCATTGCCATTGGGTTAGAAAACAGAAGATCAGCTCTTGGCATTGGGTCTTCATCATGAACCGCCAACTTTACCAGAGCCACTCAGTTCGGAAACTGCTATAGATCCTGCTCTGAAAAAGTGGAGCCGATCCTAGTCCCAGTACCGAGCAAATGGCGATTGCAGCGCTGCCATTTCTCCCACAGTGACCACTCCGTGAACTGCATGACTGCACTTACTAGTTCCGTTGGGTCACAGAAGGGCCGGTGGCGCCATCTCGTAGGGCCATCTTGCAGTAGCCATATAAAGCAACTTCCATGTTTCAACTCGTCGCTAAAGGGTGGCGCTGTTATCGCTATTAGCTCGGTCTCGGTGGACGCCAAAGGCCCAGGTTTCAAGGCCGAGTTTCCCAACTGAGTGTTTTAGTAACGTGTGTAACTGCTAAACGAGGCGGGAAACCAGTGTGGATCGCTCCTCGCTCATGCTCAGTTGATCGAAAAATTTTAGGGTCGTTTTCAATCCTCGCGAACAGACCCGTGAATCGCTGGCAATCCCAAAGAAACAGCTCACTGCAAGAAGTTTCCCATCTTCTGAAATGAACATGTGCTCTATCTTGATATATTACATAGAAGTCCCGAGTTATTTCCCAATGACACATATTTCTCGCGGCGAGTGATT